TTAGAAGTGCAAAATGTTTTCCGACTTCCCTCTAGATAAGAGAATCGGGAAATTTCTATTTTTAAAGTTTTAACTTTTTCTCGTCGGCGCATTTTATTTTTTCTCGGTCGTTCACGACGACACGTTACGGTGGCCGAATCTAAGAGGTCGCTAATTTTATTTTAAATGGTTAAAGGATCTTCAACTTTGGGAATTTAGAGTTTAAAATCTTCAAAGTTTAATCACGCTCTTTAGATCGGTCATTTCTAGAATTTACCAGTCTGTCGCATAATTCTTGTATACCTACTAATTTTTCTTATAATACTGTATTTTACATCGGCTCAATAATTACTTCTTGCTGCAAAAATGTAAAAGAAAAATAGGAGATTTCGAATTTCTCGATTTTATTTATTTATGTGGTGTTTGACAAGGATCTATTTTCGGTGGTTTCAATATTCACTCTATGCCATAAAAATTAATGCACTAAGTTGTCGAAATCTAACTAAATTTGTACAGATGTGAGTGTAAAGGTGATATATGTAAGTGATTACAAAATGAAAGCGAAAGGATCATTTATTGTAGGATAAACTACAAATGGAAGGAGTAGAGTTTCCTCCTCCATTCTGCATCTCCTCAAGTTTGTTTATCAGGTTAAACATGGCTTGGATAGGGCTAGATGTAGGTTCGTTGGAAGCACACCTCCACACTCAAGACAGTCAGTATATACATTTTATTTACAAATTTATACAAAGTATACAAGTTTGAAACACAGGATACACAAAACGTGATGCCTCGCTTTCCAGTTTGGCCTTGGGGAAACCATTAAATCTTCGAAAGATCTCGGTCGGTTAGTGGATTGGCTCTATCTGCACTGTTCGTCTTTATCTCAGCACTTACACGTCCTTGAGATATTCTGCAGAGGAGTATGCTCTTGTGAAAATCCGGAATTCGACGAAAATCTTTTTTCGATTTCGTCATGCATATTTCAACAACTGCCGTTGTTGATTATCTTGTACTTTCTTAGAACTTCTCATTTTGTATGTTTTCGGCGGCGAAAGCGACGCTTTCCCGTTATACCTCGACCCCCGGCCGTGCGCTACCGTTTTAATATCGGAATTGACGGCCGAATCAGGAAGTCGTCTTCAGTTCCTCTAGGAGTAAAAGTTGCCACCCTGTCCTATAACGGAAGTCGTCGCTAATTCTTCGACCGATACTGTTAACCATGTGCCTCCGAAACAGATATACGATCGACTCTGACCCGGAACATTATCGGGAACTCTTCTAACGCGACAACCTTCTCGTTTATTCAACTTTCCTAAGAGACAGACCGAATCCTCTCCTTCATCAGTCTACAAATGGATCCTTCAAACTACAGGTCCGAGAGAATCTCACGTGAACTCTCTCTCTCACGATCATTTAAGTTATATAGATCAGCTAATTATATATCGAAGTTTATATCACGTATTCTTTTTATTTGAAATAAAACGGTTATTAGTTGTTAACCTGGCATCCGACTGGTTCATTTCAGGCGCCCGTCTCTCGGGCTGCATGCACGCAACTTGCTGTCTGTCAAATCTGCTCCATCCCGAATCCTATTTGTTTCTAAAATGCTATACAAATTTCATCAAGTTATCCTTACTTAATATTTCATCAATGATTTTTAATGTAGTTTTCTAACAGAAGACCAAGTTTAACAATTTTCGTATGTAATTAATTAAATTTGATTTATTTTTAGTTTCAGTTTCAATTTCGGCACAAAACCCAGACTTTTATTTTATTATTTTTAGTTTTAATTAACTGGTCTCCTGGTATTAATAAATATTAATATTATAATACATAATATTATGCTAATAAACTTTTGTCATTAAGGGTGGATTTCCTCACCCTTATTATGGCGCAAATCGGGCCAGTCTATTTCAAACGCCTTTGTTAACAGATAAAACGCCCTGACATTACAGGTGATTAATTTCGGGAGCTGCGCATTGGATTTACGCTGAGCCTAAAAAATCGCAATGAGCTGTACCTGTATATTTAGTGAGTTTTCCTGAAATAAAAGTGAGAGCGTATTAACTAAATCTATGTCTATGTTATAAGTGATGGACGAGAAAGTGTCTGTAGTGTCATTAGTGGTAGTTGTTGTGTGTGCGCTATTATTAGGCTTATTGCTAGATTTTCCTGACAGGTTACGCGACGTACAGTACATTAATGTTAAATGTTTCTGTCTGTTGTTGTACCAGTATTTGATCAGCAACCTGTTGTTTGTGGGATAAGGTTGTGTATAATTGTTCTTTTTTGATCGACAACCCTTTGTTCGGCGACAGTGAGATGAGGATATTGTTATATGAATCTATGGTGTAGTTGTTGTCTATACGCTGTCATGTTTGTTTCGAATCTTCTGATGATGTAGTAAGTACAGACGATAAACTCGTTCATTTCTAATGTCAATTTCATCCGTTGGCATGGTTTTCTAGCCTTTTTGGTCTGTGGATGTATTGCCGCAGAAACATCAAAGCTAGATTGGTTCCTCACATCTGTTGAGGACATTGCAATAGCCATGCTTGGGCCGGTACTGCTTTCATCACCGGTAATCAATGGAGACTGTGGTCTATTTTTCGAACGTGAGTTTCTGCCTAACCCACGAACGTGGACCTTGTTAACCCGGGCGACGTCCGAGCCGGTATCAAACTTAAATCTGGTTACTACCACGATAAATATCTTCACAGAATCTGAATCATTCCCTATTATTTGGGGTCCTCCCCTGTATAGTTCTCTGTCAATATTTGGTAATATAGGTTAGTCAAACCAATAGCGATCTTTTGATTGTTATGTTCCCGAAACAGCAATAGTGACACAATCAGAAGATGTGTCATCTCTGGACAAGGAAGCAAATCCTTGGGGAAATGGAATCCCTTCCTGTTAGTGGTCGAAAATTAAAATTTTAGCAAAATTAATTAAGTAAATTAAGTAAAGCTTTTTTTATTTAGACCGGGTTTTTACATATACATGAAAATAGGAAACAGAATGTAAAATTGATGCGGTCGAAACATTTTGCCATCATCAGTGGAGAATCTCCTCCTAACAGCTATTCTCTTGACTGATTGGTTAAAATAATATTATATTTAAAAAGAAAATAGTAAGTAATTACTGTATTTACTCGCATATAAGACGAAGTTTTTATCCATTTTTCACTGCTTCAAATTCCTAGGTCGTCCTATACGTGCGAACGAAGGATTTTTTTCGTTTCTGTATAATTTTTATAAACTATGTATTCGCATATTTTGCCGGATTCTCACCTTCTGGCGTTTAAAAACAAAAGTATTTTATCTGGATCGTTTGAATCGTTTTTGTGTATTGTCAGGAATAAAGATGAATAGAAATAGAAAAAGCGAAGCTTTTGAATTCAATTTCAAAATTATTCGGGAGCCCGACATAAGTTTGAATTTATTCCCACGTGAAAACAGATGATTATTTAGAAATTTGAAGAAAATCATAAGTGTAATCGACGAAGAGTGAATTCGACTGTTAACAATTGACAAAAAAGGTCCCCGATTGTCCAGCTTGACGCGAACAAATTGTTTTCAATTTTGCAAGATTTTTTCTTGAAGTTTAAAACGCTAGTAATTTTTGCGGGACAAATTTACGTACATTTGATATTTTATTTGTTATTAAACGATATAAAATTAGAATTGTATTAATAAATCTAATTTTTTATTATTTTGATCTTTAAAGTCACACCTCGTCCTCTAAACGAGATCGTCTTATACTCGAGTAAATATGGTAAATAAATACTTTTAATTAATGGCAATATGAAAAGAATAAACATTCATTATATTTTAAAAATAGACGACGAATGTTTAATAATAGGTTGTATATCACGCGAAATTTATACTTTTTCGGCATTTAGGCCTATATGATATAGAGAGTGTATCAGTCAAAAAATTTCCCACAAAACTTAACATTTCTGCACTTAAGGAATCTTGAAGTATAGAAAAATGAAAACAGACAAGATTATTTTTTTCTGAATATATTCATATTTGTTTATGGGAAACGGTATTTTCACCCGTTTTGAAGCTTAATTACTGCTGTGTTTTTTGTCGAAAACTTTTGGAACTTTCCAGGGAGTTTCAGAATTTGGGGATTTTTTTTTTACATTTTTCAAGAAAATCGGATAATTGAATCGGACGATACGGTCCCACCCTCTTTATATCTGTACAACCAATCTCAAGACTGACGAGTAATGGTAGTAATTATTACGGATAAAACAAATAATGTCGAAAAAGTCTAGCAACAACGTTTTCGGCTTTATTCATTCCTAAAATCAAATTTCAATCAACTAATATATAAAAAATTTAACGTTAAAAATAAAAATACAGTAGAGCCTCGATTATCCGACTCAATTGGGGCTGGGGTCGGTCGGATAATTGAAAAGTCGGATAACCGAAAAGTATGAGGAAATCGATTATTAGTGTAGTATATTATTATATCCCATGTAATTAGTATATTAGTATATTGCTATTAACCTACTTCGCGTTGAATTTTCATCGATGTTAAGCCTAACAAAAATTTTAAAAAATAATAATCGTCGCTATTGTATCGTTAAAAATTAGAAAATTAAGCCTCGTTTAAATACTGGCTCCCTTTCATGGTCGAATTAGTGTTGCCAGCTAAAACACGTAAAAATAATATTAAAGTAGCCAAGACATAGACAAATATTGTAGCACCACATCACTAGCGGACATTTGAAATTTGCCGACTAGGACGGTCGGTTATCCGAGGTGTCGGTTAATCGGGGGTCGGATAATCGAGGCTCTACTGTAATACATTACAATCTTGAATGTGTATAATTAACAACTGTCATATAGGACATCATATAATAATAAATAATTTAATTTTACTCTACATTTTTACAGATATCGAAAATGTTTATTGGAATTGCGTACCGCTTTCTATCCAAAAAATTTCGTAAACACGGGATAAATGTATCAAGACACACGTCATGGTACATAATCGTGCCTATTTTCATGACATTGTTATCAGCCACAGGATTTCAAAAGTTCTTTCAAGATCTGGACGAAGATTGTATAGTCCCAGCCGGAGGAATTATCGACAAGTACAAGTCGCGTTTGATGCAATTATTTCCCATAGATCTGGCGTCAAACTTCGACCCCGCAAGATTGTTGCACTCCATTCATTACGGAACCGTTATTATCGAAGCGAAGGACGGAGGCTCGATTCTACGAGACTTCGTCTTTCGGCAAATTCTAACTTTGGATCGAGAAATTCAAAATTTCTTTGTTGATGAAGACGACGGATGGAACTACAAAGACATTTGTGCTAAAAATAATGGAAAGTGCTACGAAAATAAAATTCTTCGTATAGACAATAAACTGATAGCATTGAAAAACGGAAAATTTCGATTGAAATATCCAATTGGCAATACGAGCAGAAATTACGACGTTTTAACTTTGGGCGGTGTGGAACTGAACGAAGAGGGATGCCTAATATCTGCTAAGGCTGTTAAATTGTTCTATTTTCTAGACGATTCGAATAAATGGGCGGAAGAAAAAGCAATAATGTGGGAAAATCGATTCGTAGATTTCTTGAATAAAGTGAACTTTTCTCATGTGAAAATAAGTAAAGACGTGTCGCTTTCTAGAGATGAATCTAAAAAGCAATTATTTAACTCTATTCTAAAATATATTCCAGGTTCTGTTTTCTTGATGCTTACGTTTACCGTTGTCAGCTGTTTATGGCCAGACTTTCTTCGAAGTAAACCGTGGACCGGAATCGTGTCTTCGATAGCCACTGGAATGAGTTTAATATCGGGGTTCGGCTTATTACAGTATGCGGGTCTTGGAGTGTCTCCTGTAACAAATATAATTCCATTCCTTGTTTTAGGTAAGTGATATTCAAAGTAATCATAATAAATAACAGTTCGTTTGTCCGTAAGAGTAGTTGATAATACAAATATGAAAATCATTTCTTACATATAATCTTTAATTAAAACATACAACACAAATAATTTTGAATTTCATAATGACAATGCCAATAAATTCTTTAAAATAAAAATAATGAAATATTCTGAATCAAAACGTTAATTAATATAAAGTTTGATTGGTAATCAGTAATCATTTTCCAAAATCCAGTATGCAAAGTGCAATTGCACAAAGGAGGACATAACACTTTTGCAACTCCACGAAGGAATGCGCATAGCCACACGCATATGGCAGGACTGCTATATGTGACCAGTGTTGCCGTTCCTAGTACATTTGTACTTTTCTGGTACATTTTGCTCTTTCCAGTAAATTGAAAGTACATTTAGATTTTTAGTACATTTTCAGTACATTATAATATTTCAAGTACCATTTACGGTACAATTTAATATTTCACCGCCCTAACAAAAAATGAGAAAAAATTAGTTTAATAAAGTCTCGCTAGTGTCACTGCTTGCTAATTTAAATTATCCAATCACAACATACAAATGGTGTGTGTCCGTTGACGTCAGCAACATAGATAGTTGCACATAACGCCTTAGTTGCACGTGTAAACGGTCTTGACTCAGTGGTTTTCTTTCACACGTTCAGTTGTCTGCACATTCTCGTCAGGACCTTGACAAAATTTTTAATGCCACGTGGTCCAAACAATTCAACTCCGTCAAACAAAAATAATGGACAGGTAAGGAAATCAATGATTTTAAACTTTTGTCATCAATAATATCAAAATATTCGTTAAGTCAGAAACAAATTATTACAGAAAATAGTTTTGAAATTGTACGAGTATAAATAATATAAATACTTTTATATTATTTTCTACCACTATAATTTAATTCTTAAATTATGAACTTCAATTTTAGTAATCGTAGTAAAAGAAATAAGGGTTAATGTTACGTATGGTTCCAAAATGGCCGCGCTTCCGACTGTTCCAAGGTCTATATAAGAAGATCAGGACACGCGTGATCTACTTCTTGAGCTGCCATTTTGGGGTTTTTTGAGTTGCATGTTTTAAGCAAACTTGTACGAGCAGTCAGTTTTATATGACATTAATTAAACTAAAATTGCATAAATCCTGTAATTTCCAGTCAAAAATATAATAATAATTTCGGATGATTATGCAACCCCAATTTTATGTAACGTTTTCATCAAATAGTTTAAAAGAAACAAGCATCCTTATCTTTTGCTGTCATGATTGAAATTAATTAAATAGGTACTAAAACTGATGCAATTACGTATATACCACTTCGTAAAGTGATGCAATAACATCACAATAATTTAAAGTATAATAAAAAATAAAATAATATAACAAATTTATAATTATTTTTTTAAAGCACGATTGGTTATAAAATTAACTTTATAAGGTAAAATTCAATAGTATTATTAATAAATGTTGTCAATGTAATGCTCATTTTATAATAAGTAATAGATGTGTAGATATATTTTTAATTTTAAAAAGCTTTAAAAAAATTCCAAAAATAAGATTTAAAATTAAATTATTTCACAATAAACTATATAAACTATATATATAGGCTATATATATATAGGCACGTAAACAAAGTATTCATAGAACTAGTACATTTTGAAGGAAAATAGTACATCTTTTGAAGGCGCTTCAGTACGTTTTGAAATTTTATTGCGGCAACACTGCGGAGATATGCAAACAGTTAAAAGAACAAAGATATGCAACAGACATCCGTTTAATCAGTAACGAACATGGCTCCCACTGCCAGGCATACTATCAACCAAACGATTAACGAATTGTTACCGTGAAGTATCCCTTGCGAAGCCGAGTTCACTGCGGCGCACATATCGTCACGGTAGAGGCGGTGGTCCCCATCCCTCATACCAAAGACGTGCGCGTCACGTCGGACGAGGGTTGGTTGGGAAAGATGTTGGTTGGGATGTTGGTTGGGAAAGAGATCCAGACAGGGACGGATGCGAAATTGCTTCGGCCGGTCAGAGTTCGTCTTGAGAAGTGTGGTTGGGAATAGTCTTGCTGGAACACCGTGTCGTGTCGTGTGCGGTATGCACCAGTGGCCGAACCGTAGGCTCCACAATTTGTGTGACGTACCTTTTATACTTAAATCACACAAATTGCGACGTATTTAAGTATAAAATTAGCATTCCACAAACACGACAGCCCAAGAAATCCTTTAAATAACAGAAAACATGTAATGTTACAAACCAAATCACTGTTTCTAGCTCAATTTTAAACTACTATGAAAATTTCTGGCCTCTTCAAACCTCCTTCTCTTTTCCTAGTAGCTTTGGACTATACAGAAGTAGCTGTGTCAAGCTTCTACGGCCATTAAATTAACCAAGCTCCAAACTTATCCTGGCACATTACACTTTAAATCTATTAGGTTACAAGTACAGACTTCACAAAACATGTAAAATTTTATGAGCCCATGCGTGGAACTAGTAAAACAATATGAGCCCTCTCAGGGACTTCAAACACATATCATTAATATTTTCTGGCCTCTTAGTGCTCTACGAACGTAAAGAGGGTTTCGTTTTGTTGATGAAACTGATTGGAAGAAAATTACTATGGAACTACTCTTAGTAACAAAAAATTTCGACTTTTCAGTGCTGTCGTAACAGAAAGACTCTACAATCCACAATCCCAAATTTTATTACATCAAAACTATATAGCAATAAAAATGTATACGATATCCAGCTTGTATAAAATTCTTCCCAGATACGTCACATTCGTCTATATTCCGCACATTCAATAGTTTTTTCCTTTTGTATTTCATGCCGACTTTTCCCTTGCTTTTTATCTCATGTCCAATTTCAATAATCTTAATTTTCCATTTTGAGGAATTTGTTCTCCTGCCAATCCTAACAACAACGAATTATTTCAATCGTCAGTTAGTCCACTTACACGCACGCACACACACACACATATATATGTATACATACATACATATATATATATACAGTCGACCACCCTATAATTACGGTCCCTATAATTACGATTCCTATAAAACTACGAAAAAATTGTGACCGGTATCCGTAAAAAACAGTAAAAATTCCCTATAATTACCTCAAACGTCATCGAGCAGCCGAACTACTTTCCTGCCGTCCGTAGCGCCACGCTACGGAGAGATTTCTATCGTCTGGACAGTATTATATAAATTATATATAAATTAGGTACTGTACATATAATTATATATAAATTATATATAAATTAGGTACTGTATATATAATTATATATTAACTTATTGTAACTTTGTTATAATTAAATATATAATTTCCGCCGTCTAGCGTGGCGCCACGCTACGGAGATTTTTACGCTAACTATCGTCTGTCAGTATGTAAATTAGGTACCGTAAGTCTAATACAGTACTGTAATTTTATACATTTCTTGTGAAAGAAACATTTCTTATTCAACGGCGATTAAAATTATTTATATTAATGATGTCTCCGAAGTTCAAGGAACTATTCGCAGAAAAATAAGTTATTAGAAATCGGCCGCTGTATGCTGAGCTGTTGCGCGACGAAAACAATGTTGAGCAATGACGATGTCGAATGGAGACACTCGGTAAGTAATCCTACACTTTTTTGTTTATAGCGTAGTTTATACGGATTATTCCAAAAAAAATATACGTATTTTGGAAATGTTGAGTCGGATTAGTCTAGAATCGATTAATTTTATGGAAGAAAACCTTTCAAACAGCCGTAGTCCGTAAACTTGACACGTGTCGGGCTGTGATTGAAAGGATTCGTAAGAAATCGGATTCCTAAAGAATGGAACGTATCTCTATCTTATAGGGCGGTCGACTTGTATAGGGCTTATTTAACACGAAGATGATATTGAAGTTTTCCTTTATGTTCATGTTATACAGTTATGTTATATTACTTGAATATAACTCTAACTAAACATTCGTTCCCTTTAGGTATTGGTATGGACGATACATTTGTTATGTTATCAGCGTGGATGAAAACCGATCCAAAGAAATCTGTGGAAGAAAGAATGACCGAAACATTCACCGAGTCGGGTGTTTCTATCACAATCACTTCTCTGACTAATGTTGCATCGTTTCTAGTAGGAATATTCATTGCCACTATACCTGTATATAAGGAACTTTGCGTGTTCATGACAACGTGTTTGCTCTTCGACTACATTTATCAAATTACGTTCGTTGCAGCGACTTTAGTTCTATGTGGAAGAGCGGAAGAACAACACTTGCATTCGTTGGTATTTACGAAGCTTCCACGTAAAGTAATTTTCAAGATATTAACAATATTTCGGTTAAATTTATGCAAACCATAGCGTAAGATTTATAAGTAATCAAGTAATATAATAATATTACTACAGTAAGTTTTAGTAATACAATATAGTGATTACCAGCTAGATTATAGAATCGGTTTATCCTTGGATGCACGTCACTTCGCAATTACAAATACATAACCGGTATCGAGAACGCCATACATCAGAAACTAAATCCAGTAAAATTTTAAAATAAAACTACTCGATATTAATCCTTATAACATAAAATACATATTTACAGTACTGGTACATGATACGATTAAAATAACAATGTTTATTTATATTTCTAACGAATACATTTAAAATAGTAATAACGATAATAAATTCGGCCCACAATGGGATCGCTGGAAGGTGTGGAACGGGGTTCAACAAATCCAGGCAAAAATTTTTTCAACCCATCTGAGTTCGATTCTGAATTTCCCAGAGCCTTTCCTCCGTAAAATATTTTGGATTACGGAGCTCCGATTATTGAATTTCTACTGTTCTGTATTAATAATTTAAACATTTTTTAAAGTGTCTAGTACAGTAAACTAAATTCACACAATACCAAATATATTCCTTCCGTTTGAACAAGTTTTAGTAATTTTTTTTTGTTTTGAATTTTTAAATTATCAAAGAAAATATCAGAGATGCGTTAATTTTTATGGTAAAACCATGTTTGCATACGCAATTGCATACGTAAAAAACATTTTATTTGCAGATTTCGTCTAAATAAATCAAAGTTGCACCAGTGATCGAGTGGATAAAACCATTCGACACTAGTAGTGGGTAGTGAATTCCAGTTCGATCAGCTGGTGGACTCGCGAAGTATTTTGAATTTTTTCGCTTGTATAATGCTGTATGCCAGAATCCATAGACAGTTGCGTCCTAGGAAGTACAGTACAGTCATAGCCCGGACTTACGCGATAGGTGGGACCGAGCGATAACCGCGTAAGTCGAATTCGCGTAAGTCGGGGTATGACTGTACTCTGTTGTCAAATCGCCCGCGTGTTCTTCCCGAACCATATCTCATTTCCTGTCTCTGTAATAAAATATTTCCTACAATATTCTTTTAGAATGAAAAACTCGTAATTCTAAAATTTCAACATTTCCAGAAAACAAAAAACAACAACAACAACAACAAAATAACAAAAGGGTAGAGATTTTTCAATTTAGACAATTAAAACTTTTTACCTTAACTAAATAACGATTTTAGAACTTCAGCTTAACTTTTTCGACGTGTGAACTGCCTATGACGTCAATTCTTCGTTCCGGGAAGGTCTAGTCAATTCCCCGCCCATTGAGAAAATAGTTTGCGATCATACTGTTTATTATTTATATTGTTTATTTTCTTTACAACTTCACATTGAAAATTTAGTACATTAAATCGATTGATGTTATAATAGTTTTATACTTACGTTTTTAATTTTTTTAAATTTCAGAGAATAAAAACTTTTGTCAAAAAATCTTCTGTTTTGTGCGTTCAGATGTGCCGAATGAAAAAGATCATAAAAACGTTATTGCTTTTACTGAATTTATAAAGAATTTCAACAGGATATTTAGGAACAAGATGACGGCAGTCTTTATCTTATTAATATATTTTACTTATTTGGGACTTTCAATTTGGGGATTAACAAAATATTCGTACGATCAAGAATTAGATATGAATTTAATTCGAGGTACTTATCGATATAATTATTACAGAACAAATGAAAAGTATTACAATCAATATAAGTACAGGTTACAATTGTTCATCACACAGGAACTCGATTATTCAAATCGCACAATACAACAAAATATTGAAAATATGCTACAGACTCTCGAATCGGATCCTCTGATCGCTGCATCTTTGACCGAATCCTGGCTAAAAAGTTATTTAAAATTTTTTGACGACAACAGAATTAACTTGTTCCTTACCGGATATGACATTACAAATTCGAAAGATTTCGTTTTCGTTCTGCATAAATTATTCTTACGCATTCCAGAAGCGAAAAGATTCAGACAAGACATCGTTTTCGATGATTCCTTCACCAAAATCATGTCTACTCGTTTCTTCCTTCAAACGAACGTTACGAGTAACGGAAGCCATTTCTACAAGCAATTTAAACACCTTCAAGAAACGTTGAATTTTTTTCCATTTACAACTGTCGTGTATCATCCATTGTTTTACTTTTTCGACGTTATCGACGCCATACCTACGACAGCAATTCAGACTTTAGGCATTGTGTCGATAACCGTTTCTATTATATCTGCCATGTTGTTACCAAATGTCATTTGCATCGTCTGTGTGTTATTCAGCGTAATCTCGGTAGGAGCGGGTGTTTTGGGTTTTATGTTCATTTTTAATCTGGGACTTAATCTGACTTCCTTGGCTATTTTAATTGTTGTTATCGGATATTCTGTCGATTACGCGGCTCACGTTTCCTGCGCGTACATATCTGCGAAAAAAAGTAGTCCCGACAAACGTTTGGAAAATGCAATAAGCTTGACAGCAATTCCTATCGTACAAGGAAGCGTGACTACGATTCTTGCCATTATAACAGCATTAAACGTTTCGGAGAAAGAAATATTGATAACGATAAATGTTGTCATTTTAGCTTGTGTAATCGCTGGAATTCATGGACTTACATTTGTTCCAATAATTATTTCTATCATTGATAGAATTTTTCAAAAATGTCGTTTTTTCAAATCGAAGTGCAAAAGTTCAAATTCTTTCGGTCCAAATGTACCATTGCCTCTCGGTGCCCGCAGGTTGGAAACAGTTTACAGTCTTAATGTTGCAGAACGAGACACAGATCTGTAAGAATGAGTGTAATTAATAACAATTAAGTTAATACTAGTGTTTTATGATTGAGAAATATTTTAGTTTAAATAGTTAACTTCATTTTTAATATTACCTTTAGTCCATAGTATTTTTATCATTGTAATTTAAGATGTTTTATAAAAAACTATTGACATACGAAATGGAATTGTTTTTAAGGCTCTAGAATTTTCAACAACAATTGCGAAAACTGAAACGGAAATGAAGATTTTGAAAGATTCGTTTACTGTTTTCACTTCCTGAAATTTTTTAATATTTTACAGGAATTACAGTCACGGAGAGATTATTGTATAGTGGGATTACAAAATTGTAATGTTCGTTTTGAGATCCTAGAATTTCTTCGTTAACAGACATTATTATCTCGATGAATAGTTCAATTTTGAAAAATAGAGATGTGATGTGAGATGTAGAATACATAACACAATACCATTTTTATAAATAAATAGCATTACGCTTTTAATATTTCGTTACTTTGAACAAATGCTCTGTTTCAGCACTTTTTTCGATGCTCGATGATAAGTTTTTTTACGTATCAGTTAAATAATGGTTTATTTTCTGTATACATACATAACTGTTACAAGAAAACATTTAAAAGTTCCTTTCTACTTTCCTCAATGTTATATATAACAGAGAGAAAGTACGGCAATGGGAATAAAATAAGTCTTCAAGATTTTTACATTTTAGACTCGGGGCACCTTCGAACGTCGATAAATGCAAAACCTTCAGGGATTCATGAATGTTAGTGTATGGGATTTTGTTCGACCTCGTTGAAGCTTAATAACTCCAGCGTGTTTTGCGTTTGCTTCTTGAAAAATGTCAGGGTTTCCGTCTCAGAAAAAGAAAACTCTTTTGCTACTGTCTTAAGACGGATTATCATAAAATGTAAGTAAACGAAATGGAAGCGACGAAAATGTCTCGAGAAAGTCGATAAAACAGTTGATCTTGTCTTTTATAAGTGCCGAAAAGGAGATTAACGTCGAAGAAAGAATTAGACTTTTATTGAAATTATAAGTTTCTTCAAATAGTAAACTACAAACTCTTTTGGACCGTTTACATATAATGCAAGCCTGGATTGAGAATATAAGTACTGCTTTAGTACATTTTGAATCTAACCTCTCTGTCTTTTGAAACAGAGAAAAAATATATGTTAAAAAATGGCAAATTAAACACGGAAATAAGTGCAATTTGTAAGAATTTGCATGAAATGATAACGAGAATAGAAAATAAAGAAAGAAGAAAGAATATTTTAATCTCGGGTAGTTGGATAAAAATGATAATAATAATATGGAACTACTCTTTTACAAGATTGCAGGTTTACATAATACTGTAAATACTGTTTCCCTAATTTCTGGAATCTGATATAAAAGATGGTTATATTCTCTTTGGTGGAAACATGGCGTACATCTTCGATAGTTGAATCAATCTGGTTGTTGTTAAACTAAGCGATACCGTCTAGAGCGTTGCTAAACTCGTTTTCTTGAAGCGTTGCGCGGAGCGATCTTCGTAGTGGTCTCATTGCTTCCGCAGCGCTTGTTTAGTCTCACTGTAACAAGATGGCTGCCTCCACGGGAAAAATGTGCGAAGTTGATTTCTTATATAATGTGACAATAAAAGTGTCAGGTTTTGATCGCTTTGATTCGATATTCTGTCTTTACTAATTTTTCTTTTAAAATACTCATTAGTAAAATAAAATATTTGATATTTCAAATGTTTTACCGTCTACTTTATGCTACAGAAAGAAGCTGCATGCATTAAATTTAAATCGTTAGTTTTACCTCTCAAAGTCTTATTTCGCAGAAATGTATTACTTTTAAATAAATATTAAAATATTCTTCCGAATACAATAAAGTAATATCATTGTATTTTGACCGACTTAAAATCAGGAAAAGAGTTTTCGTTTACAAGACAATAAAACAATTAACGACTTATTGACATTAGTAGTAGCGGTAGTTAGTCAGTGTGTGCTACACAGACCATGTACTGTACCTGGACCTCAAAGATAACATCTTCCTCTCATATTTCACACAAAGCGATATTAATATGTATAAGTTGAGATAATTTACAGAAAAGTTTTGAAATTTAATATGTTTGTTTTTATTTTTTTTATTCAAATTATACTAAAATAAACTTAAAAAGCACTTTCGGCACTCCTCGAGTATTTTACGCCGTTAGAAAGGAGACAAAATATAGAAAAATCGTAGTTTTTATGCAATGTTGACAGTTTCACAGACGTAGAATAAAAAACGCGTTGGTGTTTATAATGCGCCCTCTTGAGACAGATGTATAACCTCATTAAAACCGGTACTCCGGTTTTTACCGCACAAAAATATATCATTTCATGGTTTCCCTCTATTATTAAAATCTGCGCATAAAATCAAGTTAGTTCCGTGTAGCGAGTAGTTTTCTATAAGTAATAAAGTATTCTTGAAATCCACGCCATAGTTATTATCAGGCAAAATACATCACATCATTAACTGAATATTAGTTAACTTGTCAGTATCTAATTGTAAAATTAATACAAATCGTGTCTGAAATATCAGTTTAACCTTAAATACCGTTCATAATCTAAGCCAGACAATTAAGACTCCACTGGGTCTTCCAGGACCCTCACGGCTATGAGATACCTGATGATAAATTTTATAATCATCACAGAATATTCGGCTTGTTATTAAATTCGGCGCCGCTGCTTCCGCCGCAATCACTGCTGAAAGTGTTTTAATAACGCACGCAGAGCAGCACTGCGATTTTAAAAAGGCGGGTTTCGATGCAGCTGTTAAAACCTTTTGCGAATTGTTTAACTCAAAACATTTTAAAAACTAGTTTTGCTAAGCCCCATTCATTTTCATTTTTAGTTGCACTTTATCCGGCATCCCTAGGTTGTATGCAGCATGCCAGTCAATATGAGAAAACAGAACAAAAATAAAAATATTTACATAATCTGCCTTGCCATATTCCACGCGGCTATAGAGGATGGCTGATCTACAAATGCCAATTGGTTATTGCTAATAAAAATCCATATACAGTCGATTCCGTTTAATTGAGCCAAAATGGATTAGTCCCAACGTGCCCTAATTAAACACCCATAACCTGCACGTAAACCTGAAGACATTGCTTAACATACGGCTAATATTCAATATGAAAATCTATACTCTGTGCAACTTATAATATTATGAAAAAAATTCTTATGAAATTATAGAATAGTAATATGAAAACTTTTTGACAATTAGGAAAAAACATAACATATATCAACACGAGTTTATAATAATAAGAAACGACACGGAAACTTTTTTACCATCTCAAATCTTAGTGAACTTGAAAAGTATAGGCCTATATTTCACCTTTTTGTATAAGTATTAGAAGTGCATTCATCACAATTATGAAATGCAAAGTTTAATTTAAAAATTCTTAGTTGTGTGTAATACGAACGATGACGCTTTTAATTTCGTATGATAATGAATAAATTATCTTCGTCAGATAGATCCTGCTTCACACATTTCGATAGTGAAATTAGAATTGCATAGCGTTTGTTTTCTGAAATATTTGATTAATAACTTACGGAATAAGTGATTCAAGACACGTATAATTCCATTAAACAACGTCGGTTTACATGACAGTATACCAGGATCTGAAACTGCCATCTCGATCTGAACCAATATACTATAGTTTCATCCAAAGATATTATTGAAGCGTAACAACTAAAATTTAAAAAGAAATATACAGTATATAATAAATATACTAAGTCTAATTACATTATTATAATTAACTTTTTACGTTATAATATAACGTAAAAAGTTAATTATAAATAATAAGTGAATGAATAATTAACGATTATAAACGAAACAAAACATTAAATACTAAAAGATTTGAAAAATGATGAAAATTTGACGATTGACATCATTCTTCATTAGGATATTTAGTAAATAGTTTTTATCACTTTTATAATATAAATACAGTATTTCTCGACAAATTTCAACGAAACGTCAAATAAACTGTTTTGTCTGCAACAAACCACGCAGAATAGAAAATTAAGAAGAGTACTGAAATAGGACATGAGACAAAAGGCTAGAAAGAAGTCGGCATGAAATATGGAAATAAAAATAAAATCAATACTGAATGTGCTGAATATTGATGAATATGGCGTACAATACCTGGAAAGAACTTTATACAAAGAAATGATTGTATATAATCTTGTTACGATATATTTTTTATTGTAAAGAAATTTGAAATTGTGGATCGTAGACCGCTTTCTGCTACGACAGCAGTAAGTGGTTTAGATTATGTTTTAATGCAATTTACTAGTTTCATATTGGATTTAAAATTAATCTAGTAACTGTGATTGGGTTTGTAACATTTCCATTCGTTATGTTTACTGTTATCTGAAAAAGTTTATTCGGTGTATTGTGTTTGTGGAATGCTCATTTTATACTTACCAATCAACGTGCAAAGCTTAAAAAGAGAGACTTGACACAGGAAAATGTGTTACTTCCTATTTTTTCTAGAGTGAGATTTAAGCACAAACACGGCAGTGGCTAAACCACTGATAGTTCGCTCAAAAAATTTGAAATAAATTTTAATTTTGATTAATTACTTTGACCAGTCGCCAAAAGAGCGCCCATCGGGAGGACTTGCAACAGATAGGCTACTGGTCGCTATTCACGTACGAGATAACCTGGAAGAAATTTGGAAAACTCTTCTGGACGTAACAATTCAGCATAACTTGGCATAAGTATCTACCAGTATTCCAGTTTTCTGTCTGTCTTAGACCGGAAAAAACATTGAACTACTAAAATTATTTCAAAACTTATACAGTAGAGCGTCGTTTATCCGAATCAATTGGGGACGGGTTGTTCGGATAATTTATTTTTCGGATAACCGATTATGTACGAAAAAATATATTAATTTATCCCGTGTTGAAATTTTCTCCGTTGCGTGTCGCTTCGCGTTGAATTTTCGTCGATGTTAAGCATAACAAAGACTATTGTATCNATATTATAGTATAATATAAGTGATCACATATTAGATGGAAGTGTAACCAACTTTATTTTGCGATGGATAAAATATTGTCACATTCTGGACGTTTATTTAATATGACAGCGAGATTACCGACAAAAAATTGAATATGACGAAAGCTGTATCTCTGTTTAGAAGAAAGCAATCTCCCGTTCACATATTAAACCAAGACGTTTAAAAGCAATAAAACTGTATATATATATGGTAAATCCATATGTACCGTACATTACATATTATACACTGGGACTTAAATACACCCGGGAAATAAATAAAGGTGATGCACAAAATAAACCCCGGTGTTAAATAGACAAATAAAATATGCTGAAGCACTGTATAAAGTAACGTAATTTACAATGAAAAGTAATGCCATCTCTTCTGATTGTTTGCGGTCGGATAGCACTTTCTATTTCAAGATTCGCGGAAACATTTTTTAAAATAAAATTTAAAATATTGTAGAATATTAAGCGTAAATAAGTCGCGATGAAGTTCGTAAGTCGAGAGTTCAAGCGAAGGGTAAGCGAAAAAACTGACATTAAAGAGGATGAGTTTTAACTAGAAAATAGTCGTAGATACTTTGATTCCTAAAACGACGTGGAAGCAAACACCAACGACAACGCGATATTTGAAATAGAAGACGTCGAATCGGGTTAACTATGAAAATGCTAACTACAGTCAGCTATCGGTTTTCGAACGACTCACTTTTCGAACAAATCAGTTCGGGAACAGAATTTCGAACTCGTAATTACACCGGTTTCCGTGTGATAACGCGATTGACGAATAAGCTAATCGGCAGAAGCCAGCCACACATTAGAGAACGTATAGATGATTAACACCCTGCATTACGTTACGCAGATGGCGTACTTCCTATGTTAAACTAAGTCGATGGCCCCGTCAATCGTCGACGGGACTACGGATTCAGAAGTCAGTGGCGCTTAGATCGTCACGCGTCATTAGACGTCACGACACGAATCGTCGATGACGTTGCCGTTTAAATTACATTCGGTTTCAGAACAACTATTAGGGACGATTATGTTTGAAAACCGTATTTCAAATCTATTAACTGTAACGTGTAGATTAACATATTTACGGAGTCTCCTTTTAAATTTATCCATTCGTTTTCTGTTGCAAATTAAGAAACACATGCCTCGAAAAATCCAGATGTTTAGTTGAGATACATAATATACTGTAAAAGACAATAACATTTTCAAAAAATTCAAACATTACTTCATAATAGCTGAATAAATATAACGATATTTTTGTTTCAACTTTTGCCTAAGATTTCCTCTCGTTGCTAATCACAAACTACACCAGTATAATAAGTACTATTAATAATTAAGTAGACAATATAGAAAGAAAATATAGTTTATAATACTTTTAATTTTATTATAAATAATTAAATTTATTCCTATTAATCTGACATTCTACATTTGACACAATAATTACAATTTATTACATCAGAGTTGAGGTGATGAATTCAACCAAAGAAAACAAATGTCAATTTATATGTGTTTTATTGTATGATCTTGATTAACACAAGCGTAGACCCGCGTTGATTGCACGTTTAGAAGAAAATTAATCACAAATTCGAGGATTTGTTTATTTAGTTTATTTTGGTTTATTTAGAAAATTTCACTCGTAGATACATACTCCGAAGAGGTGGAATTAACTGACGAGGTAAGGTGTGACGAGATTCCGAAAATTGCAAAGAATCAGATTTTATTTAAGAAGGATGTCTGATGTTTTGTTGTTCTCTTTATCGATGACATAGACAAGTTCGACACTTTTAAATGTAAAACTAGAGAAACCCGAAAGCCTTCAGTCTGCATATTTTTGAAAATTATATGTTTAGACAAAACAAAAGTGTTTGTCAATGAAGTTTTGGATCCCAGAATAGAAAAGTCACACTTTAATCCCATGATCCAATAATCTCACAGTGAGTGTAAATACTGTAAAATATAAAAAGAACTGAGATAAAAATAGTAAAAAGCACTGTAAATATTTATTTTTAACTTATTACAACAGCTGTTGGAAAAGTCTTCGTCTTTCATAATATAGATATACCAGACTATACTATTTAATATTTATATCCTTGAAGAGATTATTTACAGAATATCTTATATTACATAAAAATGCTGAAAAAAAAATCATATTAAAATACGAATTCCGTAGTCTAGTGTAAAATATATTACAAGTCTTGGAAACTATCAACATTTATTTAGTTGTTAGCACTTCTATCCATTCCTGTGGATTGACTGTATATTTTCCGTTTGATTAAGACTGAAATCGTCTGAACTTTTCCACTTGAATATCAAATAGAGACATTTTTGAAAAATTCTATCGATTACCGAAATAATTATTGGAACAAATGTAAGTCCGTGAATTCCAGCGATTACGCAGGCTAAAATAATCACTTTTATCGCTAACAACGTTTCTTTTTCCGAAACGTTCAACGCCGTTACAATGGCAAGAATCGTAGTGACGCTTCCTTGTATAATGGGAATGGCTGTCAAGCTTATTGCATTCTCCAAACGTTTGTCGGGACTACTTTCTTTCGCAGATATGTACGCACAGGAAACGTGAGCCGCATAATCGACCGAATATCCAATAACGATAATAAGAATAGACAGAGAGGTCAGATTAAGTCCGAGGTTAAAAATGAACATAAAACCTATAACACCCGCTCCAACCGAGATTATGCTGAATAACACACACACGATGCAAATGACATTTGGTAACAACGCGGCAGATATAACAGAAACGGTGAACGACACAATGCCTAAAGTCTGAATTGTTGTCGTAGGTATGGCGTCATTTATATCGAAATAGTAAAACAATGGATGATACAGGACAATGGTGAATGGGAAAGCGTTCATCTTTTCTTGAAAGTGTTTGAATTGATTGTAGAAATGGCTTCCGTTGTTTGTAACGTTCGTTTGAAGAAAGAAACGAGTGGAAATGATTCTGGTGGAGGAAGAATCGAAAACGATGTCTTGTCTGAATCTTTTCGCTTCTGGGATGCGAAAAAATAATTTATGCAGAACGAAAACGAAATCTTCCGAATTTGTAACGTTATATCCTGTAAGGAACAAGTTAATTCTGTTGTCGTCAAAAAATTTTAAATAACTTCTTAACCAGGATTCGGTCAAAGATGCAGCGATCAGAGGATCCGATTCGAGAGTGTGTAGCATATTTTCAACATTTTGTTGTATCGTTCGATTAGAATAATCGAGTTCCTGGGTGATGAACAGCTGTAACCTGAACTTATATTGATTGTAATACTTTTCATTTATTTTGTAATAATTATAGCGATATGTGTCGAGAATTAAATTCATATCTAATTCTTGATCGTACGAATATTTTGTTAATCCCCAAATTGAAATTCCCAAATAAGTAAAATATAATAATATGACGATGATTGTTGTCATCTTGGTTTTCATCAGCGCTTTGAAATTCTTTACTAATTTTGTAAATGCAAGAATATTTTTTTGAACCTCCTCATTCTTCGCATTTTCTGAATGCACAAAACAAAGTATTCGCTGAAAACAGTTTGTATTCTCTGAAATTAAGGAAGATTAAAAATATAAGTAATTTTCATAAGATTAACCGACTAAATATAATAAAATGAAACTTCATAAATTTCTCATTAGAATTAACATTAAAATTAGTATGTAATGTAAGTAATATTTTACAAAATATAATTACTTTTTTTCGATAAATTACAAAATTCTAAAATGAAATTCTACTTATATTTTATCTTAAATATCTTTTTAAGAAATTTTTTACACTCGACCGTAATCGTAGAGTCAGTTTCACTTTCGCCGACTCGAATAAAACGGTCTTTGTTAAAACATATTAGAAGCATCGACGATTTATTTGAAGCTGTTTCGTCACAAATTGATAAAATTCATAATCGGTCAACAGCGAAATTTCATATTTTACGAATAACACTAGGAGACAGAGCTAATGATATTTAGTGCTTACAAGTGCTAGATTTAGTAACGAAATCAAATCTTGACGTGTCGATGTAATGTAACTTTTAACATCTTGTGGTAAATTAGACATACGCGCTTTAGCAGTAGAAAGTAACTAAAGCCAGTTTTCTTTTATATCGTTAAGAATTGCGATCGAGTTAATGCGTTTAAATTGTTAAAATTCAAAAATATCTAGAGTGTTTTTTTCTAAAATGCTGGAAATTTAGGATTAGAAACTTTTCATTGTAGAGATCTTGTGTAAATATTTCGTTTCAGAGAAAGGTAACGGAGTGTAGTGTAGGCCGAACTCGCTCGAATAAATACTTTTCTGGGTTATCTGTCAAGGTACTGTCTGTATAATCTGACGGTCGAAATTACATAAGTTACGTGAAAAAACTCCAGAAAACTTCGCATCTGTTCGTAATCGCAACTCCGTTAACGACTACCACTGTTCGGTAGCTTATTCCACTCGGGCACTGGTAAAACATTAATTAGTTTGGATTAAATCTCGAAATAAAATGTTTCTTACGTACGCAATAAAAATATTTTACTGTAATTGGGAACGTAACTATGTGGCATTTGTCTGGTATAGTACAAAGATGAAGAATAAATACATAAAGAAATAAATATTAAATTTGTTCAAATTAAAAAATATATATTCAGATTTTGCAAATTCGGTTTACACAGGTTTTACTATATTTGTTATAAGTGCATATATTAGTTACTATAAAGATAATAATTAAATTTCGAATATTATAACATAGCAGAATTAACGAAATTCTGCTATGTCATCCGATGATGTTTATTACACAGTTACAGCGGCGGCCTTATCCATTGCGAGGCTATGGGTGGCAGATCTTTGCGAGGCCCTGGGCGGCAGAACTTTGCGAGGCCCTGGGCGGCAGAACTTTGCGAGGCCCTTGTCCTTTGTGCAAAGAATGTGAATTGAAATAGTAGGCACTTATTAATATTAATATATACTGTACTATAAATTAAATTTATTTTATTGTTATAACTAATAGCCAAAGATAAAATAAAAAGTTTTAAATATCAATTTTTTTCTACTTGGTTGTTGCGCGAGGCCCCTCCAAGAGCGAGGCCCCGGGCGAGTCCCCTGCTCGCCACCCCCTAAGGCCGCCACTGCACAGTTACATTTTGAAAATTACTCGATAACACGGACTTAACACCTAATAGTACGACATCGTTCTGATCATCTTAGTGTCGAATTAACGAATTTCCACTGTAATCATAAATTAATATTTTGCTGCGTAATAACGATAAATATTACATAAGGAAATATATGTATAATTGCAAATCTGACTAATGGCACAGTTGAACCTGTCTATTTCTAATATGTTTAGCACGAAATTAATTTTTCAGTTTAAATTAAATATATTTTCTATGTTTATCTGAAAATATTATTTTTCCGATACTTCTTTATTCCAAATTATGAACTGAATAGTTATTTACTTATTTATAAGTTGGACTGCGTATTAACAGCATAAATTGCATTTGAGAAACATCTCTTTCAATGTAATTTTTAGTTCTAATTAACGCTACTTTTCTCTGATTGGCTAGGAGTTTATCTCGCGTCTTATTGGCCGAAGAAAGTCAGGCATCGGAACCCAGTTATTTTAGAAGTGCTTTATTTGTTCCTAATACAGGTGTGCTTGTACTTGCTATTGTATTAATAAAATAGGGTACATTCAATCGAACCTCAATCTACTACTGATTACTGTGTAGGAACTTGTATATCTCGAATTTTATTTTATGGCATCAATGACCCATTGGCAGAAATTCGGATTTTCCAATTAGAAATCTTTTTCAGATTATCCTATATGGCAAAATTGTTTAAACAGGTTTGAAGACATACGAAAAGTTCTGAGATTTGACGTTCGCAGAATATTAACAGCGGTTTCAGGTTAAACTTACAATTATCAATCGCCCATAGACTACATGGTAAAATTTCACCTGGAATATTTCACTCCGTAGAAAGTGTCGTGACGCAGCCGGAATTTAAAATTCTGGTTTCGTCACGACATCTTACTTACAAAGATGCATATATTTGCAAAAAATCGTGATTAACGTTCGTGCGTTTGCGATAAACTCCGATGTAAGACAGAACACTTTCTGATTTATAAAGAGCTCCGCTCAAAAAATTACAGTAGTAATATCTTTTATATTAATTCTGTACTTATAATATAAAACTTACGCTATCGATCGTGTAACTTTCGCCAGAATAGTATATTACTAATGTCATCAAAAATTATTTTACCTGGAAGCTTCGTAAATACCAAAGAATGCAAATGTTGTTCTTCCGCTCTTCCACATAGAACTAAAGTCGCTGCAACGAAGGTAATTTGATAAATATAGTCGAAGATCATACACGTTGCCATAAATACGCAAAGTTTCTTATACAAAGGAATAGTGGCAATGAATATTCCTACTAGAAACGATGCAACATTAGTCAGAGAAGTGATTGTGATAGAAACACCCGACTCGGTGAATGTTTCGGCCATTCTTTCTTCCACAGATTTCTTTGGGTCGGTTTTCATCCACGCTGATAACATGACAAATGTATCGTCCATGCCAATACCTAAAAGGTAATGAATTATTAATTAAAATTATTTTATATTCAAATCATATAACATTATTGTATAACATGAACATAAAGGAAAAACTTCAATATAATTTTTGTGGTGTAGGCCTATATATATAATTATTTATTTGATAAAAAATGTGTGCACATAAAATAAAAGTTTAAATATTCTACATTTATGTAAATTAAAAATTAATTATAAATAATAAGTGAATGAATAATTAACGATTATAAACGAAACAAAACATACAATACTAAAAGATTTGAAAAATGATGAAAATTTGACGATTGACATCATTCTTCATTAGGATATTTAGTAAATAGTTTTTATCACTTTTATAATATAAATACAGTATTTCTCGACAAATTTCAACGAAACGTCAAATAAACTGTTTTGTCTGCAACAAACCACGCAGAATAGAAAATTAAGAAGAGTACTGAAATAGGACATGAGACAAAAGGCTAGAAAGAAGTCGGCATGAAATATGGAAATAAAAATAAAATCAATACTGAATGTGCTGAATATTGATGAATATGGCGTACAATACCTGGAAAGAACTTTATACAAAGAAATGATTGTATATAATCTTGTTACGATATATTTTTTATTGTAAAGAAATTTGAAATTGTGGATCGTAGACCGCTTTCTGCTACGACAGCAGTAAGTGGTTTAGATTATGTTTTAATGCAATTTACTAGTTTCATATTGGATTTAAAATTAATCTAGTAACTGTGATTGGGTTTGTAACATTTCCATTCGTTATGTTTACTGTTATCTGAAAAAGTTTATTCGGTGTATTGTGTTTGTGGAATGCTCATTTTATACTTACCAATCAACGTGCAAAGCTTAAAAAGAGAGACTTGACACAGGAAAATGTGTTACTTCCTATTTTTTCTAGAGTGAGATTTAAGCACAAACACGGCAGTGGCTAAACCACTGATAGTTCGCTCAAAAAATTTGAAATAAATTTTAATTTTGATTAATTACTTTGACCAGTCGCCAAAAGAGCGCCCATCGGGAGGACTTGCAACAGATAGGCTACTGGTCGCTATTCACGTACGAGATAACCTGGAAGAAATTTGGAAAACTCTTCTGGACGTAACAATTCAGCATAACTTGGCATAAGTATCTACCAGTATTCCAGTTTTCTGTCTGTCTTAGACCGGAAAAAACATTGAACTACTAAAATTATTTCAAAACTTATACAGTAGAGCGTCGTTTATCCGAATCAATTGGGGACGGGTTGTTCGGATAATTTATTTTTCGGATAACCGATTATGTACGAAAAAATATATTAATTTATCCCGTGTTGAAATTTTCTCCGTTGCGTGTCGCTTCGCGTTGAATTTTCGTCGATGTTAAGCCTAACGAAGACTATTGTATCGTTAAAAATTATTTTTTTATTTTGTACAAACAAAATAAATATATTGAAAAATATAAAAACAATAAAAAATTATACTTCAGAAGTTAATTTAGTATCAAAAACGTGAAATATTCGAGTAGCCGAAGACATAGCCAAAGATTACAGCGCCACAGCACTGGCGAAAATTTAAATTTGTCGACTGGAATTCCTTCGGATAAACGACGCTCTACTGTATGTTATAAATTCATCAAAAGTGATTACGTTGTGTATACAACGTAAATCACTTTTGATTTACGTTGATACACAACGTAATCACTGCGTGTGGAGCTTACCGTAATTTATTTTGGCAGGTTGTGTGTTACATACACGTAATATATTGTACAAAAAACAAGAAATAGAAATGTTTGTAACGGATGAATTTTATTTACATCGGCGAATCAGTGCAAGCACTGAGATGAAAAATTCGAAAAATAATACGAATCACTTTAGTCGAACTTGTGCCTAGAAAAAATTATGAATATTGGAACTTAAATTCTTAATTTAATTTTGTATTATTATTGTCATTAATACACAGTTACAGAGGCATCCGCAGTCTGTCGAATAAGCGTGCGATTGCATACCTCGCGATTTACACTTATCGCGAAGGGCACGAAACGTAACAAAGCGAAGAGAGCTAACGAAGGAACGTCAGCGTACGTAACCCCTCGAAACGACTTAAAAACGTTCGTGTCGGCCAATGAGAGTACGCCACAGCTAGGCGCTTGGCAAGCACAAGCCGATGAAATCGTTTTCACCTCATCTAGAGTTCTCGATTCACAGCGAGATAAAAGATCCACATTGACATTAATACCAGTATATTATTTAATTTGGATAAGTCTACATACAACAGTAAACAAAAATAACGTTAATGTGGCAACTGCAGTATCTTGTCTAGTCTTTGTCTTTTGGCTTAAGTTACACAGACTATTGAGATCCGTGGTGGTAAACAGTGGCAGAAGTTACAACTGCAGTATATATAGAGATTTTAAAAACGCTATCTATTAGTAAAAGCGTGAAAATACAGTACAACTCGCGACCACGCTTACCATTTCTTGCAGTGTGTACGATATTCTCTCGTAGCATTTTTTCATAGAATGCTGTTTTTATATAGAAGAACTTATTGCATTTTCATTCTGTCCTAAAAGTGAAGCAGTGACTTTAGCTGACCTTTTTCATAAAACACCAATTAATCAACTAACCAAAACACTAATTCAAGAGTATTACATTCTAAGAATTTCGAATCTATGAGGTTGTAAAGGCGAAATTTAGATATTTCGGGAAAATTCTTTGTTGACAATTAAGCAACGATTACACTTAAATCTTGTACGTAATCACCATCAATATCAATTACATCTGGCCAGCTTTTCTTGAAACTTTCATTCCAGTAAGCATAAAATAACTGGAGATTTTCTTTGAAGAGAGTCTCGAGCTTCAGCTATTATCATTCGCGTACCACCTACTATCTATTTCGCTTCGGCGCGAAATAGATAGTAGGTGGTACGCCAAGTCTTGGAGGAGTTAGAACCTCACATGAAGACTGGCAAGCTTCTCTAAAGTCGTCTTTGCTGTGTGCAGTAGGTATCACTATCAGCAGTTTGTCACTTTCCGGGCGAAGTTCTTTGATCTAGGTATTCGAACGAATCAGTTCTCAGTAGAGTTCTTTCGTGACAGTGATGTTGGTTGATCGTGATGATCCCAAATATAAGCGGTCATTGCTCTCTTCTGTACTATCGACACTTTTACATTTGCAACAGCTTTTGCGCTTTGTTCACAAATGAACGCTTTGACGAACGCTTTTCAGATGAAATTGACATATTCGTTACCTTGGGCCACATTTGAAGTAATAGAGCAAGAGCAAGCTGATGTGTACTTTGTAAAGTTTCAAATTATCAGACAATGGTCGTGCGTCTATTTCCAATTCAGTGTGTGAAAGAAAGTTCATTTGGTTACTCTAAGTATATATCCATATTGAAGGTTTTTGCTAGTCGTTTGTAGAAAAAATCTAAATGTCCAAATTTCATTACAACCTAGTATTAATTATGCTATGAATTATCGCTTTTTAGAGAGAATCAGAGATTGATAATTATGTGTTTTATAATTTAAAGTTAGTCAACAGTAAACTGAACATTTGTGACTTATTAACAGTCTGACCACATTTTTTCCGGGTTTTTGCACGTGTGTAACACCTAAATAGGAATGAACTTCCTATAAAATTCCCCTTCGTAGAATGCCCAATTGTTACCTTGTTCCATCAATCTGGTTAAATCCAGTTCGGTTACTCAAAAAATATTTACAAAAACTACTTTGTATAATTTATTTGATGTTACATGTCAATTTGTGCATATTGTGCAATTTGTTCAATTGCATATTAGGACGATGAATTTTTTATTTAAAATATGTATTCCAAACAAAAATGCACGTATTCAGAATGATGCAAACACAAAGTAGACAAAGAATTATCTTTACATTTTTTATTGGCTCTGTTTTCCATAGCTTTATAATATATTACAAGCACTTTTTCCAAATTTTCAATAGAAAAGTTGCAAAGTTTGTCACTGAGAATTAACTTATATGCATAGAAAGAGCATATAATCCGTTATTTTCAGTAGATGTGTTTCATATCTACTGAAGATGACGGACAATATTTCAACCTTGAAAGAAGATGAACTGGGAATTCACTTTCAGTTTTGCTTTTTTTTTCCTGCCAAAATATCAGCCACAATAAACAAGCACTTTAATCTAAGTCTCTTTCGAAGCACTTTTTTCAACTCTTTCGTCACTTTGTTTTTGCAGCAGTGCCTGGTGCATCAAAGTTACTGGTTTGCTCTGTTGAAGAGATTACTTTGTTCATATATAGGTTTCCCACTACTTTCGAGAGCAGTAATAGTATCTGCGATGAACTTTATTTATATCAACTTGTTCCGAACATAAATGTCATTCAAAATTTTCTTGGCTTTACTTACACAAACTGCATTGTCCGCTAAAGTGGCCAGAAGATTTTTGATATCGAAGAAATGTTCACTGTAGTAGTTAGTACAAAATCTTAGCCATGTATATGCTAAGGGGAAAATAGGCATTTGCCAAAATCCGCTGTCTAAAAATGACAAATAAAGCATCTCTAACGCTATATTTATTAAATAAAAGTATTTATTTTAAAATATTTCATATAGTTTTAATTTTATTACTATAAAATTGCATCAAGGGTTTAATTTATTTCCGTTATTATTGCATCCTAATTTATTCTGCTCGGGATAATACATCCAATAATAATAATAATAATGAATTTGATTGCATTTTTAAGAAAAAATGAAACTTAAGCAGTTTAATTTAAGAATTAAAGTAAACCTTTGCGGAAAATGAAACGAAAAAATAAAAACTTTTTTAAAATATGAAAACAGACTAAACTTTGTTTTAGGCAAAAATAGGCAGCATCATCGAAATAAGCATTTTTAGGCATTATAAAATACTATCGTTTCGGTGTAAATGTTCATGAAAAGTGTTCATACAAAATCTTAGCCATGTATATGCCAAGTTAAAAAATAGGCATTTGCCTAAAATCCGCTGTCTAATCATAGTACTGTACAGAATAAATAAATTGTGTGTAGCGCCATCTGTTATGAGACTTTATCATGAAAAACTTAATTCATACAAAAGACAAAACGCTTAATTTTGAGGGTAGAAATGAAATTTTATAAAAAGTTGAAAATACTAATAACCAGTAACATCGCTAAATTCGACTTTTCTCCAGATATGACACATAACATCTATTTATCTTCACACCTTTCGATCATTAACCACCAACATTTTATTAATATTATTAATCCCACTTATACAGGCACACACACACACATATAAAATATGTCAGGGCCGAAAAAAAATCCCTACCGATATGATTATATCCTTTCGCACGGACTTCTTTCCTTGTTTCGGGTGACACATCGAATGAGTCACTAAGAATCAAATGCAAAAATCGCTATTGGACGTAAAGGACGATTTTACCAAAACACGACAAGAGTTGCGAAAGGGAGGACCCAAAATAAAATAAAAGAGTTCGCCTGACAAAAGAGTTGGTCTACATCGAAGGTTGGTTGTGTGTGTACAGTACACTCGGATACACTTCGCCGCCGATGCTCTTCCAATAGCCAGCAATCAGAATCTTAACCGCGGATAGCCGATGTCCCCAAGTATCCACCAATGACGTGTCTCCACCGAAAAAGGATCCAAATCAAGAGAGCGATATTCAGGCAAATACCACGCGCGAACGTTTGTAAACTCTCTCTCTCTCTTAAAGCATATGTGTAACTACTTTATATAATCAATAAACAAGTATCATTTTTTATAATCGAATTGTAATATGCACTTCTTTAGCCCAATTGGTCTCCATTTCGAGTTCAACCGCCCACAGACACGACAGCTTGCGCGTAAAGGAGAACTTAACGGTCTCAGTGTCTACCCAGAAGACACAGTGGTGTCAGTTTTGACGAATTAGACATTGCAGTCTTCTCCGACACGATGTCGACTCTTCGGTCTTGTGGTGCCGATGCACAGGGCGCTCTTCGCGCATTGTTACAAGTATTATATACATATCCACGAAATCTTTTGCTGCTACTCCAATTATTTTTTTGTTGGTGTGTGTGTTTTAGCTGGCAGCACTGGCACTTTCGTGTGGTGTTTTTCTGAGGACTATGTCGTGCCGAATCGAACGTTTTTGATACCACATTCAGGTCTAAAGTATAATTTTTTTTGTTTTTATATTTTTGAATATATTTATTTTGTTTGTACAAAATATCGAAATAATTTTTAACAATACGATAACCACGATTATTATTTTAAAAAGTTTACGTTAGGCTTAACATCGACGAAAAATCAACGCGAAGCGACACGCAATGGAGAAAAATTTCAGCATGGGATAAGTTAATATATTTTTTTAAATTATCGGTTATCCGAAAACCCCAGTCCTCAATTGATTCGGATAAACGACGCTCTACTTTATATGAATTCCATGTTGTACGAGTCACTTAGATTTTACAAATACGTGTGCCGGGCTGTGAACTGCTCACGTGTTTGTAAAATCTAATTGACTGATACAACATGGAATTCATATAAATCGAAATTATCAACACTATTATAGGGGGATCGACTGTATACAAATAGAAATCAATCAACATTTATACGATATAATTTTGAAATGCAATTCATAACTGTAATGTGTTTAATAAACAAATATTGTGTATAGTATATGTGATAAGCTTTCAACTATTTCAAATCGGTACACTGTAATTATATATATATATATATATATGCCTACATTTAAAAAATAAGAATTACGTTGTTATATTCTCTTTAGTGATATTGCAATGTGAATTGATCAAAGTTTAATATATGTAAAAAATTTAAATTAATATATTTCTATTTATTTTATCTATAAAAAGACAAATTTGATTACTGCATTGATTACGTAATTAACAGTTTCAGAAAATTCATTGACATGGCAATTCAAAATTTTTTAAATTGTATATACTTATATGGTTATATTAAAAATGACTTACCTAAAATTAGAAACGGAATCATCATTTCCATCGGAGACACCTTAAGTCTCGCATACTGTAATAAGCCGAAACCCGATATTACACTCATTCCAGTGGCAATCGACGACATGATTCCGGTCCACGGTTTACTTCGGAGAAAGTCTGGCCATAAACAACTAATAACGGTAAACGTAACCATCAAGAATGCAGAACTCGGAATATATTTTAGTGTAGCGAGGAACAATTGCTTTTTAGATTCGTTCACAGAAAGCGACACGTCTTTACTTATTTTGATATGAGAAAAGTTCACTTTATTCAAGAAATCTACGAATCGATTTTCCCACATTATTGCTTTTTCTTCCGCCCATTTATTCGAATCGTCTAGAAAATAAAACAATTTAACAGCCTCGGCAGATATTACGCAACCTTCTTCGTTCAGTTCCACGCCGCCCAAAGTTAAAACGTCGTAATTTCTGCTCGTATCGCCAATTGGATATTTCAACCGAAATGTTCCGTTTTTCAATGCTTCCAGTTCATTGTTTATACGAAGAATTTTATTTTCGTAGCACTTTCCATTATTTCTAGCACAAATGTCTTTGTAGTTCCATCCTTCGTCTTTTTCAACAAAAAACTTTTGAATTTCTCGATCCAAAGTGACAATTTCACGAAAGACGAAGTCTCGTAGAATGGAGCCTCCGTCCGTCGCTTCGGCAATAACGGTTCCGTAATGAATGACGTGCAATAATCTTGCGGGATCGAAGTTTGACGCGAGATCTATGGGAAACAATTGCATCAAATGCGACTTGTACCTGTCGATAATTCCTCCGGCTGGGACTATGGACTCTTCGTCCAGATCGTGAGAGAACTTTTGAAATCCTGTGGCTGATAACAATGTCATAAAGACAGGCACGATTAAATACCATGAAGTATGTTTTGATACATGTATTCCGTGTTTATGAAATAGTTTTGAAAGATAACGATATGCAATTCCAATAAACATATTCGATATCTGCAAAAATATAGAGTAAAATTAAGTAATTTATTATCATATGGAATTAAATATAATAGATGTTAATTTTATACACATTTAAGATTATCATATATTATTTTTGTCTTTTACATTACATTAATAATATACTGTATTATTTAATCGAAATTTATGATGGTAAATGAAACAATGCTTGATATTTAACCGATTATTATAGAGTGGTACGTCAGGACACAAAATTAATTCGTTCCGAAACTGAGATCGTATCATGAAAATGTCGTAAGGTAAATAATTTTTCCCATACGATTACATGTAAAACCAAATAATTCGTTCCAACACCAAAACATACTCAAATTAAAGCTAAGTAGTACATTAAAAAAATTGATAAGTATAGTAAGGAAAACACTGAAAAATGCGTTTTGTAGTTCTAAATATATAAATAACCATAATAGAATAATAATGTAGTTTTATTTGCACTTTACCTTTGAGGATAGACTACGGTGGAGGTGTAAACTGGTGGCAGAAGAGAGAAAGAAGGGAAATGATACTAAAAACTTAACTTATATAACATAACGTAACAATAACTTAAAAATAACTTATAAAACAACACTAATTTTTTATCTTTTTTTTTACTTTTATTCACTACTTTTTCCTTTCTTTCCTTTACTTCCACCAGCACTTTTACTGGATAGAGATCGCTTGGTAAAATATCTATCCAAAGAGGTTTATCTTTGCCTACATTTTAAAATGTTTCGAAAATGACTTAGGCAAATGTCGTTACTCCGAGCGGCAATACGGCCAGTGTGAACCTTTTCGGAATGTTTCTTTTTAATAAAATCAGTCACTTTCTGATAATATCTCGAGATTTCCTTTATCGAGCGAGATCCTTCCACTACGCCGCAAACACGCGGACTGAGACCGATGAACAGAAGTGAATGAAAAATGGCGCTGCGAACTAATGTAACGTCGTATGGTGAGTTTTTGTTCGTATCGTGGAGCAAAAGTATGTTCGAATTTCGTGTCGTATCCTGAAAATTTCGTATGCTGGGGCGTTCGTATCAATGTTGCCGTTCCTAGTACATTTGTACTTTTCTGGTACATTTTGCCCTTTCCAGTAAATTGAAAGTACATTTAGATTTTTAGTACATTTTCAGTACATTATAATATTTCAAGTACCATTTACAGTACAATTTAATATTTCACGCCCTAACGAAAAAATGAGGAAAAATAAGTTTAATAAAGTCTCACTAGTGTCACTGCTTGTTAATTTAAATTATCCAATCACAACATACAAATGGTGTGTGTCCGTCGATGTCAGCAACATAGATAGTTGCACATGTAAACAGTCTTGACTCAGTGGTCTTCTTTCACACGTTCAGTTGTCTGAGCATTCTCATCAACACATTGACCAAATTTTTCATGCCACGTGGTCCAAACAATTCAACTCCGTCAAACAAAAATAACGGACAGGTAAGGAAATCAATGATTTTAAACTTTTGTCATCAATAATATCAAAACATCCGTTAAGTCAGAAACAAATTATTACAGAAAATAGTTTTGAAATTGTACGAGTATAAATAATATAAATACTTTTATATTATTTTCTACCACTATAATTTAATTCTTAAATTATGAACTTCAATTTTAGTAATCGTAGTAAAAGAAATAAGGGTTAATGTTACGTATGGTTCCAAAATGACCGCGCTTCCGGCTGTTCCAAGGTCTATATAAGAATGTCAAGACACGCGTAATCTACTTCTTGAGCTGCCATTTTGGGGTTTTTTGAGTCGCATGTTTTAAGCAAACTTGTACGAGCAGTCAATTTTATATGACATTAATTAAACTAAAATTTCAGAAATCCTGTAATTTCTAGTCAAAAATATAATAATAATTTCGGATGATTATGCAACCCTAATTTTATGTAACGTTTTCGTCAAATAGTTTAAAAGAAACAAGCATCCTTATCTTTTGCTGTCATGATTGAAATTAATTAAATAGGTACTAAAACTGATGCAATTACGTATATACCACTTCGTAAAGTGATGCAATAACATCACAATAATTTAAAGTATAATAAAGAATAAAATAATATAATATAACAAATTTATAATTATTTTTTTAAAGCACGATTGGTTATAAAATTAACTTTGTAAGGTAAAATTCAATAGTATTATTAATAAATGTTGTCAATGTAATGCTCATTTTATAATAAATAATAGATGTGTAGATATATTTTTAATTTTAAATAGATTTCGACAAATTCCAAAAATAAGATTTAAAATTAAATTATTTGACAATAAACTATATATATGCTATATATATGTATATAAATTACGTGCCTATATATATATAGGCACGTAAACAAAGTATTCATAGAACTAGTACATTTTGAAGGAAAATAGTACATTTTTTGAAGGCGCTTCAGTACGTTCGTATCCTGATGTACCACTGTATATTCACAAATAATTCAGACAAATTTTTTGATGTGTAAATTAAATACATTGATTCAAGTACTTAATTGAGTGCGATTTTAGTTATAAATACTACACATAGTTGACAATTAAATCCAGAGAATAGCTGTTAAAAAGTGAATTCTCTGAAACTCCTGTCAAAATGTCACATCTATATCAACTGTGCATTTATTCCAATTTCCATGTATAATTTTTAATTGATATTAATTAATGTTTACCTGTATGAAAATCTACATCGCTTTCTTTCATAATTTAGGTTATGTATGCATTATGAAAAATGCACAATATAATAATTGAAGAACGTGGTTAATGTTTCCCCGTCTCATCTGTTGAAATGACTAAAAAAAAATATAATATATATATAAACGATTAAAATATTGACTGTATGATTATAAATATTTTGTCGTAATAATCGATTCGTCGATAACGTTTTCTTATCTGCCTCGTATTCTGAGAAACGGCTCCCGTTTAACCACATCACTTTTTCTTCTGACGACCCGTATAAGATACTGAGCCTGTTGTTTTTCCCTGTACTAATTAAACCTAGACTAATTGACAAACAGGTTTTACTCTTGGTCTATCCACTCTCGGTCCAAATTTGGTTGGCAGAAACATATTTTGAATTTAGTCTTACAACTCCATTTAATCCTATGACGTTCCAGTTGTAGTGGTTATTACTCGATATCCACTTACCAGGAAAAAGATGATCGCGTACACGAGTACGTCTTCGTTTATAATACATAACGAAAATAACAATAATTTTTATGTACAGGAAAGACTACTTACAATACCGATGCCGACCTACTATTTTTTATGTAAAAAGTATGTTTTATGATATAGATAATGCTAACGTAAGTTAAGAGGAACTGCGGGATTACTATATTTTAATTTATATAAATTCGTATTATTTAGATTATCAGAAAATAATGTCGATGAATTACAAATTGATTTGTTTTCTCAATAAATCAAGATGTAAATTTGCAGCAGGAAGGTGAAACATCAGAAAGTGGTAAATAATGAAAGAATGTCTCGCAAAAGCATATTTCCCACCATCTGTTGATCTCTCGATTATAAAAGATCGTTTTATTAATTCAGTAACTCGATTCCTTTGAACGGAAATTAACAATTCTGGTGTATTATAGCTGGTGATCGTCTATTTTTTGCTTTCATCAGGAATCAGATAAGTGGCTAAAACGAAACTCGATCCTTATTAACGACACCCGGAGGAAATTTGAATTGCGCTTGATTTGTGACCGTTCTACCCAGAAGGGATAGGACCAAGCTATATTTTTACATTAGTAGAAAGTCCGCTGGAAAATAATAAGAAAAATTTATTCTCATGCATTTTTTTATTAGAAGCATACTTTTCGAGTTATTGGCTAGTAACAACTTACGTAAAACACAGTGTAAAAATCACAAAATGTACAGTACAGTACATTAATGTTTCGTAAATATTATTTACAACTATATCATATTTCTGTAGAACTATTATATAGGCCTAATTATAAACGGACAACCTTACTTCTGAATCCGTGCGCGATTGAAAAACGTCGTCTATAGTTTCCGGTGATTTACGGTCCGGTTGATACTAGACTGGCCGATTCTCAAGTTCGGGTGGAATGATAGACCGATAGCGACGACGTCATTACCGTAATCAAGCAGACAATCGGTAAGCATTTTCGTTCACTTTTTTTAAGCCCACCGCGAACGAGTGGATGTCCGACCGTCTCGTTTGGAACTGTACTAAATAAACATTCCGATATTGCGCTCTCTTTCGTCACTTCTTCGGTAAGACGATATCAATATTGTAATCGTAGGCTTATATCTAGATCTGTTCGAAGACTAGTGACCCTCATTCGCGGTCGATCTTTATTCTCTGCCCACAATCGGAAGCGAAAGAAGACAGTCACGTGACACGAAAATCAGAAAACGCATCGACTGGTTTGAACCCAATTTTTATTTCTTTCGGAATAAGATCGGATTATGACGTTTATATAGAAAATAAGAGATGATGTAAAAATACAATTAACCCCACGATTTACTTCAAATATAAAAATAATATTCTGTATATTACATCTCATAAACTATGAATCGAGTACCAATGTATTATTGGTACTCGATTTAATTAATCGAGTACCAATAATACATACTGGTAATTAATTAATTTTATTACGCTTAAGGATAAAATTCGATAGACGATGGAGTAAACTTTTAAAGACATTGACTTCGTATTGTCAATGCTCGATTCAATGATTAATTTCTATCAAATCCTTTTTGGGGATTATTAAACAATGAATAAATAAATTTCTGAAATGTTTACAAAGCACTTTATCTACAATTATTTTATCGGATTAAATATTTACGCGACATAAATATACATTCGTTAATAAGACAACGTAATATGTGCGTACATAGATATAGATTATACAAATTGTAAATTATGAAAAACTAATAAATTTGTGTTCGTTACTATTAATAATAATAAATGATGTTAATTATTAAGTAATTATCACTTTCGATGCTCCGTTGCGAATCGGTAGAATTGTTATTATCTTAATATCATTAATAAACCCTTGACAAATCAGTAATAACAAGTTTGTCGTTATCGAAACTCTCTATGTGCCGAGCTAGCGCACGGGAGGAAAAAATCGACCTTAAAACGACGGCGGTCATTTATTTGCTCAGATTGATATGCTCGAACGTTCTTTACTATCTCGGTCACCCTCGTGTTTATATATATTTGATTAAAATTAAGTTAAATAATATAACATAAATTGATTTACTCTTACGTAAGGATAGGATGTTTCGAAACAAAAGTATTCTAATTTATCTTAAAACAAAAAAAAAAAAAAACAGGAAGCTTACTTACGAGGGAAAAAAAGTGTGACAGGGATAAAGCTATTTAGAATGAGCAGACGTCAGGAACGACCTCTGAAGTTACCACTTTTGAAAAGTAATCTTAATTTATGCATAATTATAAAAATAAATCAGTTTCTAAATTTAGACCCGCTTATTCATAAAATAAGCCGTAAAATTTTTCAAAGATATTATTAATTATTCATCCGGTAAAATCCATATTCGGTGTTAGCAACGATAGTAACGAGCAACGTTACTAAACGAGAGGCAGTAAGGGCAAAGGAGTGAGTAAAGGTCGTATGCGCTTGCGACGCGAGTTAACTCGCCAATCAGATTAGTACGATAACGTTCGCGTAACTTCAGTCGCAGATTCTTACTTTATCGGATATTGATGGATAAATTATGTTAATATTTTGCAATACCAAAAAAGTCGAGTAAAATTAAAGGCGAAATCGATTTATTTAAGCGCATTTGGTGAAAATTTTATGCGTTTCGTCATTCGTTATCACGCCTTTGAATGCACTGGTAAGAATTCTACGCTGCAGCCTTCCGAGGATCCTGATGGTGGGATACGTGCTATTCAGGTTTTATTCAAACTACGTCTTTCTTAACATATCAAACAAAAAAAAACAATTAATCGTATCAGCTAGTACTTAACAGGTTTCTAGATATATGCTGTTACAGCAAAGATGAACAGTTTAAAGGTCATTAATAGATTATATTAACTGATAACCAGAGATAACGGTAGAATACTAAAGCAAATTTATATTCCTTTCTTCGAAACACAAAAGGCAAAAAGAACCCGCTCAACCTCTGAGTCACATCCAATCCGTGACGGCCTTGTGTACTTGTATTACGTGAAACACGAAATGCCAATAACAGAAAAAGTAATCGTCGGTAATTGAGGATACGAGTGAATCCGACTAACGAAATAAACTCGACGTCACGCTTGTAGACGAACTTTATTCTATTTCGGTATCGTTAGTTGTGTCGTAACAAACAATTGTTATCAACTTCGAACACTGGATTTTGGGTTAAATAATTATTAATGCCATGTGACCAACATCCAAGATCCTAGGGCAAATGATTTATAGTTTGCATAAACTGTACGTATAGGTAGACGTAGCAACACCAAATAGGCCTATAGTAGAATAGGCTCCAACAAACTGTGAGATGATCTTACGGGAATTGAAAGTTCGGAGTGACGCTCGAACAGGATTTCTGAAGAAGAAAAAGGTCGAGGAAGTTTTTTCAGGAACATTTTTGAAATTTAATATAAATCAGGGTGAAACTATTAAACAATAGATATGCAGACATACAAAACTATTGGAAATTTAAGCGTTAAACGTTATATACTTATCTAAACATAATCAAATAGAATTTAGCCTCTTGTAAAAATTCACACGATCCTGCAAAAACATGCAAAAACAGTCGAAAATTTTTCTGAGGACGAGTCCAAAGCAATTAAAAATACAGTATTTCTTTAAATATTACTTTAAAACTGTAAATTCCCAAAGTTGAAGATCTTTTAACCATTTAAAATATAATTAGCGATCTCTTAGATTCGGCCACCGTAACTTGTCATCGTGAACGACCAAGAGAAAATAAAGTGCGCTGACGACAAAGAGTTAAATCTTCACAAATACAAATTTCCCGATTCTCTTACCTAGACAAAAGTCAGAAAACATTTTGCGCTTGTAAGGGAATTTCTAGAAAATACTCGAGTACAAAAATACTCTTAAAATCCCACGTCAAAAACAACGAGTAAGAAGCGACGAATCTGTCGACAAAAATCCCTGTCACAGACGTCTATTACTAATAATGTCAACGCATTGTCTGTCATTTGTACATTTTCGCGTTCGATAAATAAAAGAAATATAAGAGTTAAGTCAAACTAATGTACTGGTTTATTGCAAAAAAAAAGTCTACGAAGCGCGCGCAAACAAACCAACCCTCGTGGCTTACGAGTCAAGAAAGTGACGTCGATTCGCAAAACGGGCACTTCTCTACCAATGAACTTAATCAGGAGTTTTCTATTGTTTCTCAATCTGTCCCGTACGAAGATATCACTCTTTGTCTTCGCTACGGAAAGACTGTTTCAAAATGGATTCCTCCAACGCTTACACCAGAACACATCAAACGAATGGATTTTTAAATCGTTTAGTGATAGGAGGCGAAGAACGGGTCTCGTTACGCGCCTTAAACAAGCGACAATTTCTTGAATGGAAACGGTGAGAAAACGAAAAATCTTGTCTATTTTTGTAATCATTTAATAAAAAATCAAGAATTCGGAGAAATTGTACGTTATAGCAACGAGATTTCGAAGCGGGTAAGTGGTTGTTCTGCAGGCTTCAATGTTTTTACCTACAGAAGCGATCTTAAAAATTTATTTAATTATTTCTTTTTAATTTTAAACTCAATCAAACTCAACTCGAAACCCACGTATCGATCCATTTAGTCAACGTTTCAAATTCTGACGTAGTGAACAACTTTAAAAACTGGGACGACCGAAAGCCTTTTATTATATTTCAAAGCATTTACATAAAGCGACTTTGGAAGAAATAGTAAACTACGTCATTATTTTATATGGTAATGCAGCCCGACACATCGGGCATAAGATTTAAATAATGCGAAACGCCTTTTGTCGTTCGCATTTGAATATGGATAGGTTTACATCTGTCTGGCCTTATTTATATTGGGAATTTTACCTCAAAAACAGTTTTCATCGTACAAAAAGTAATTTTTTTTATAATTTTGTAACAATAAAACACTTACTTTAAAAATGTCCGTCCCTAAAAATGATAAAAACACGAGAATAAAAGAACGTTTATTGCTCACTCGTCGATTTTTTTAGAAAACAATTTGCAAATTGTTAGCGAAAGTTATTTTATTGCGAGTTAAACTGAATTCTTGCCGAAATAAGTCAAAATACTATCGAAATGTGTCTAGAAATCGAAATTATTCTAAAAATGTGGCATCCCGATTTCGAGAGAAAGACACTCACCTGCAAGGAAACTTGAAAAACTAAAATAATTTCCTTAAACTATTATAATTGTTGCCCCGTCCTTCAATTCTATCAGAATTAAAGTATTATTGCTGAATGTCTTACGCAGAGGGACGTGTTCGACTGAGCGATAAAATACCGAAAGGTAAGGAAAGTAATAAGAGGAACGAGAAAGGAAAAGCCTATTACCGAGTTAAGCCGAGTGAAATGCAATAAAAATTTATTCGTAGAGGCAATTCGACCGAAACAATAGATGGCTGAACAATAACCATAATTGATACGAAACAAGAAAGCTACCGGTTTGACTGTAATCATTAAATAATAGTCGTTTGCCGTCATTTAATTCATCTATCATAAATATTGAGATTTTATTGTATTCTTTCGATACAAACGAATAATTTCCTTTTTGATTTTTAGTTAGACATTGTTAAACCATTAACTACAATTTTTCAAATATCTACGCCTAATCAAAATCAAAAACTTTTCTATTCATTACAGAGAATATAAACGCCTCCGTGTTTATCACTTAAAATAAATATTTGTTAAACAACCGAAAGTAGCTACGAACACACCCTTTTTAAGGCTCTCTTTAGAAGGCTCGTAAGCGATCCTTTTTTGAAGAAATGAACTACGTTAAACGTTAATTTTTAATTAATATCTTGGCTGTGTCTGATATAACAAGGGAAAGTATAGGAATTCTGTTAAATTTCACAATGAGATTTTTTACAAATTTATGTTTCCCATATTTTACAAGTGGTATATAGGAGTGAAATATATCTCGTATATTTATTTAGGCAGGTAAAACTCTCTCGGTGAAACTCGAAAAGAATTCTACGCTTCGTTAAGAAAATCGAGAGCCCCAGGACGAACACGCACGATATAAAATCCTATGCACCGGTACACGATGAGCTATCGACACCTATATTTAACGACGCTCTGCTGCGAGTCGATGTCCTTTCATAATTAAAAACATAACAACGGGCTTTTATAAACGTTAATGACTCGTATTTTAATGATAGTACCGATAGTAAATCTTGCTGTGCATTGTTACTCGTAGTTGGTGCAGGAGGTGAAGGAAGACGATATACTTTGCACGCCTTTATGAAAACTAATATCAATCAATGTACAGTATTATTATCTTGTATTATCAGCGTATTATTAAGAGAGTAATATTTTCCTCGTAAACATTGTACAGAAATATAAAAAATATAATAATTCTTACGTATATTTATTCGAGTTGCCTCACTTTTTCGACAAAAAATTTAAATCTGTGTGTGGCGCTATCTGTTATATTTTATTTTAAAACTTTTCACGTTACTAATTGTTATAAAATTACGAAAAGCTTAATTGTTAGGTTAACGAATAATTTTATTTTAAAAATTTGCAATTGTCAATAACAAGTAAAATCATCAAAATGTATAGGAACACACTCGAGATTCGACGCTCGACCCCCCTCTTTCTCACCACCAAAGTTTAAAACCGTCAATTCCTCTCATATACAAACCTGCAAGAAAAATTTCACAGATGATCGACAAAAGATATAGGAGTTACTGAGCTTGAAAGGGGGTAAGTATTTGATAAAATTGTGTCTTCCACACACTAATATCCACACATACAGAAAAAGTTTTCCTAAATAAATTGTATTTCTCGAAACTTTAACGATCCACGAATCCAAAAATAAGAAAATATTATGGGAAATTTTTGACCGATTCCCATACTTTCTGTTAGAACATACGGAAAATTATAGTTTCTCATAAAGTCCTTACATGAAATATAATTTGTAATCAAGAACAACTGTATAAACAGAAAAGATTTTATTGCGAAGAAGTAAACATTGTTTACACGAAGAAGTACAAGTGCTCTGCATATAGTCAGATCCGGAAAAAACTTCATTCGTACAGCACTGATTATTTATGAAATTAAAATAACAGAAAAAATTGTTTAAAAAGTTTCCGAATATTTGTAATTTCTTTAGAAAATACGTTTTATTTTCCTTACTTTAAACAATCCAGAGAACTTTCCTTTCGGGAAAACGATTTATTGATATCGGACGTAATGATGATAAATATCGTATTGTTCACTTTCTGCCCCTTTTCCAAACCCCTACACTCACGATATTGTGAAAGGCGGGTGAAATGTCTACTCGTTTTAAATTTCAACGTTACTTCTCCCGATAATTCTGTATTTGAATTTACCGATTGTTATTATCAAAGTTTAACACATTTAATTTGTATTTACGCAGAATTGGAGAGTGAACTGAAATTGAGAGTAGAGTCACCATCTGTACGGTTAAAAAAGTATTTGCGAACGACGCTCGAATCCATAAAATAATGTAATTTTATGGTAAAAAGAAAAGAACAATGACGCGATTAATCATACATTATATAACAAAATCAAGTTTTCGACTTCCTTGTTGCAATTTTCAAAAGTAGAATTAAAAGCTTCTCTAGGTCCTAATACTCCCGCAAATCCTATATCTTCAGATTTTCTATAAACAGTTTGCAGAAAATGGAAGCGGTGTCCAGGACCGAGATCGTTTTACCGGAGTTTTTAAACAAATCGCTCATCGACTACTTAATCGAAATATAATTTTAAAAGCTTTCGTTTCTGTTCTATTACAAAACTTTTCCGGTTATGATGTTTATTTTAAAGGATACTCTCGATTAATTTCTCTTTGTTTTCAAATTATTCCTGGTAAATATTGAAAAATTTAAAACTTTTGCTTCGGATTATTCGAACAGTTGCAGAGTTTTCACTCTTCATTACAGTCACTCGTTAATTCGGGTTAATTTTTCCTGTTTTGTCAGAATTATAAAAATATTTTTAAAAGAAAACGAATTTTCTCATATTTATTCTAATAAATTATATCGGGCTGTCTATTGAAGGAGAAATAGGCTTTTGTAAACTGAAACAATTGCATATTCCATTCGGCCTTGTCATTTTAAATTTGAGTTAAAATTAACAGTGCGTGTGTAGAGGGCTATTGTTGTTTTTCCGTAATAATAAAGTAAAAAACGTTATCGGACTAATTCTAGTAATTGTCTCATCTAACATCCAAAAAGAATACAAATAAGAGTTTTTCAATAGTAAACAGTGGAGTTGCGAGCTGAGAGAGTTACGTGAAGTGTGCTGTTCACTAGGATAAATACGATCAGTGGAGAATTAAGGTAGTTTGTTTAATAACAATTTTTTTTCTTTTAGAAAAAAGTTAACTAAAACCAGTAAATCGAGTTTAATATGTTCACAATGAATTAAATTAACTATTTATCCGATATGCATTTGGGGCCGTCTGGCCATCTTCGATGGAATTTTACAAACAATACTAATATCCCCCGCAAAAAACAGCTTGATATCAATCGTTAACATTGCAATTAAACCTTAAATGAACAATAATTTAGTTTAGAATTATCAATATAATATGACGTTATTACTTTGTTTAATTCACAAGAAGGCTTAAAGTACAATTATAGTATATAGACAGACACCTGCTCAATTAACCAAATTACAATTGAAATAAGGGAGAAACTTGGGAAAATAATTCTTGTTTCTTCTTTGTGGTAAAAATTGTCCTCTTTTGCTCTATCCCGTCACATTTCTTTTAAAATGTAGGACGTGTAGGCTCACTTCTATTAATTCACTTCTATTATAGGTTTTAATTATCAATGCGTTTTTTGTTCCGTACGACAATACTTGTTATTCTTATTTCATACACGTTTTTGTCTCGATCGTACTCTGGCCTTACACGGTAAAAAACAAAAATACGACACGTACAGTACTTACTTTTAATTCCAAGATGCAATAATTTTACCGTGACTTTGAACACTGTGAAATGAAAAGAATTAGAAAAAAAGAAAACAGTAAAAAGCACTTTAAATATTTATTTCTAATTCATTACAACAGCTGTTGAAAATTCTTCAGCTTTCAGAATATAGGCCATACTATTTCATATTTATATCGTGGGATAAATAATTTATAAAATGTATTACATATATAAAAATACTTTAAAAAAGGTTATATTGTAAAACGAATTTCATTGTTAAATATAAAATATATTACAAGACTCGTAAATTATTATCAATAATATAATTGATAATACTTCTACCTACTCCTGTGAATTGACTGTATACTTACCGTATGATTAGGATGAAAGAATTTAAACTTTTCCTCTTGGATTTGAAATAGAGACATATTTGAATAATTCCGTCGATCACGGAAATAATTATTGGAACAAATGTAAGTTCACGAATTCCGGCAATTACATGAGCTACAATAATTACTTTTTTAGCTTTCTTACTATATACTGTACTTGACACTTACGATTACTTACCTGTCTGGCTCTGTTATATAGGCTATAACAGAGAAAAAGTATGGCGGTCGGTCAAAAGACGACCCGCAGATTTTTAGATTTTTGGATTCGAGGGACCGTAAAACGTAGAGATCGAAAAAATGCAAACAACTAAACCTACTATATCAAAATTATTATACCCGGAAACTTTGTAAATACCATATGTTCATTAAAGTTTATAGCTGAAAAGTGTAAACTGCAAAGAAGCAGCAGAGCCAGCCATTCAAGAGTTCATCTTTATGGCTCATTTTTTTAAAGGGGAATTCCCGGGTAATCTAGAATTTATCATTTTATCTTTCGCTTTCCCGTGAACGAGAATTGCAAGAAAATTGAACGAACTTTCTCTAATCGTTCTGTAATTTAATGCGTTTGAAACCGAATAAGCAAATTTGTAATCTTCAAAGTTATTTTCAGATTCTTTTCTAGTCGAATAAGTATGATTCGTATTAAAAAGCTTCTTGCCTGTATGACAAATTTTAGAAAATTGTTGTTAATATTGTTGTTAAATTGTTGTTACATTGTTTAATGGAACCATTAAACCTGGCTTATAAAATTGTAAGTATAATATTAAAGAAATTATACCCTGTAGGAAAGTGTGTGTATATATATATATATAATTTCCAACTAGCGTATGAGCCGTCACTTCCACATCGATTAACTTCACAAAACAAAAAGTATAAAAATTGATAATATAAATTATTTTTTAAAATTCCTTTTAAACTTTAAATTTAAATAAACATTTTGGAATTAGTTACGCGATTATTTTAAGGATTTACGAATAGAGTCAATCGATTTGGCCCGTGAACGGCTCATATAAAGGTCATAAAACAAAACTATAAAAACTCTTCAGTAACCAAACATTATAAGTTAATAGTAAAGGTTGTGAAACACGTTTAACTACAGTGAAAATTGTGAAGTCGGAATATAATATCAACTAGACGAATAGAGAAATAATCAGAATTAATAAAAACAAAATACATAATAAGAACGGGCACGAAATAAATCGAAGGTGGTATAATATTTTAAATATAAAAATTATATTTAAATTGTCCAAATTCCGTAGTCCCATAATTTTTTTAAAATTAAAAATTGCTTATTGTAAATCATCGCAATGTTTAGCAGCAATTTTAATTACATTTTTGATTTGTTAAATATAAAATATATTACAAGACTCGTAAATTATTATCAATAATATAATTGATAATACTTCTACCTACTCCTGTGAATTGACTGTATACTTACCGTATGATTAGGATGAAAGAATTTAAACTTTTCCTCTTGGATTTGAAATAGAGACATATTTGAATAATTCCGTCGATCACGGAAATAATTATTGGAACAAATGTAAGTTCACGAATTCCGGCAATTACATGAGCTACAATAATTACTTTTTTAGCTTTCTTACTATGTACTGTACTTGACACTTACGNTTTTTTTAAAATTAAAAATACACGTGATACTTAGGTAGCCGCATATATTAGTGAAAGCACTAGTAAAAATTGATTGTGTGAACATCAACGTGTTAAACTATAGTATTTTGATTTTGGGTTAGAAAGTAGGTCACGCGATCGGATTCGGACGGAGGCGAGTGAGACAGTGTTGGAAGCGAGACACTCAAATACTAGGTTAACAAAACAAATACCTGTTTAATTTTGTTACTAGTTCTACAGATTTACAGTAGCGAGGCAATTAGACATTGGATACGAGAGTGACGTGGACGCGTTTCCCGATAGACAGAGTTCACCTAAAATCTCGCGTTGTTATAAATACCTGGAATCGGAAGAGAACCGATCGTATATGAGATGCTCGTTCGATCGTCTTTAGAGTATTTTGTAGTTGAAAGTTTAGAGCACACTGGAAACAGTTCGAAGAAAGGTGTGGAAGGTTTTATCCGAGACAGGAGTAGGAAATTTCCTCGGGCTGAGGACATGACGGAGACTCTGGAGACATTACATTACATTACACTGGAGTAAAGATTAGGAGGGTTAAATTAATTAAAATATCTATAACCATAAGGCAGATAATAGGAAGGGCATATCACACCAATGATAATGGGCACAAACGCTCAAGAATCAAAGTAAAAATTTAATAAAACAAAAAGGGGGTACAATAAGATGATTACATAAGTATAAAAACCGTAAAAATCCAAAATGCAACAAAATGCATCCAAAATTAACAGTGACATCTGGCTGCATCATATGTTGTCACCACATGTGCTCCAGATGTGTAAGGTAACACACCTCCTTTGTAACTGCTCCCTGCATCTTGTAGAAATGTCTGAACCTGCAACTCTGTTGTTCTACTGTTTTTGGTATGTACATAATTTAAACTGACTGTATAATATTACTTCATAACTGTTAACCAATATTTCGGCTAACTCATAACTGTTCATCATGTTACCATGCAACGTTAGGAAGAAATGTTAATCCTGTCTACATTGATAATGCTTACTGCTCATACAGTCATGGCGATGGTTTCATCTTTATATTGTATAGTTTTAAGCATAGTTTTAAGTTTAATTTTTAAATTTGATATTTTTTCTCGCCTTGTATAATTTTAAGTATATTAAGACCTCTCGCTATTACTAACTGACGAGGGACTATTTTTCCATTGGAGAATAGTCCGAAATGCATTTTGGATTTTTACGGTTTTTATACTTATGTAATCATTTTATTATACCCCCTTTTTGTTTTATTAAATTTTTACTTTGATTCTTGAGCGTTTGTGCCCATTATCATTGGTGTGATATGCCCTTCCTATTATCTACCTTATGGTTATAGATATTTTAATTAATTTAATTATACTTAGGGCTAAAAGCAATTTCTGTAATGACAATTAAGAGGGTTGTCTGTCTTGTTGACTGACTTAGCCCTGAAAGAAATGAAAGGAAAGAAGAATAGTGATAGATTAGATGAAAGGTTAGGAGGTGAAGAAAAATGGGTATGCGAAGCCGTCTTGCCTCGGCATTTATTAATGAAAGAAGACATCAGCAGCCTTAATTAACACGTCGATGTTCACACTACCAGCTTTTACTAATGCTTTCACTAATATCTGTAGTTACCCGTGTTTCTGCCGTTTGAAAGGAAATTATGGAACTACGGAATTCTGGACGATTTAACTATAATTTTTATATTTAAAAAATCATACCATCTTTTGCCCATTACTAATAATAGTAACGGGTGAGGACCTTAGGGGACAGGAATGAAAGTATAAAAATTAATAATGTCTTTAATTTAGCCAACGTAATCGAATAATAGAAATATGTCATTAACGGCGTCCTATTGTATAGCAATTAAGGAATGAAAAGGTATTAAAAAAGTAAAAACAGTGCGTTTACTTTCGAAAGTAATGAATTGTCACACTCCGATCGGGCGAAATAACGGTATTTTTCCTTTCTTTAATATATATTAAAAAGTATATATTTTCGTCGACAGATGGCGATACACGATGACTGGAGTAGATGCGAAGTTTTAAGTCTCTTCCCCTTAATACCTTTAATGTTATTAAACAGTACTATAACACGATACTATTAAAAAATATACTGTATGTAAGAAACGGTACAAAAATTTTCAAAATTTAAACATAAATAATCGCTCTATAATCAATTTATTTATATAGTTACATAGGATATATACAAAATTTTGTCATTTGTAACAAATGGTACATTTGCTAACAATTAAGGGTGGATGAGATACCTTTAGCCTTACTTATCTACGGCTATGTTAAAAAACGGTAAATCATAACTTAATTAAAAACTGGCTGTTATGAATTTGGCAACTTGTAACCATTTGTTAGTAAAAGTGATAATCCTATTCGTCCAAAGTATCTAACCACCCTGTTAAAAACCTATTTTTATTAATAAAACATTTTCTCACTGATGTCTAAGTGTAAAAATAGATAACAGGTGGCGCTCTTATCTAAATATAAAACACTAACTAAGCAGACAAGTGTAGATTAATAGCGAAATGCAGTAGGAAAGAACGAGTTCGTGAATAATAACATAAATAGCGCCGGTGAGATAAACAGGTAATTGTAATATTAAATTTTAGCTTAAACAATAATACCAGACCAACTTTAATTTGTACATTTGTAGGTTAATAATCCGAAAAATATTAATAGATCTTGCGCTTTAACCAAAGAAATTGGACAATATAAGAAATATGCCAAACGAATTATGTTCGTTAAAATATTCATTAGGTATTAACAATAATAACTTAATTAGGTTTAGGTAAAAAATTTCCTAAAGGTTATCAATGGATATAAAAAGGAATAAGTACACGCCAGTGAAAGATAAAAACATAATTTAGATATCAGTGAGAAAATATTTTAAAGAAGGGCAGTCCTGACCAACTTATAGGGGGTGAGATGGACCTTCACCAGTTAAACTCTACAATGATTTACTTCGCATCTTTGTTTTTCTATACAAGCTTAATAATCCATTCTAATAAAATTATGCCGCAAAAGACTTACATTTATTTATTGCGCGGCAATTAACGTTACAGATTAATATTTTTGTAAATACACTAAAACATAAAGAAATAATTATTTTATAGGTAAATGTCTCTTCAATCCGAACAAAATTTCGGTAGACTTTCTCACAGCTCTACAGGTTAAAAATGAAGCTGCCATACGGTTAAAACATGATAATTCACCTTGGTATAACCACATCAAAAATAGTAACTGCAAAATAGATAGAAATAATATTAAAATCCTACACTGTGAAAAAAATATATATAAACGTAAATTCAAAGAACATATAGAAATAATGAAATACAGTGGTAATAATTTAATAAACATTTCCANGAGTAGATGCGAAGTTTTAAGTCTCTTCCCCTTAATACCTTTAATGTTATTAAACAGTACTATAACACGATACTATTAAATAATATACTGTATGTAAGAAACGGTACAAAAATTTTCAAAATTTAAACATAAATAATCGCTCTATAATCAATTTATTTATATAGTTACATAGGATATATACAAAATTTTGTCATTTGTAACAAATGGTACATTTGCTAACAATTAAGGATGGATGAGATACCTTTAGCCTTACTTATCTACGGCTATGTTAAAAAACGGTAAATCATAACTTAATTAAAAACTGGCTGTTATGAATTTGGCAACTTGTAACCGTTTGTTAGTAAAAGTGATAATCCTATTCGTCCAAAGTATCTAACCACCCTGTTAAAACACCTATTTTTATTAATAAAACATTTTCTCACTGATGTCTAAGTGTAAAAATAGATAACAGGTGGCGCTCTTATCTAAATATAAAACACTAACTAAGCAGACAAGTGTAGATTAATAGTGTAATGCAATAGGAAATTATGCTGCAAAAGAGTTACATTTATTTATTGCGCGGCAATTAACGTCACAGATTAAATTTTTTTGTAAATACGCTAAAACATAAAGGAATAATTATTTATTGTGACGACGTCACAATAAATAGTTAGTTTAGGAAGGTGAGAATTTGGCGCACGAAAAGCGAAGTATTGAATAAAGAAAACGAGTATTGTCCGAAATTATAATGTCCAAAACTCCAAGATTATTGTCGCTGTAATGTAAGTAAAGATAAATAATAAACAATAATTCAAAGTGACGAGTCTGTGCAATAAATAAGTAGCTTCGTCCTTTGCTTACTAAACTGATTTCCATTACCGGAATGATAGCATTCGGGCCGTGAAATGCGTTACGCGCAATTTGTCAAGATGTGTACCGAATCGCTAATATTGGTAACGACAAAACTACATTCGCAGATTATTAAGTTATTAATAATAATGTATTTAATAGAATTTCTTTAATTCGGCTGCCGATAATTGCAATATCGAGTAATTCGTTACATTCATTAATTTTCCCATAATCCGGAATTAACCGTTAATTATCCGACACCATTTCGGTCCCATAATTTTCGATCTACCACTGTATTAAAAAAGTAATGTTTCGCAATTAAAAAATGAGGAAATATATTTATTATTATGTATAATTACTAAACTAAATATAATGCTACAATTACAATACTATAATATATTAACCCGATTACATAGTATAGTATTATTATGTACTGTACTGTACAAATATCAATATGTAATATATTCGATACACAGATACACAGATAACAACTTTTGTTTCTTTATTTTATTTATTTATTTTTTGTTTATCTCTACTTTGAAAGAATACATATGTACGGTACTGTACGTAACTATTAAGGAATTGATATTCTTTGGGCAAGTACATTTAATCATATAATACATTGCTCCTTTCCGTAATGTTTAAAACACGTTTATGTTTTATTCATTAGATATTTCTCATGAATAATACAAGAACTTCGACAATATTACAAGTAAAGTAATACGAGTTGAAGGACTCGAGTTTGAAACGAATATATAAAATTGCAACGATTTCCTTATTAATTGAAACTGTTGTAATTTCCGTACAGAAATAGAAATTAAAGTGAAAACGTTAACAAAATTACCATTTATAAGATAGATTTCGGCATAAGTAATACTTCCTATTCGTTTAGAAATTCCTAAATGCAGAATCTACTCGATAAAAGTGTCCTTCGTAGTACTTCCTTCACGTAATCTCTTATAATTCATGACTTTTACAAAACTATTTATGTATTTCGTCAGAAATTTTCTCTTTCTCTCCTTTTAGTTTATCCTATTTATCATTAGCGATGACAATTTTTTTTATTCGGACGTGCTCGTATTATTTTCATCTTCACTGCGTTGTGCGAAACCCAGTGTTTCTCCATTCTCCCTATAATTTTCTGATATATTTTCTTTTTAAATATCCACGTTAGTAAATGATTACAACAATCCAGTTTTGTAGATAACAATTCCCTGTAATCATTTATTGATGGCCGGTGTTTAAAATCTATTTATATTTCTTAATTCATATGTTACGTCGTGCAGTTATTAAGTGATTTTTATTTATAACATTTATAAACCGCATAAATTTAAATGTTCTAACATAAGTCAGATGTTTCAAAACAATAAGATGTGAATTGATATTATAAAAACAAAGTTATTAATTAATTAATTAACATACGTTGCAAGAGTAATGTTAAATTTTGGTGATTAAAAGTGGGGGGGTGTGAAGATAAAGGAGTCGTGTGTATCTCCAGAATGATCGCCTTAATTACGATTTTACTCGTTATTAGCATTTACAAAATTTTATGAAATCCATGCCTACCCACAAAATTAAGGTTTTTCATTTTATAATAATTAAAAACATAAAAAATATTTAATAAAATATGATAACAGATGGTGCCACCGAATGTTACCGGGAAAGTTAAACAACGCGTTGCTGGTGTTTTTGAAGGCGAGTCCGCCTTATGGCCCTGGAAGTCGTGCCACGATTGACACAAGTGACAACGTTTGCCATCCCCGTAGATAGTACGGTATAAAATGTTAGAAATTTACATAAAGACACGTCAGTAGAAAACAAAACTGATTAAAAATCGTTTAAACGAGATAAGTTATTGTAAAGAAAAAATGAACACGAAAGAGAAAATTTTTGGAACAATGAAATGTAAATCAAAAAACTCAGGGACATCAAAACACTCGTGTTTGCAGTGGATCAACCGGTTCCGTCGTGTATATTTTGTTTAAATGGGTTTAATAGGATTCCGTTTGCGTATAAAAGCTGGATCACTTTCGCTTCTTAACCTTTCTTCGATGTGAAAAGCAAATAATTTTAACTGCGAAGAATAAGATTATTTAAAAATATAAACTACAATTTTTCAGGTTAGTTGTGATAAAACTTATATTTTCTAATATTAATCGAAAGTTTGTAAACATTTACCTTTTGGTGATGCGTAAAAACTGATTACGTGTAAAAAAGAAGTTAAATTTTAGGTAATTATTTAAACATCTAAACCAGGAAAAGCTGTTTTTTTGTCAGATTCATAAATATAAAGACAAAGGGAAAATATATATAAATTAATGTTATTTAGTGTTAGTTTAACAACGTAATTTTTATACTTTATTAGCGTACCACGTATTATTTTAGTACGAAATCACGATTTCGGATTCTTGCCTCAAAGTGAAATGTAGCATTTTCTTTCATTATGAATAGCGATAATATTAAATATGACTTTTACTTCCGGCTGTTATATATAAAGAGGGAAAATATGGCGGTCAAATAATGACCCCCAAGAATTTCACATTTTTCGACTTAAAACACTTTGAAACGTCGAGAAATGCAGGAAAAAAATCGGTGGTAATTTCTGTATGTGTGGATGTTAGTTTGCATGTGTGTATGGCACGATTTTATTTACTCTCTTCGAAGCTTTATAACTCCCGTGCTTTTTGTCGAAAATTTCTGAAATTCTGTACGGAGGATTGTTTATGAGGGGGATTAATGCTATTCAATTTCAGTTATTAAAAAGGTCGAGAGATGGAGAGATAATGGGAATCGTGTATATCTCCAGTAGGGTCGGACTTAATGACGATTTTACTCGTTATTAGCATTTACAATGTTTAATAAAAGCCATCTCTTCCCTCTAAATTAATCTTTTTGTCATTTAATAATAGTTAAAACTATAACAAATTTTTAAAATGAAATATTATAACACGTGACGACACCAAAATTTTAATTGTTGCTAGGAAGGTTAAGCAACTCGTTCCTGGTTTACTTCACAAATAGAAATCGCAGATATTTTCCCGTTTCAAAACATTTTTCTGAAAGAATGAGTTACAGATTTCGTTTGACTACGAAACTGACCCACGGAACGAAAAGGTGAAGTACTGTGTTCTGGTATATTAATAATACCTCCGAGCGGTGGCGATTTGAACATTATTGCAGTACCTCGGTTCTACTTTACATTCATTAGAAGTTAGGAATTTTCTTTCAATAAGTATAAATAAAAATAATAGTGTTAAAACTTTTCTCGCCTTTGCTCCTTCATTAAAGTACGAATAAATAAAGAAGTTAAAGCGATTAAAAGTGGCAATTCCTATAGAAACAGGTAATATTGTCTGAGAAGAGAAAGTCGAGATGAATTATAGCATTCGAGGTCGTTTACGTGTCGAGAAACGACTTCCGTCAGAAAGTTATGGGAAATTTCATTTACATCATTTAACAAGCCATCATCTTAATTTTGACAAAATAGTGAATTATTTTATGATGTCAACATTAGAAAATTGGAAAATAAACAAAAATAAGATAAAGGTTACAATAGAAATAAGATCGAATTATAGAGGAAAATCTGTGAAAATGAATCATTCAACCCGAAACCTTGAAAGGTCAAAGAAGCGAGTTATTATTATTCGGACTGCGTGTTATTTTCCTTTTATCTCAAGTTGTTGTGGAAATCCAAACATTACGCTGCAATCTGGGTTTACTTAAGTTGTTTAAATAGCCTAATTTCAAAATTTTCTTCTAGAAAAATTCATCAAATATAGATTTCGTGTAATTAGAGTATAGCAGTCTACAGGAATTACATTTATGTGTATAGATAGATCTAAAGTGTATAGTCACATCATTTGCATAATAGCGTGACTATAACAGCAGCTTTCCGAAATTTTCGTTGTGTGTTAACAAATAATTATTGATAATTAAGGTAATAATAAATATTTTACATAACTAATAATTTAAAATATATGCTCTCCACCACAAATTAGTAGTGGATCTGTTCATCATACCTTCCCTTTAGTAATAGAGTCGTGCCGTCATCTATCTAACACCTTTTGGGGGAAATTTTCGAATTGAAGTTACGTGACTTTTGGTTTGCATCAGAAGTTCGCATAAAGTTAACCTCCTGCCGCTAAGGTTTCCAAATCTGATCTCGAAATTCATTTAACTCCGTTCTGGAGATTAAAAAAAGTTAGACGGACAGACAAGAGTGGAAATTTATAGGTCTACAATTATTTTCAAATCGCAACCCGAAAACTAACGCAGGAAGAAGTGTTGTATAAATGGATAGTTGATGATTTTACAATACTCTGGCAATAACGGACGTATTCATCATCTCGAGTTAAATCTAAAGCAAGGTTTATTTTCTGCGATTCCACGTTTCTTACAAGTTGGTATGTTCGCCGATTAATTTTGTTTCTAAAAATTGATAATCGGCTAGCAAAAAACAATTTTTCTGGCATTGATGGTAATTTTTGAAAGATTCTCGATGGAGTGAGATCATATTGATGAAATTTATCTGTCAATAGTTTAATCAAACAGTCCTGAAAGCTGTTCCTTAGACAATAATAAAAAGACCCTCAAAATTACTTCGTACGTGACGTGACGTGTCTGAAATTTGACACGTGTTAAACCTTTTTTCCACGGGTCCTGTTTCGATTTGTCAGTTTAATCCTGCGGATCGAGCCATTTCCCTAAAGTTTGGTTACATGCAGTAGAAAGCAATTTTAAAAATATATATATAACGAGAAATTTAACTAATTGACCTCGAAAAACAACAAATAAATCCGCTCTAGAAACAACGTATACACGACCTCAAAAGACTCAATACGGCGATTGCCGCTATGCCTCACGGTATCGTGTCCACACCTTGTGTTTATACACTTTGTTCAGAGCCGAGTGGGAGGAGTTTCGTGTATTGGTATATATAGTATCTGATAAAATCTATTATTCAAAATAATACGTCATAATCTTAAACTTGCATATCATTACAGTTACGATATTGATATTTATATATTAATAAATTAATTAAGTTCTTATATATTTTAACAGATATCGAATATGTTTATTGGAATTGCATTTCGCTTTCTATCCGAAAACTTTCATAAACACGGGATAAATGTCTCAAGACACACGTCATGGTGCATAATCGTGCCTATCTTCATCACATTGTTATCAGCCACAGGATTTCAAAAGTTCTCCCAAGATTTAAGCGAAGACACTCTAGTCCCATCCGGAGGGATTATCGACAAGTACAAGTCGCGTTTGATGCAATTATTTCCCATAGATCTCGCGTCAAACTTCGACCCCGCAAGATTATTGCACGTCATTCATTACGGAACCGTTATTGTCGAAGCCACAGACGGAGGCTCGATTCTACGAAAGTTCGTCTTTCGGCAAATTGTCACTTTGGATAGAGAAATTCAAAAGTTTTTTGTTGAAGAAGACGAAGGATGGAACTACAAAGACATTTGTGCTAAAAATAATGGAAAGTGTTACAAAAATAGAATTCTTCGTATAAACAATGAACTGGATGCATTGAAAAACGGAACATTTCGGTTGAAATATCCAATCGGCGACACGAGCAGAAATTACGACGTTTTAACTTTGGGTGGTGTGGAACTGAACGAAGAGGGTTGCGTAATATCAGCCGAGGCTGTTAAATTGTTCTATTTTCTAGACGATTCGAATAAATGGGCAGAAAAGAAAGCAGTAGCGTGGGAAAAGCGATTCGTAGATTTCTTGAATAGACTGAACTTTTCTCATATCAAAATAAGTAAAGACGTGTCGCTTTCTAGAAATGAATCTAAAAAGCAATTATTTCCCTCTACTCTAAAATATATTCCAGGATCTGTTTTCTTGATGCTTACTTTTACCGTTGTTACTTGTTTATGGCCGGACTTTCTCCGAAGTAAACCGTGGACCGGAGTCATGTCGTCGATAGCCACTGGAATGAGTGTAATATCGGGGTTCGGCTTATTACAGTATGCGGGACTTAGGGTGTCTCCGATAACAAGTATGGTTCCATTTCTTATTTTAGGTAAGTGGTTTCCATTGTAGTGATAATACAGTCGACCCCCTATAACACTGTTGATAATTCCGTTTTATATGAATTCCATGTTGTACGAGTCACTTAGATTTTACAAATACGTGTCCCGGGCTGTAAATGGCTCATGTATTTGTAAAATCTAAGTGACTCTTACAACATGGAATTCATATAAAACGGAATAATCAACAGTGTTATAGGGGGGTCGACTGTAGACAATAATTCTTTAGTCAGAAGAGGTAGTTATTAACTATTGAAAATCAAATTTGAGTATTGAATTTGTTCCATGTAGTGAAAGTTTCAAGATTGATAACCTAAACAGTGGCGTAGCGAAGTGGGGGCGGCAGGGGCGGCCGGCCCCGGGTGGCACTTTTTAGGGGGCGGAAAAATTTCACAATAAATAATAATAATATCTTGTAAAAATTTGAGCCATTTTATTTCATATTTTTGTCGCACCTACGATTCGGACCGATTGAAATGAGCACGAAATAGTGTTACCACCCCTCTGGTTTTCATCCGGATAGTCCGTGAATCTACTCACTGTCTGGGTGAACTATTAATTCTGTCCGGGAATATCGTGCGCAACCTGTCGACCTTTTTTTGTACCATTCGTATTCATACACATCTCCAATTTTCAATAGAGCTAAGTCATCTAGGTTACTTACGTTACTCCTACCCGAGTCTCCCTAGAAACGGCATTTAGAAACTGATTTAGAAACGGCATGCGCTGCACTTTATTCTTCGCATTGCAAAATGACATTGCGTATGCGTCAGGAACTTCTGTTCGAACAAACCTCACCTCTCGTCCGGGTCGGCGATTTTAAAAACGTGGCGACACTAGCACGGAATTTTTCATTACTTATTCTGTGACGAAACTAAATTTTAGTTTTTTAAATCGAGATGCCTAAATAAGGGTGCGGCGAAAGTTTCCTTTGCCCCGGGCGGCTGACACCTACGCTACGCCACGGAACCTAAATAACAATAAACGATATTAGCTTGATATAAACTTTTTGTGCTTAAAACAATTAAACCTTTTACCTCCCAAAATACTGCCGATTTATCTGTTGGCACTCTAAATACAGTCGATCCCCCCTATAACACGGTAGATACGTTTCAGTTTTTATGAATCCATTTTCTACGAGTCCAGCCAATCACAGCCCGGCACGTATGCAGTTTAAGGATTACGGCTATTTGAAAGGTTTCTTCTATAAAATTAATCGATTCTAGACTAATTCGACTCAACATTTGCAAAATACGTATAATTTTTTGGGAGTAATCCATATAAACTATGCTATAAACAAAAAATTGTAGGATTACTTACCGAGCGTGCAACGTTCGACTACGCCGTTGCTTAAGCTTGTTTTCGTCGTGGAGATTGTCATCGAATGGCGCTCGCGTGCTTCCTGATAAATTATTTTTTTTCGCGAAAAATTCGCTGAACTTTAGAGACATCATTAATATAAATATAATTTTTATGGACGTTAAACAATAAATGATTTTTGGTAGGTCCGCTGTTCGTTTAAACTCAACGGTTTGTGCAATCTTGTCGCGACACGAGTCGGCGATGACGTTTTACCGAATTATGGGAGTTTTTTTAGCATGTTTGCACGAATAATGTCGCAATTTTTTCGCCGTGATATAGGAATCCGAACTATAGGAACCCGTGTTATAGGTCGACTGTATTGAAAATTCGTGAATGTCATTTCAATTAGAATTAGGTATAAGACATATTCAACGAATAATATCGCTGCATTAAATGTAGTTATGTTATATTACAAAAAAAACATTTAACAAGATAAAATATAAAGCGTATGATAATTTTGATTACATCGACTAAATCGCACGTGATAAAGACTTGATAGAACTATTTTTATTAAAAAAATAATTCAAAAAATTCGACAAAAACGTGCACTCTAGTGATAGCAAACGTTTATTTTTTTTATATAATCAGTTGCTACAATAATAAAAATGACGTATAACAAGTGACAGTAAAGTACAGTACTTTACNTTAGTGTATTTAAATGTTCGATTTGTTTAGTATTTATACTAATTCTATTTTTGATTTTAGTGTATGTAGTGACACGTATCAACTAAATAAAGATGAGACAACCCGCCAAGTGTCTTAATTTAAAGCACTTTATTGTGTTAGAAGCATAAAGATATTTTTCATTTAAACTTTCTGAAGCGACATCTGTGAGATTCTGAAAATTGTTTTCTTCTGTAATGTCCCATAAACATTCATTTATTTTATATTTGTATATTCAAACACGTGTTTGTGTCTTTATTTCATCGTTTTGCGAATATCAAAAGTCCATACATTGAATATTTTCTTTCTATTTCATCCTATTTTCCGCCGACTTCTTCGTTACACATAAGATTACAAGACTCGCTTGTTTGTGTTGATTTCATACTTTTCTAAATGAGTCGTACCTCCGAATGTTAAGAATAGAATTTATGAATTGCAAAAGAAGTTCCTTGACAAATATTACAGAAAACTTAAAATACTGTATACTATTTTGTGTACACGTTAATCCCAGTAATAGAATCTTAAAAGTTCTACGTATTATTAGCATTATTCTCCTTCCGTTACAATTGTAACTACAAATAAACTGACTCATTCGCTTACATAAACCTGTTTCTCATCTTATGTAATTATTTAAATATCATATAAAAGAAATACATAAAAATTCCACTAAATTTCATTATTTTTAGGTATTGGTATGGACGATACATTTGTTATGTTATCAGCCTGGATGAAAACCGACCCGAAGAAATCTGTGGAAGAAAGAATGGCCGAAACATTCACAGAGTCGGGTGTTTCTATCACAATCACTTCTCTGACTAATGTTGCATCGTTTCTAGTAGGAATATTCACTGCTACTATCCCTGTATATAAGGAACTTTGCGTGTTCATGTCAACGTGTTTGATGTTCGACTATATTTATCAAATCACCTTTGTTGCAGCGATTTTGGTTCTATGTGGAAGAGCGGAAGAACGTCAATTACATTCCTTGGTATTTATAAAACCTCCAGGTAAAGTAGGTTTTCTGATTGTAAAAATTTCAAAAGATACGCAGAAAACTTTGAAATGGGTATAAAAATACAAAATAATTGAATTTTGTTTTAATATATTTTAATTTTTATGAAAATCATGTTTTTCTGAATTCTTAGCTGAATTGTAAGTATTTTTAAATATTGGTTTTTATTTACAATTTACACTTGTCAGTATAAGTAATAAACTACTTAACGAAGTATCATATAATTACACATTGAATCTTTTTTTAATTCCAGTAAATAGAAATTACTTCCAAAAAATTTTCTGTTTCTTGTGTCAAGAAGATCAAAAGAATGAGAAAGATAAGAAAATATCTACCTTTCAAATCTTCCGAAACAAATTCAACCAACTGATGAAGAAGAAGTTGACAGCAATCATTGTTTTGTTACTATATTTAATTTACGCCGGAATTTCGATATGGGGACTGACAAAATTTTCTTACGAACAGGAATTAGAGATGAATTTAATTCGAGGTACTTATCGATATAATTATCACAAAACGAATGAAAAGTATTACAATCAATACAAGTACAGGTTACAGCTGTTCATCACACAGGAACTCGATTATTCAAATCGCACAATACAACAAAATATTGAACATATGCTACAAAGATTGGAATCGGATCCTCTGATCGTTGGATCATTGACCGAATCCTGGTTAAGAAGCTACCTACAGTTTATTTCAGACAACAGAATTAATTCCTTCATCAACGGATATAAGATTACAAATTCGGAAGATTTCGTTTTCGTTCTGCATAAATTATTTTTTCGCATCCCAGAAGCGAAAAGATTCAGACAAGATATCGTTTTCGATGCTTCCTCCACCAGAATCATTTCCACTCGTTTCTTTCTTCAAACGAACGTTACAAACAACGGAAGTCATTTCTACAATCAATTTAATCATTTCAAAGAAAAGCTGAATGCTTTTCCTTTCACCACAGTCGTGTATCATCCGTTGTTTTACTATTTCGACGCTATAGACGCCATACCTACGACAGCAATTCAGACTTTAGGCATTGTGCTGTTGACCGTTTCTATCGTATCTGCCGTATTGTTACCGAACTTCATTTGCATCGTGTGTGTGTTATTCAGCATAATCTCGGTAGGAGCGGGTGTTTTGGGTTTCATGTTTATTTTTAATCTGGGACTTAATCTGACTTCCTTGGCTATTTTAATTGTTGTTATCGGATATTCTGTCGATTACGCAGCACACGTTTCTTGTGCGTACATATCTGCGAAAGAAAGTAGTCCCGACAAACGTTTGGAGAATGCAATAAATTTGACGGCGATTCCCATTATACAAGGAAGCGTCACTACTATTCTTGCCATTGTAATAGTGTTGAACGTTTCGGAAAAAGAAATATTGTTAGCGATTAAAGTTGTTATTTTAGCCTGTATAATTGCAGGAATTCATGGAATTACATTCGTGCCTATGACTATTTCGGTGATCGACAGGGTTTTCCAATTATATTATTACTCTAAAGAGAAATCGAAAGGGTCAAATTCTTTTATCTTTCGTCATACAGAAAGAAAAACAAATAAACCCACAAAAGAAATAATTGGAATCGACAACATGTGCGTAACTTATAATGATTTATAGAATACGTTGTAAATTAGACTGCTGAATTAATTTTTAATATGGTTTTATATTAAGTTTCTGTTATAGACGCAATATAATATAAAATATTTTACAGACGACAGTTTAGTCGGAAAATAGATTACGATCTATTTTATAGTACGATAATTTTGAGTAATTAAGGAAAATGTTTTGAATTTAACTAGATTAAGTATAATTAAAAATGTTACAAATTACAGATGCGGCTTTAAATGTATGAATATTGGAAAAGAGATTGTTAATAAACTGAATATAAATACTGTAATTAAAAATAGAGAAATCGTTTTACGAATGCCAATACAAGAAAATACTATTAATCATAAATAAACCAGCAACGAGTTGCTGAACTTTCCCCGGCAACGATTCTAATTTTAGTGGCGCCATCTGTTATCATATTTTATTTAAAAATATTTTATATTATTATAAAATGGCGAAAAGCTTAATTTTGAGGGTGGGAATGGCTTTTATAAAAANTTATAAACTACCAAACAGCTTAATTTTGAGAGTAGAGACTAGTTTTATGAAACACAGATTGTAAATTATAATAACAAGTAAAAGCTTTATTAGATCCAACCCCAGTCGAGATACTACACAAAACCCCCTCTATCTCTCTATCCCCTCAACCTTTAACCACCAAAACCCTTTAACTTCATCAATCCCTCTAGTACACAATTTCAGAAATTTTCGATAAAAGGCACAGAAGTTATTAAGCTTCAAAGTACGTGAACAAAATCGTACCCCCACACACACCAGCATCCATACATACACCCCAACATTTTTGTATTTCTCGACGTTTTAAGGTTCCGTGTCCAAAAATACTAAAATCTCGGGAGTTATTATTTTTGATTCCACGAAAAACATGAAAACAAAGTCCTCCTTAGAGCTTATCTAACAGTGAACGTAAACAGTTAAGACAATGAATTATGAATTAGAAAACACTCTCATTTACATTTGTTACTATATAATCTAACAAAGGTTGGAAATCTTACCGTAATTTGTAAAGGAAAATTTAGATTAGTAACGGGTGTTTACTTACTGGAAAACAAAGATTTCATAAATCAAGAGTATCAGATTGCCGAAACGTTCAATAGGTTTACATTAAAATCATCAATAGCACGAACGTAATAAATTTAGTTGAGGGATTTAAAAATAATACAGAATAGAAATGCATTGTAATTTAGTTGATGGACTTATAAATTACACAATAGATTTGCCGCATTGAATAGTAAGTCAATAAGTTCGGATGTAAAACAAAATTCATTAGTTAAATTTCAATATCTTTTACGAATTTGATCATATTGTATTCTGATATCCCGGAAAATGGAGAGTCAAAATATTTATCCACGACGATGAAATCGATATGACAACTATAACTAACTCTGTTATTGTTTGAGATTCATGAAGATTGATAGAATACGACGATCACTGAAAATTTTACAGGGGTAGGGGAGCTTGAAGTCAAATAAACCGGAAGGTCGTAATTGGAGTCTCTGGCCCCTGAGCTTTCCATACTTGGACTGGATGTTTTGTGCTGTTAGAATCTAAAATCTTTAGATAGTGAATTAAGTATTATAATAATCATCTTCCTCTTCTTCTAACATCTTGTTGAATCAGATTGATCATTGTCTATCATCTTTTTCAATGCTCTACAGTCCTTATTTCGAAAAATTGAAGCGTCACTCATTATGCATTTAGTTAATTAAAGAACTGATAGTATGATGCAAAGATCATGAGTTCAGTGATTCTGGCCATTAGAAATCAAATCTTATGGCATATATATTGTTATTCTTTGATGTGTTTTTCGTTAATTTTGATGACTTAAAACTGTATCGACAGACATCAACTTTCTTTATCTTCTACAGTACTAATGGTGCCATTGACTCTCTTTATCTAAATGAAACGCTATGTTATAAGTCCATCAACTAAACTATCTCTTCCTGAAGGATCGAGCTGAGGAATAAAGACCATTTCTTGTTTGTGTTTTATACGGCAACGCGGCACATGGGCGATTTGACCAAGAGAATGCCTGCTGGGCATTCCCTTGAACCACTCTTTTAGGTGTTACACACGTGAAGAAGACCTGCGGCCAGCCCGTTGGCCAAGAGCGAACCCACCACCAACTGCCAGTGCTTATGCTTTAATCCACTCGGCCGCTGGTGGGCGAAAACAGTTTCTTCATTCTTCATTTATATATCTTACAGAAGTACACTATTTTCATTTGGAACGCCATGATTTTAATTTGATTACAGTAAAAAAAATAATAAAGAATAGTTTAATTAATATTCATTTATTTGGTATTTAGTGAAAAATCAGTATTTTCGATATGCTAATTATTCTGAAATTTTTGATACATGATCGATGAAGTTTTCATATTAAAAAAAGACCCAACTAGTTCCGTAACTTTCCCGTGCAAGAGATAAAATTGTGCGTGGCGCCATCTGTTATGAGATTTTATCATAAAAAATTTATATTATTATAAAATGGCGAAAAGCTTAATTTTGAGGGTGGGAATGGCTTTTATAAAAAATTTGTAAATATTAATAACGAAGAAAATCGTCATAAGTTCGATCTTATTGGAGATAGCACGATCCCCATTATTCCTCACCTCTGGATCCAGTTTAATTATTCGAAGACACCGCTGTATTTCGGTGTTCGTTGTTGAGTGGACACAATTAATAATCAAAATTTTCAAAGCGTATAAAGAAGAGCACGTTCCGTACTGTACAAACGATACCATAAACAAAAACGCGTAATTTTGTTTATTAGTTAAAGTAAGGGCGCCATTACTTCCTCCATCGAGTGACAGTCTATTGTAAAACACACACAATTCCGGTCAAATCTAATGTATTTTCGAGTTGGCATTATAAAGTAAGACGTCCTTAAACAATTTATTTTTTTATCGTTTCTGAAACACTGTTTTACGCTTTTTTTATATTTTTCTTGACATTTCACGAGAAGTTCACATAAAATATGCAAATGTTTATATAAAGCTCGTGTAATTTAGTCATAAAAATTTATAATTATCAATATTGATCGGTTGAATTTACAGTAGACCATACTCATATATTCATATATAATCTACTATAAACCTACTGTTAGAAAAGTAAATATTAATTTGGAAATAAAAACGGAAAAAAGTGAAAATGTTTATTTATTCATTAATTTTCTTACATCATTTATATAGGTTAAGTTCGGGAGAGACGGAACATTTTTATATATTTGGGTTTAATACAGAAATAAGCAGAATTGTATGACTAACGTCGAAGTACAATGTCGCATTTACAGTACATTAATAACTTAATGATAAACAAATGGCAATAAATATGACTTGTGTGGAAAAAAGTCTTAAATCAAGTCAGCAAAGTTAAATAAGATTTAACAAGTACCGTAATAGATGAACGTGACACAATTTTAATTTGGCATAAACGTTTTTTATGTATAAAATGTACTAAACAGAACAATAAAGTTTTATCATTAATTTTTTGTTTCCTTCCTATTCCCATTATACGCGGGTCTATCTCTTCCGTATAGCATGGGCCAACTAAACCATAGTGATGTGGGATAGACGAACCACTTGTATATGTTTTTGTTAATTAATAAGAAATTTGTTTATGTATTTATTATCTTTATACTAATACTTGTGTTAGTATATGTCACCAGCATACTATAGTACAATTTTTTATAGGTATTGCTATAAATAAGAAAAATATAGCAATTCTTAAAAGAGGGTTCATCTCTCCATTTATTATATAAATTCCGGATAACTTATTATTTTTTTTATAAATCTGAATATAGTTAATATCTAGGCAGATCCTAACTGAAATTTTTCTTTCGAAGGAAAACTCTTACGCTTTAATATATTTATGAAACTCTTCCTTCTTCTTTTGTAAGCAAATGAATATTACGCAAATTGCAAGCGTACAACCAGCGCACTGTGTTCTACGTTTCCAATTTGCTTAGGCACGCTCTTTATTCATATAGACGATGCAGTACACGGTTTTATTTTAATATGACTAATGAAAATACTTGGAAAAACGTCGATGAACCCATTATTAAATAAGAACGGAAGAGATAAAGTTTATGATAGGCAATATATGGCTCTTCTCGTGTCAAGGTTTCGCCACCTCTGCATCATATCATACTAAAAACAAAAGTATTATGTGGCTTTTTCTTTCAATTTTTTAATCAATTAACGCGATCAACGATGATTAATTTCAGTAATGATAATATAAATTTGGAAACATTCTACTGTGAAAAAACACAATATCGAATGTTTGCATTATTCATCATTAGTTTCCGGACTCCTCGAATTGCAAGCAGCGCAAAATGTCTGGTAATAAGAAAATTCAATTCTGTTTTACTCGCTAGAGACATTGAGAAATGTAATTTAAGTGAAAGGAATTTAATAATTTATAAAGTTTTTGAAAGATTGTGTACAGAATAGATAAAATCTTTCAAAACAATTATGCAATTCAATTATCGAATTAGCATTAAATAAACACATACGGAATTAAGTCATCATCAAAGTATGCATACATTTATTTCGGACGTCATTGACATCTTTACATTCCTATTGTTAATTCCTATTTTTCATAGGTAAATATACAAATTACCATATCTTCGTACTATTACCTGCTTCTTATCCATGCGTAGGGCATTCAATACACCGATTTGAAATTAAAATTACCAACTCGTCCCTATGCAACATCCATTGTTCTACAAGCGGATTATGCGAAGATTTTACTGTCGTTTTAATAATTTTATGCCGGTTATACGCACGAAAATACTGCTGTACGAATTTTAAATAATCCATAACTTTATTGTATTTTTCATTAATTTTTTAAAAAGTTATTTTTATAATTGAAACGTTATTTATTGTATTTATAATATTGAATTTAAGAAACAGCAGGTTTCATTGATGTCAATTATCCGTAATTCTATTCGAGTGTATAATATTTTGCAAGTTTTAGTATAATTATTTTGTCAAAAGTCGGATTTTAATATCTTATATTAAAACCGGTTTTGAAACACAATAAGTATTTATACCACGCTTATAATGTCCTAGTTGCCGTACTATTTCTAACCTCGTAACATTGAGCGGTACAACTGTACTTAATCCCCGACATTTTGACGAGTTTTAAATTCGTATTAACAATAGTTGGATTAATACACTATTCTTTCGTAATCGTTTTAGCATTAAAACGTAAATATATGTAATTTTTCGAATAGATGACCTTTATTATACAATATTTTTATGTAATATGGAAATTTTAAAAACAGATATTTTACAAATTTTAATATTATTCCGCAGATAAATATTAGTACCAATCAAATAGAGAATAATTAAGCTGTTTGTAGTGATATTTTTAAAAAATTCTAGATCGCAATGATGGGAACGGGGTGGGGATGAGATCCGACATATCCGACCAGAACTGGGTTCGAACCCGGAATTATACGTTGACGCATTATCCACCTCTGCCAGATTTAATGCCCCCCCGCAGTTTTCCGAGTACCGAGAAAAATTACGTATAATACGATAAAATGAACTACTGTGTTGTACCAGTCGACCCCCCTATAATACTCTTGATAATTCCGTTTTATATGAATTCCATGTTGTACGAGTCACTTAAATTTTACAAATACGTGTCCCGGGCTGTGAACGGATCACGTATTTGTAAAATCTAAGTGACTCGTACAACATGCAATTCATATAAAACGGAATTATCAAGAGTGTTATGGGGGGTCGACTTTGTACTAAAAAAAATTAAAGTAGGATATAATAATACAAAATAATGGATGAAAAATATTGTTTTAAGCGTATAATAAACAATAAAATCAAATAAAATTTTTCGACCAAGAAATACAGCAATGTTTTATGACGCTCCCAAGAGGTGTTGTAGCGTAGAGACATTTTATAGAATACGTTTTAATTATTCTAAAATTAATATATATATTTTTTTATTTTTAGAAAAGATTTCCTTATATTTTAAGTTAGTTGATGTGTACATAAGTTATTTTTATATAATTGCTTGATATTATAGGTGAATTCTGTTATCATTTTTTATTATTAAAGAACGACCTTTAGCAATTTGTCTGTTTAAACAAATAAAAAGGAATGATGCAAATAAAAAATACATTATTTTCCGGGTGCAATGACTCGCCAAATGTAAATATACTAAGAATCTTAAAAATTAAATTTTTATAAGTAAGCGAAATTACCTATAAATGACACTTATAAAGTTCAAAAATGAAGTTATAAAAATTCATATAATAGAATTCGTTTAAAGTAACTTTAATTTCAATAATTAAGATAAAAGGAAGAATAATCATAAAGCATATTTATATATTTAACCTTCATATTTTTTTATGAATCTCGTTAACATTATTGGGTCAATGGGAAAAAATCCTTGTAACAATTCCTAAAATTATTTATTTAATTTCAAATTTTGATTTATAATAAATTACTTTAGGTAAAATAATTTAGAATGTTTAATAGGAAGAAAATATTTTTTGTTAGTAGTAAAACAAAGAAGATATTTAAAAAGCTCTGGCGAATTATTCTATTGATTTATTGTAAATTTCATCTTAAATTTGCATTAAATTCAAGGTAAGGTTTTAAAAAGAATTTATTTTATTATGCATATTTGACGTTTTTGCTATTGTTGAGATCATTAGCCGTTGAGCATTTATCATAACGGTAGTTTCGTACCAAACAATAGTAACTGACAGAGGAGAGAACCTTGCAACGAAAGCCTTGCGATCACTCAAACAGGATTGGCGATCGAGTTGTGCGTGACCCAAATTTTTCGTAAATCTCACTTAATCGGGTTTTATCTTTAGTAATGAATTTTAATTAAGAATAAACATTTAAAAAAATGTACTAAAACCGTTATCTTGATAAACGGTACACTAGCACTAATTTCAATTTCCGGTTTTATTTACTTTCACTACCATGAACGGATTATTTTACTCTTTAAGTGATAGCATCATCAGTTGCTGCTGCTATTGATATCGATCCATTTGAATAAAGTTCTTCCTTTTTCCTTATCAAATATATTATATATTGACATACTTTTCGGGGTAAGTATTCATTTTTTTATTTTTTATTTTTTTACTTTAATTATCTTTAAGCCACTCGGAAAGTAAAATAATTTTGTATTTATTTCGAGTGAAAGTAAATTAAGTAACTAAAAGAATTTGTATATATTACTTTATTTTTACTTTTGAAAATAAATAGTTAGTGTCTTTACACTTTGGCTATGATAGAAATAGGCCTATACACGTATATTTAATGTATAATACAGCATAAAATTATTGTTAAAAATTTTCGTTAGAGCTGTGATAAGAATTATAAATATCTCTGTGGAATTTAATTAAGCTTATGATTTTCGTGCTGTTTTTATCCATCTTTCTGAACACATAATTCGATATATTTATACCATTTAGATACGATATTTAAATATTCTTAACCTATCGATATTCCTTAGTAAAACTCCAGTTATATTGTAAATAAATGAATAAATATTAATTAATATTAAATATAATTTGTCGATATTAGTTTAAATGCAATTAATTAAATTAGAAGAAAATTTATTTCTATATTTTCTAGCGAGATACTTAGATATACACCTCAATAAAATTAATTTAAAATAAGTATTACTATATTGGCTTACCGATTTTTATATATTTTACAGGTAAGAAATATGATGATTGGAATTGCTTACCATTATCTTTCTCAAGCATTTCAAAAACACGGAATAAATATTTCACGAAATACTTCGTGGTATATAACGGTACCCATTTTCGTGACACTGATATTAGCAACGGGACTTCAAAATTTCCATCACGATCTAGACGAAGACTCCATAGTTCCAACCGGAGGAATTATCGACAAGTACAAATCACGATTGATGCAATTGTTTCCCACTAATTTTAAACGTAATTTCGACCCGGCAAGAGTATTACGGAACATTCATTACGGAACTGTCATTGTCCAAGCTTTTGACGGAGGATCGGTTCTTCGAGAATTTATCTTTCGAGAAATCGTAAGTTTGGATCGAGAAATTCAAAACTTTGTTATTAACGAGGAAGGTTGGAAATACAAAGATATATGCGCGAAGAATGAAGGAAAATGTTACGTGAATAAAATACTTCTGCTAGAAAACAAACTTAAAGAATTCAAAAGTGATACATTCCGCTTGAAATACCCCAATGGCAATATTAGCAGAAATTACGACGTTTTAACTTTGGGTGGTGTAGAATTGAACGAAGAAGGTTACGTATTATCTGCCAAGTCTGTTAAATTGTTCTATTTTTTATACGATTCGAATAAATTAGCAGAAGAAATAGCCATAAAGTGGGAGAATCGATTCGTGGACACGTTGAATAAACTGAACTTTTCTTATATTAAAATTAATAAAGACGTGTCTCATTCCAGGGACGAATCGAAAAAGCAACTTTTTCTGGCTACCCTTAAATATATCCCGAGTTCTCTTGTATTAATGATGACATTTACCATTGTAAGCTGTTTAACACCAGATTTTCTGCGAAGTAAACCTTGGACCGGAATCATGTCCTCGGTATCCACTGGGATGAGCATAATTTCGGGATTTGGTTTATTACAGTATGCGGGTATTGGAGTGTCTCCTATGGAAACAATGGTTCCGTTTCTGATTTTAGGTAAGTCGTTTTGTATATTTAATCAATTAATATTATGTTAAACCTTATCGCGTGCAAAGCCCGAAAACGGTCATTGATCAAAAAACACTACAAGTTTAGTTTTGAAAGTTTTATAACTGTTAAAGTATGAAATTCAATTATTTTGTCGTTAATTGTTTTGCCATGTCTAAACCTAGGTTTTGATAATAAAGACTATTTAAATTAGTGTAACCATCAATGCCTAACAAGTAAATCAGCTGTTATATTACTTCATTGAATTCTGAGTCAAGAATTCTGAAAAAATAATAATAATTAAATTAAAAAGTCCTGTGTAGTAGCCTGATTCTGCTTAATATTGACGATACTAATCTTTTTTATAAAACAATTATTGATTAAAATTCTGTGAATTTTAATCAATAAAATTCTGTGATTAAAATTGATTAAATTTTTCCATTAAAATACAATAAAAAACCTATTTAAAATACGAAAAAAAACAAGAATACGACCTAAAATGGGTCAATTTAAATTATGGAATAATCCGAAAAAACTTCGACTTTATTTATGAAATTTAAAATAATATTTTTAAAGAAAAGTGGTGAAAATAAATTACGAATAATTCATACTTATCTAACTATTGCCTCTGACTGGAGTGTAATAGTTATTCTTCTATTTCTTTTTATTGTAGTTCACTTGAACTAATTTTTCTTTATTGTTGTGACTGTGTGTTTATAAACATTATCAGAAACTAGGTTAAAATATAATAAGGTTGAATATGACTCTATTTCCTTATGTCATCGATTATAATTCTATTTATGTTCTTGTTAAGTTATATACGAGAAAAGTTTGCTATTTAGGTTTCAGACTGGAAATATAGTTACGAAAGTCAATATCTTTGTGTTTTTTCCGCATTCGATGGCTGTTATATCGAGTTATTTCCCAACTTTTCAGGATTACTTTTAATCGCTGTCGTTTTATTTTGCGCTTTTAACTTTATTGTGAAACAGATAAGACTGCAGACAAAGATTACAACCGTATCGTATTGTTTATATATTGTATGGCGGTATTGTATCGTATGTTTTAAGTTTAAATTTAAGTGTGGTATAATTACCTGCGCCTCTTACCTTTCGTATCAGGTTTAAATGATTATAAATTTACGTTTTCGATAAGATCGATAGTCGATTGCGTGAAACAATAGTAATTCTGTTATCCATTAGTAGTAATTAAATTCGTAAAATGTCAAGAAATCGTATTATTTAGGCAACCGAATTACGATCTTTTCCAGATTAATTGGATTTATTAAGTGTAATCCCTTGTTTTATATCTCTGCTCGAATGTAAATCTAAACGGTTATACTACAAATGTGAATTTTTCTAACAATACAATTAGAAATCTACCATAAAAATGTTTTTTCCCTTAAAATGCATTAAAATATGCTCGAAATTTTGTTACAATTTATTACTTTTAAGTCTAGATATACTGTACATTTCTAAATTGGAATTTTGTACAAATTTTGATTCATAATTTAAATACAGTTCTATAAATCTTCCAGCATTTTATGAATATAATGTACAGCATTTTTTATTTTAAAATTTATTTTAATGAATTTAATAGCAGATTTTTCTCATTCGTGTATTAAATTTGCGTGATTTATTTATCAGATAATATTTTATTTTTAGTTTAAAAATTAACTATATCGTTGATAATAAATGAGGAAAAACTTGTTTTCGGTTAAGTTAATTATCTTTTTGTTCAGCAATACATGAATATAATTTACAGGTCATTTAAAAATATCGCGGATTACAGAAACTCTAGGAGCTTTACTTTCATTTCTTTTTTTCTTTAAATAATTTATTAGAATACAATCTGAAATGCTTATAAGTTGAATAAACATAAACATCATAAAATAAACATAAACATCTCGTACCTTTAGCGATACGAGGAAATAAGTCTAATCAGGGAAATACAGTAAAAAAGTTATAAAATTCGGCATTACACTGAGATGTATGGCCTTCGTAGCAGTGACATTTTCATNTAAACATCATAAAATAAACATAAACATCTCGTACCTTTAGCGATACGAGGAAATAAGTCTAATCAGGGAAATACAGTAAAAAAGTTATAAAATTCGGCATTACACTGAGATGTATGGCCTTCGTAGCAGTGACATTTTCATTGTATAGGCCTATCATTTTATACTATGGCCAATATGACTTTTCCGGTAAATTTTTTTTTTAACTGCGACCTTCAATTGTATGTATATACCGCATATTTTCGTGTCTATATTTGTATATATCTTTTTATAAGTTGCAATGGCATTGTTATTGAACGTGTTACTTTCAATTTAGGTAAGTAATTTATAAATATAGCAATAAAAAACTGAGTGCGAGTGTACTTATTTTCGCGAAAAAAACAGCATTAACCTTGATGTTTTCAGTACACCTGACCTGATTATTCTATTCATATCGAACCTTTAAATTAAAAATCTGTATTTAACTTTAATTTACACACCTACAACACATATAAACTGTTTTATATATTGCTTCTCCTATTTAATGATTTAAACCTCTACGTATATTAGATGAAAGGGGTAAATATTAAATTACATTAATCATTCGTTTGACTCTTTACACAAAAATATCATTTACAATATAATAAAATACATTAAATTTCTCTCTTATCTGAAGATAAATAGCCACTTTATAGGGAAAAAAGACTAAAAGAAGTTAAAATATTATTACGTACAGTACTTGACTATTCAACATATCAGAATTTGATACATAACGATACATTCATCATTCGAGTATTATTTATAATTATGTTCTAATTATAAAATTATTATGTTTTACAGTTCGACCATTAATAATTTGTAGAAAATAGATTTACGTATATATTCATTTGTATTCAAATTAATTTTAGGTATTGGTATGGACGATACATTTGTCATACTAAAAGCGTGGATGAAAACCGATCCCACGAAATCTGTGCAAGAAAGAATGGCCGAAACGTTCTCGGAATCGGGCGTATCTATCACCATTACTTCTCTTACCAACATTGCTTCCTTTTCTGCGGGAATATTTATCGCTACTATTCCTATGTATGAAAAATTTTGCATGTTTATGGCGGTGTGTTTGATCTTCGATTATGTTTATCAAATTACCTTCGTTGCAGCCATTCTAGTTCTTTGCGGAAGAGCGGAACAATATCGTTTACATTCCTTGATATTCATAAAATTTCCAGGTAAGATATACATCAATGAGTTTTTAAGGTACATGTAACATGTAGAACGTTTATTTACTCAGATCTATTATCAAATTTAACATATTTATAGCTATTTAATATTTAAAAATATCAAATTTTAAATTACACATTCTATCGAAACATTGATTAGTATGCTTTATTGGCATTTCCAAAATTTAATTATCAAATTAATAAACACCAGCTGGAACTTTAGAACACCAAGCTCCAGAACGATGATAAACTTATCTTTCTTGAAAGCTTAAATACTTTATGAGAAAATATACAGAAATCTTACAATTCTTAAAGACGATGCATTGCTCAAACAGGTGCACAACACGATAACACCAAATAAACTAACGAATGAAATATCTTCATACAGGCATTAACAGTATATGGTTACAATTAAATGGATTAACAAAGACTCATAGTCCAGGTTGCATTTTTACTTCTTTTTAATGAAGTATATTTTTGTTAAAAAAATAATGCAAAAGACTAAAATGGAAGATTCAAATAAACGTGTTCAGAAATTATATCCAACATCTGGTTATTAAATTATTCTTTTAATTAAGAACTGCACCATCTGCGTACACTAACACGTAAATTTCCTTATTCTCAGAAATGTGCTAAATAATTTATCGATCACAGACACTAAATACATTGGACGAGAATTATCTACATCATCGACATTCTCTTTCGACAGATAGGCATTTTGTTGAGTATATTTGCAGTTCTTTCACTTTTACTAAATAGTCCCGAAACAAAATTTCCATAGAATAAACAAAAATATTACAATTTGCTATAAATTATGCCTAGTTGGGTTACTGCTTTAACTGAATTTCAAATGATCGAGACTTAATTTATCAATATAAATTTCAATAAGTAACAAGTTTGACAATACATCAAATGAATCAGCGACATTAATATCCAGTTTCGAAACTTTACGCTTTACGGAATTTCAAAATTCTTTAACCATTAATTGATACACAAATAAGTCAAAACTGATTGTGCGATCAGAACCCGACACCGACATGACGTAGAAATGAGTAATTTCTTTCAAAACAAATGGTGTGGAACCGAAACTAAATCAAAGTGACACAAAGTTAAACTTCTCACTTTTATCACCGGGAAGTAAGCCTATAATTATTTCAAATTAATAGATGGTAGTTAACACAAGTCTCGTATAACAATTTACTTGAATGAAATGTCGATTCCAACTTATTAACTTCATAAAATTTGTCAAAGAAGATTGATGTTCCGGCTCTTTCATTCGAATATTAAAATCAACACCTATCGTAAGTGTTGATTTTAATACCCGAATGAAACAGATACCATAATCACTACGAAAAACACATTTACTACATGTAAAATATTAATTAGAAAATCATCATTAACCTAAATTAGTGTTCCCATAACTAACTATAAATTCTTTTTTATCAAGACTAATGATTCCTAAGCTTATTTTTCCCACGGACCCCTTCTCATTGGAAAAATTTAACCATGAATCCCGAGTGAAATAGCTCTACACAACTACATAATAGCAAAATTACAAATTTAACTTTGATGTCTTGAATGGTGAATGATGACGTAAAAATTAAATATAAATAACACATTTAGATATTTAAAGTAATATTTATTGAAAATGGGTCACAATCATTTAACATTATATTAAACTTTTCTCAGACTCCCTTAACGTAGGCACCCCCGAATTAATTTTAAATTGCCACTGACCACCAGCGGTTCAAAGGACCCTAGGGGTTCGTAGGAACCCCTTTGAAAAACATTAATAAAGACCAATTATTATACCTCCATTAGATGCTCTATGTAAACTGTTATACAAAGAATTTTAAACCTTCTATTGTTTCGTTAATTATATTCCCGAATTCTGAAACATCAATTATATTATAAAGTAGTATTTTTATCGATAGACTTCGTTAATCGGATTAAACTCTCCAGAGGAGAAACATTATTTTAAACCTCTTCCGTAACACATTGTTCAATACACTTCAATTTAAAACACCAATATTTTCGGTTTAAGTAAATAATCAAAATTTTTGAATATTATCTACTTTATATTATATCAGGTAAGGCTTATTATTTTTCAAAATAAATTATAAATCATTAATTTCATTTTTTTTAATTTCAGAAAACGAAACTTTATTACAGAGAATTTTCTGTTTCGTACGTCCAGAAGATTCGAAGAACGAAAAGGACAACAAACCCATAGTCACTCTCACAAAATTTGTCGACATTTTTAACAAAGTGATGAAGAAAAGGTTGACAGCAATCGTTGTTTTGTTAGTGTATTTTATTTATTTGGGAATTTCGATATGGGGATTAACAAAATTTTCTTACGAACAAGAATTAGACATGAATTTAGTTCACGGCACTTATCGATATTATTATCATAAAACGAATGAAAAGTATTACAATCAATACAAGTACAGATTACAATTGTACATCACAGAGGAATTAGATTATTCAAATCCCATTACTCAACGAAATGTGGAAGATATGTTACAAACTCTCGAATCGGATCCTCTAATCGCTGGATCTTTGACCGAATCCTGGTTCAGAAGCTATTTACAGTTTATTTCGGACAACAGAATTAATTCTTTTATCAACGGATATAATCTTACAAACTCGGAAGATTTCATTTTCGTACTTCGGAAATTATTCTTACGCATTCCAGAAGCGAAAAGATTCGGACACGACATCTCTTTCAACGCCAACTTCACGAAAATCGTTTCTAGTCGTTTCTTCTTTCAAACAAACATTACGAAGAACGGAAGCGATTTTTACAATCAATTTAATAATTTTAGAGAAAAGTTGAATTCTTTTCCCTTCTCCACTGTCGTGTATCATCCATTGTTTTACCATTTCGATATTCTCGACGCCATACCTACAACTACCATTCAGACTTTATGCATTGTGTTGTTCACCGTTTTTATTATATCCTGCACCATGCTACCAAATGTCATTTGTATCGTTTGTGTATTGTTCAGCATAATTTCGGTAGGAGCCGGTGTTATGGGTTTCATGTTCCTTTTAATTGTTGGGCTTAATATCACTTCTGTGTCTGTTCTGATTGTTGTTATCGGGTATTCTGTCGATTACGCCGCACACGTTTCCTGCGCGTATATATCTGCCGCAGAGAATTGCCCGGATAAACGTTTGGAGAATGCAATAAGTATGACGGCAACTCCCATTGTACAAGGTAGTATGACTACGATACTCGCAATTATAGCGGCGTTAAACGTTTCGGAAAAAGAAACACTGTTGTCCATTAAAATTATCATCTTAGCCTGTATAATCGCAGGTATTCATGGGATAGCGTTTGTTCCCATAATTATCTCGTTGATCGATAGAATTTTTCAAAAGTACCATTATTTAAGAAGCAAATGGAAGAGTTCAAAGACCAACGCTAAGGAGACAGAGAGGAACACGAACACATCCACGACACAAAGTACAGGAATTAATATTATCTACGTGACTGACAGTACTTTGTAAGTGTTGGAAAAAATTGTAAATGTAAAACCTTTAGTATCTTTTATATTGGTTTTGCTATAAAAGTATTGTCGAGTGTCAAACATAAAATGTTTTTCAGATAATAACTTTTAGTATAGTCATCATATTCTGTATCATTTGTATACAAGAAGAATATTACTTTATACATAAAAATATAAGATACTATCCGTCCATAAACTTAGTAATTTTGTATGTGGGCAGCTGCAATTTTTCCTATTATATTGAACCATGTAATAAAAAAGACCCGAATAGGATTAATTAAAACACCAATAATGAAACTTGGATATTAGTTCTCCGAGCAAATGGAATCGAATGTGAAATACAATAAATTACGATATTATTTTTACTTCCTCACCCATCATATATAACAGAGGAGAGTGTGACGATCGGTCAAAAAATAACCCTTCTGGATATTTTTATATTTTAGTATCCAGACCTTAAAACGTCGAGAAATGCAATAAATTTGGGTGTCTTCTTTCTGCATGGATGTTAGTATCCGTTTATGTATATGTTTCGAAAAATCCTGAAATTTTGCAGGAAGGTTTGTGTATTTAAGGACTGATGCTATTAAATTTTGGTGTTTAAAGCTCGAGGGGTAGGAAGATAAAGGGGAGTGGTGTGTGATATCTCAAGTGGGATCCGACATTATAAAGCTCGTCTGTACATTTAGAATTAGTCCTTTACCATTTTAACATAATTAATAATATGAAAAATTGTTTGAATAAAATATCATAACAGATAAAGCCACCACAATTTTAATTTTTCTTGCCAGGAAGGTTACGTAACTCGTTGTGAGTTTTATTATACTGTAGGTGTTTTCCGATTCGTGGTTATATTGCCTTCTATGGCGCAAGAATAATGATTGTACGTGCTCAATAAGTGTTCAAGTAATTATTATGGAATGTATATATGTCGTTATTGTATTGTTTATTACTTATAACCGAATAACTCTTTTATTTCTGTGTGTGAAGTTGTGTGTATCATTAGTACTTTTAAACAGACATCACTCGCTTTTTCTTCTATATTATGATTAAAATAATTATAAATAATGCAAGTGATAATAACGGAAATGATTTAACACAATTTTTATGAAAGAGTCGCTACCTGTGCTCAAATAGATTATATGTATATAATTCTTTAGACAATTGAAATGTAAATAAAATCAAAAACAATCGTGTAAATTTGTAAATTTTTCATTAAATATTTGTAAAATAAAAATAAAATCGATTTAAAATATAAGGAAATTTCAATCATATATTATAAAAAATAGCATGTTTAATTTAATGACCGTAAACATGACGTCAACATTTATTTAGTCATTTTATTATTTTGTTATAGAACACAACTCTTAAATTAATTTTACTTTAGAAAGTTTATTTATTTTTATGAAAATGCTTTATATTTTTTAATGCTTATTAATTTTGGTAGCTAGCTATGAATTTTAGCAGTTATTGCTTGCTGTTAGACATCGTTGTTATCGAATAATTACACGTCTTGTAAGGATAAAAAATATTTCAACGAGTGAGGACCACTCGAGAGGCTTAATTACGGATCCGATATCGTAGGAAACGGGTGGTCGATGTCTTCTTTAGAGGAAGAGAGTAGTCGTTCAAAGTGGCGAGAGAAATTGATCAGCGTGGGGTGGAGAGGTACTGGACATGGCACTAAGATATGAAGAATGTGGGGTGAAGGGGCAAGGAGATGCCCTCCACCTTGCACTCTGCACATCTCGGAGCCATGACATTTCGAAGGTGTTCTGTGTGGTGGACCCATGGATCTTCATTCATACAGTTACTTGTAGCGAGTCCGAAGCGGCAGACGGTTCGATGACACTCGAAAGGTGGACCGAGAGTTCGGTGAACCAAAACAGCTGTCACACTTAGGGTAGAAGAGCTCCGAGAGAAACGTGTCGAGTACCTGAGTATTTTAAGGTTCGCATTTAGAGTTGCGTAGTCCGATTGGTCCGGTAAATCTCTTCTCAATTCTCCATTGATCCTTTTCTTGTTGCAAGTTCTACTCGTAACCGAATCGTCAGAGAAAACGTCGTATTCCCGGATTCAACAGATTTTAACATTCTAACGTGGGTGTTCGAACCTTACTGGGGACTTCAAAAACAGCATGGAAATTAAAGAAAAAGTACTATTTATAATTTTCAGTGAAAATAATATGTTTTTCATTAACTAAACTTTATCAAGCGCTGACAAAAATCAATGGCGTCGTTTGGTTCAGATCGTAAAAAATAACGGATAACCAAAATGTATATACAGCGATTGAGGAAAGTTCATTTTTGGTTAATCCTCACTTTAAATAGAGTTTAATTGCTCAGAAATTTTAAATAGAACTGAATTTCTCCCTAGTAATTTGAATTTTTACTTTTCCGGCTGTTATATACGTTACTATATAACATAGGGAAAGTATGGGATCGGTCAAAACATAACCCCCAAAATTTTTACATTTTTGGACTCGGGAGATCTCGAAACATCGAGAAATACAGAAAACACCCCCGAATTTTTCTGCATGTATCGATGTTTGTGTGTATGGAGGACACGTTTCTGTTCACCCTTTACGAAGCTTAACTCCCGTTCTTTTTGTCGAAAAATTTTGAAATCTTGCAGGAAGGTTTGTGTGTTAGGGAGATTTGATGCTGTTAAACTTTAATGATTAACGATCGAGGGTTGGAGAGATGGGAATGATTTTTATATCTTGTAGGGTCCGACTAAATAACGATTTTACTCATTATTGGCATTTATAATGTTTTTATAAAACCGTAAGGATGTTAGCATATAAAGAATGCCTTATTCCAAAATTATAATTTCCATTATCTCCACTAAAATAAGAAAATCTTTTCCAATCTAATTGCAAATTGTTCATGACAAATACTACACTTTACTTCTTGTGGATTAACAGTTGCCGCCAACCATTCGTAATATTTTTCCCAATTTTTGTTATACGAACATAATCGCTTGGACATATTTCTTGTCGGTTCCATAATTTATTTATGGGTGATAACAGCACTTACTTTTTGCGTTCATCACATCTCATTATGTGTATAACGATAAACGATTTAACAAAACAAGTACCAAACTAAAAAAGTGAGTATAGTCAGGCATACTATATATTTTAGAACGAACGAAACAAATGCAAACAAGGCACATTTAACACGTAGACCAGAGTTGTCAGATGTCTTTAGCTTTTGTAGCCAAATAATTTCAAAAAAAATAGTCCAAAAGTAGCCAACTTTTCAAATTACAACGCGAAATGTCATCATTCAGCAGCAAGACATTTTTAGTTTTGGAATAAATGCGAGATAGCCGGGGGTGCAGGGTCTGTTCCCGAAATTCCACTTACTCGGCGCGGGCTGGGAAAACCCGTTTTCGATGTCGAGGATGGCTTTAGGAAGGTTTTTTAAATCGTGTGGAGAGGTGCGAGTAAGTCGATAGGTGTCCGCTTTCCGAATAATTAGGCAGTGTTTTAACAAAACAACAAATTTAATATCAACCTAAAACTAGAATACTTAAGGTTACAAAGTTATGACTAAATATGGCAATATCGTGTTGTAAGTTACAAAGATCTATTCGCGACAAAATTATAAAAACGTCTGGGTGTTATAAAAATCGAATGTTTCGACAAATTTATTACCTCTTTCTATCCGGTATGACTACTCATTCTACCTCATAAATTTGATAACAGCTGTCAAAAAAAACGGAATTATTGTAATTGCTGGAGGTGACAAAGGTCAAAATTTCTAGTGAGACCTTAGTAATAATTGTTTAACTTGGAGATATATTCGATCGGTCTAATCTATTACGAAATCGGGAGAAATAGAATGTGTGCGGGTTTTCCAAGTTGGTTAATTTTGACCTTTTATTCTCCCTAGAATCGGACTATAATATTTTAATTAAGGGATTAACTTAATTGCTTTCCTCTTCAGATTCTCACATAAAGCACATTTTTGAGTTTAAAAAAATGTCAAAATGGACAAGGATAGGAAAGCTGATTAAAAGACTTTCCTTTCCGCAATCCTAGGTACATACGATTGTTATATAATTCAAACAAAATACTCAATAAATTGAAAAAAGCGCACCAAACATTTATATATTTTATATAATCAATCTTCTTGTTTATACAATAAAAGTTAACATCACATCACAGAGAAAATGTAAGATTATTATTACAAAAATGTTTTTTGCATTATTAAGATATCATCAACCCAAATATAAACTTTTACAAATGATTTCACGTGACATTTGTTCCCAATTTCTTTATTCCATTTTATACACTTCTTTCAATACATTTGGCAATTTCTTGTAAATATCTCGGACACGGCGTTTATGGAATTTCACCCTGAAATAAATAAAATTTTGTAACAAAATCGTTAGTAGACTAAAACTAAAAAAAAAAAAAAATAAGTAATAAATGTATATATGCAAACCATTATTATATATCTATCTCTTTCCGTTTCACTCGGGGGACGTTCTTGACATACTTCGAGAAATCTACGTAAAAGATTCAAATCATCCATCAGTATATCTTGATAGATTTTAATCGGACACTTGTAAGGATCGATGTAACTATACCGCGTTTTCAATACGTCGTGAGCGTGGATTGACTTACAAATTCCTACCATACGCGCTCCTCTCGCAGCAAAATCGAATATTGCAGTTTCCTTAAGTAAAATCATAAATTAAATAATTGAAGACATAACAGTACATACAAAATTTCAATTGTAGGACATACTTCATTTGTTGTTATCATATTGTTCCGTAAATAGTATCCAAACAAAAACAAATAGGTTAACATATTTCCTGTAACGTACGTTTCGGCCATCTCTACATATCCTTTCAAATCAGGATTCTACACGAAATAACATTAAAAAGCAACTTATTATTATATCGTATTTTTAATAGGAAAAAATATATATAGAATAGAAAGCATAATGCATACTTCAACGATCACATTTAGAGGATAGTCATAAGCTGTACATTTGGACAAAAGAGGAATTTTCTCTTTCATAAACCATGTATTACCATCATTGTTGGCGTATCGTATCGGTTTTAATCCGCTGGCATATAATTTTTCCAGTCTACAAAATGTACATCCTTCGTGTGTCAAGCCTAATATTATTTTACACGTATGAGTTTCTCTGTGTACAATGGAATTTATAAAAAAATTCGTACAAGATCTGCAAGCGTAAGCTCCGTAAGTATCAGACCACGCTTCGTGTCCACATCCTACACAGCGTGGTATAGCGTTGTTGCCTGAAAATAGAAGAAACAGATTTTATTTGATAAGTTATAAGCAGAAAACTATGGATACATTCAAACTTCTTTAAGTCGAATTTTACTTTTTTAGAGATTCAATGCATTCTGTGTTTCCGTAGATTTGTTAACAGATTATATTTCACTAATTGCAAATTCACAAGCCGGGATGTATTTGTCTAATTTCATGCGCTTCCTTTTACAATTTTAAACAGTTAGATCATATTAAAACAATATCGAAGATTACTAGACTGCGAGTCATTAAATTTAAAACTGTAACTACTCCTAATGGTAAAATGACAAATATTACACCCTTCTTAACGCTTTAAAACCATTTGTGATTTCACAAAAGCTGAGACAATAAATTTGATTGTCCAATAACTTTTTCTCTTTCGGAAATACAGTATATATCGATAGTGTATAAATTTCACTCTTTATAACTAATTATAATAGCGATAGCATGGAAACGAATTAAATTTAAATGTTACGTGATTAATTAAGAAATACCTCTAACTTCCTGTATTTCTTCACTGTCACTCATGTTCCTAATTTCCTAAAAATCTTTCAAATCCAAAAGCACGTGACTAGAAGTCCACAATGCTCTCGAATTCTTCTTATCGGTCGATTTCAGCTTCCTCATTTGCATAACTATACGTTAATTAACATAAATCTAATTCTTATTCCTTAAAGTTTTAAATATCACTTTTTCATTATATCTTATTAAAAGTTATAATAATATAATATGCTAATTAAAATAATGTTTCGAAAAAATTTACGAAAATATTTGGTTATTTAATATTAAGATAATATAGTATCTTCTTAATAATTCGTATATTTTCTTACGCAAAAAGATCGAAACACGACACCTCTTTCGATGCCAACTTTAAGAAAATCTAATGAATCTTTAAGCACCAAATGTTTGGCTCCGTGGAGGACATCTTACACTATTGATGTTCGATCAATCACACAGAAGTGGGTAGACACAGGTTTATTACGACGATGGTATGCATGCATAGCCATAGAGCCAAAGACTTGATGGACATAAATTCATATTGTAATATAAAGATAAAAAGCAAATCACCACTTCAAATAAGTCATTTATAGTTGTTTCTTCTGTGAAACGTCGTAAAACTCACTTCCGTTCATTGTAATCATCTTCATATTTTCATAGAAAACATCAATTCATTTCTACTCTCACTGTCTCGTATCATACATTTTTTACTTTTTCAAAAGTTTTATTATTTTAGAAACAAGTGGAAATGTTTAAAGACCAGTTCTAATCATAAAGTGGAATACAAACAGCATTACACGGAAGCAAAAGCAGCCAGTCTGTCAATTACGCTTGCCAGGACGTAAACTGTTTGAAGTAAAAATATATCAACGCTCATAGGTGCATCATTCCACCAAAATATTTCGAACAAAAATATGGCATTCTTTCCGTACAGTTCGAATACGTTATAAAAAAATTGCCGTGTTCATTCAAAAATATATTTTCGTCGTTTCGGCGATAGTAGCATCATTCTATGAGGAAATTAGTAGATCCGACATGTGTCCCCTTTTTTCATTCGTAGTATGCATGTTTTTCGAGATACTTTGGTCTAAAAATTAAAATAGAACACCCTGTATACCGTGTTTTCCCGAAAATAAGACAGTGTCTTATATTAATTTTTGCTCTCAAAGATGGCGCTAGGTCTTATTTTCAGGGGATGTCTTATTTTTCCACGAAGAAGAATTCACATTTATTATTGAACAAAAACTTCCCAACTCGAACTTAGACGAGAGTGACGTACATCCGGTCGTGTCGAACTGAACTTAAATACAACCGAAGTGAAATTTCAAAGTTCCCGAGTGTTCAGGAGGAAGGGAGAGTGGAAAGTTCAGGAGTTGACTTCCCACTCTTTCTTCAACTTAACCTTTCCATAGCGTCGACATCGGGCTCCATGACCAATTAGTGCTTACTGAACCGTAGCACTATGCAAATGTAATGTGGCGTGATTCCCGGCCAACCAATTAGCGATCACCAGCCTAACGTTATGCAAATCCGTGATACCCAAGCCATAGTCTTATGCAAATTATGCCGCGTGGGGATTGTCTGCCGACCAATCAGTGGCTGTACTTTCAAAAAAGCCGACGGCCACTTTCAACCGTCTGTCGATGACCGTTACGAGTAAAAAAAAAAACTTTGCTAGGTCATACTTTCGGGGGGAGGCCTTATATTTAGCAATTTGACAAAACCTCTGCTAGGTCTTATTTTCAGAGGATGTCTTATTTTCGGGGAAACACGGTAGCTGTCTAATAACATCGGTACTAATACAGTACTTTTAGCTTTTTTGTAATTCCGTTGAATCTGGCTAAGTTTTTAATTTCCTGGCTGTCATATATAGCAGAGGAAAAGTATGGCAACCTGTCAAAAAATGACCTCTGAAATTTTTACATCTTTGTACTCGGGGCACATTTAAACGTCGATAAATTCAAAACATCGGGTGAGTTTTCTGTATATACTGATGTTAGTGTGCGGCGGAGCATAATTTTCTTTAGTATGTTTTGTCGAAAAATTTTGAAATTTTGCAGGCAGGTTTGTGTTTTAGGAGATTAATTCTATTAAAATTTGGTGGTTAAAGATCGAGTGGCTTGGGAGACAGTGGGGTCGTGTGCCATATCTCAAGTAGGGTTGTCTTAATAAGGATTTTACTCAATATTAGCATTTACAATTTTGCATAAAACCCATCCCTACCCTTAGAAGCTTTTTGCCATTTCATAATAATTAAAATTAAAATTTTTTTTATAATAAAATATCGTAACAGATGACGCCAGAACACGCAGTTTTAAATGTGCCGGGAAAGTGAAGCAACTCGTTGCTAGATTTTTGCTGTAGGATATCAACATATACTAAAAATGCACTTTAAAGAAAAATTTGAGGAGGTTTTTCCAAATTGAACAAGATAATGCTTCGGCTCTTATTACAAAATCAACTTGGAAATGAATTTCGGCAAAGGGTATGTCATAACATCATGAGAAAGTGGAACAGTTTAATCTTATAGAAAACATTTTATATCTTAGCAATGGACACGCTTGGCACGAAATAACAGATCAGGAAAGAAAAAAAAAACTCTGATTAAAACAATATATTATAAATGAGTAATATTTGGCAATCAATTATTATTTGTGTGGAATTGTCTATCATTTTAGGACAAGTGTATCCTATACAACATGGTTAAAGTCATTTATACCTTTATTTTATTACTGGTTTTTTAATAAATTAATTATTGTATGATATCATAATAAACCAACAATCAATTTCTTTGTGTTGTTTTGTAACGTGCATATTTTTTTTTAAATTAATGCTATTCCATGTGTATCTATCACTTATAGAACAGAGTATATGTATAACTCGGCAAGGCCGAGGTCGTGACGAAACCGAAATTTTAATGTATGGGTTCAGATATTAAAGGTCAAAATTCGTAAAATCTATAGTCTGATCGCAAGTTGCGAGCGGTGTCAATCCAGTTTACATTCGCTATCAATTTACATTGATCTGCGCAACAAATTTGTATTTTGATTATTACGACTGGCATTTTCCAGAAAATACCAAGTATTAAATATTAAATCAACTGAGATTTTCCTCATTTCCTGTAGACGATATTCAACATTTGATTATTTGTTAACACCCCATATTATTGTTACATAACTGCAATTCCAATCAAATACTGTATTCAATAAATCGAAAGAACAAAAGAAACACGTAGAACGTCATCAATTTTATTATATACTATACATAAAAAATTTAGATTAAATAAGCGCGAAAATGTCCGGTTGTTATTACAGAAATGTTTTTAGCATTAATGATTATCCGGATTGAAAACAATTTTAAGTTTTACAAAATATTTTGCCTGCCATTTGTTAGGGATTTATTACATTTTACCACTCCTTCCAATACGTTTAGCAATCAAGCTGTTTGTGGAATAACGTTATAAAAAAATAAAGAAAATATATTGTAACAACTCATTAATAAAAACAACTAATGAATGGATATAGACAAACCATTAATATATAGTTACCTTTTTCCGATTCACTCGGGAGACGTCCTCGATATACATCGAGAAATCTATGTAAAACATTCAAATCCTCCATCAATAAGTCTTGATACTGTTTAATTTGACACTTGTAAGGATCGATATAAGTATACATGGCTTTTAATACGTCGTGAGCGTGGATTGACAAACAAACTCCTGCCATACGCTGTCCTCTTGCAGCAAAATCGAATATTTTCGTTTCCTTAAATGAAATATGAATTTCACAGAGTGATTCTAAATATAAACGAAAATTTTCGGGGTTTATTCTTTGAATAGTTCCAACCATAAAAAGACATAAAAAAACGGTCGAGAATGCATACTCGTAGGCTGTCGAAAATGACACAGCCAACTATAATACTGGGTTCTTTCCTGACCGCATTGTTTGGCGCGCGATTGATTCACAATAACCAGCGGCGGCCGAATTATTGACTGGATGCCACAATCCGGTTCTAATTCGTCAACATTTACAATGAGTCCACGTCTCAAAGATATCGTAACTTTAAAACAATGCTGTTTTGAACACAGGTTCGTATGCACTTTTACGGTGGAAGTTATTCCAAGATTTTGAGTTACGAGTCATACTCGTTCCCTTATCGTACTGTTCTTGAAATAAGACCCAAACCATAACGCACAATTTTTTATAATATCAAAACGGTACATTTCTACTATCGCAATTTCTTCCTTCAAAATAGCATCCTAAATAAAAAAAAAGTAGTTTTATTGCATTGTTTTCTTCGGTTTGAAATGTTTAGTTTGTAAGGAATATAATTCATACTTCAAAAGACATATCACTGTATTCGACAGTTTTGCATTTCTTCAAACTTCTTTCATGTACCACGTTCTACTACTATTCTTTCTTACTAGTATGGGTTTTAATCCACTGGCATATAATCTTTCCAATTTGCAAAATTTACATCCAAGGTGTCTCGTGTTTTGCATTACTTTACACATCGGGGTTAATCTCTCGAAAACACACGATAGGAATAAATTCGTACAAGATCTGCAAGCGTAAGCTCCGTAAACATCACCCCACGCTTCGTGTCCACATCCTACACAGAGTGGTATACTGTTGCTACCTGAAAATAGGAGGAATGGGTTACAATGAATCATTGCAGGTAAGTTATATTTGTCGTGGTTATAATCTGGCTATGGAAGGGCGGCGGATATATCTCTAGCGAGATGGTGCCATTGGGCATTCTGCCACGACATGCTCTAGTCGTTCACGCGAGTCCATGAAAAGCTGGTGAGCTTTTTTATAATCTACAATAAAGTTGTTCTATTGTTAGAAGCTTGGATTGATTGTGTATATAGAAATTATACTGCGCTAATACAGGAACAATATTTAAGACTCTTATTTAAGGTAACAATCTTACTCTGAAAGGCAAAATTGATTGGCAAGCGCTTTGAAAACAGTACAAGTTACTCATTGGCAAATCAAATTATTTGCTACACACGTATATTAATAAAACTAATAAATTTGATTGTAAAAAGTATTCTGTAAATACTGAAATTGCATAACATAACCCTAACTCAAAACTGGGTTCTCTTTGTTCGGTTCTACTTCCGGATTCGTAAATTTCATCCGCGAGAAATTCTGTTCTTGCATTTTTTATTTATTGTAAATAAAACTTCAGACCTCTCTTCTAATTGGACGATGTTATCTCGAAATCGTTATTGGATAAACAATAGATCAGGGGTGCATTGTCAGCATCACGAACACTATCGTGGCGTAACCGGAAAGACGTTTTGATAGGAACAGCATAGAAACTAAAATAAAATTTTACACGAGTAGTTATAATGCACATCTCTTTGCTCTAAATTTCTGTATTTCTTCAGGATCGCTCATGTTTGTAACTTCTTAAAAATCTTTCAATTGAGAGACAAAGCCTCGATGAACTTGAATTCTTATCATTGGATATCACCTTCCATGTTTGCATAACGTTAACGTCAATTGATTTCCTTTTTTAAATATAAAATATTATTTTACTATTATATTTTATGTAAGTTGATAACTTATTAATATAAACGACAATCAGCATTTTTTCAAAGTATAAGTTATAAGAAAATTTGGCTGTTTGATATTAACACAGTATATTAATTTACTCTAATCCTAATATTTCGGCTGCTGATTTGCGACGTATCGTTCGTTAACTGTCAGTAAGTGTTCGTAAATTAAAAGTATTATCTCGTGTGTTGCAAAATATTTAAATAAGGCAACAGTCACGTTTATCGAATTAACCAAAAATAATAAGTTATTCGAAGAATGATCTTAAATCGATTTGTCCCGTAGAAAAGATATTGCAGCGAATAATTTTTTTTTCATTTTTAACGATTATTGTGTAATTAAATATTTTAATTACGTGTCAGAGTAACCTCTAAATGAAAAACTACTCTATTTGAAATTATAAAAAAAATTCTGTGGCTTGAACTCCAAGGAACGTTCAGTTTACGGCACGAAATCTATACCATGACATTGGAACTGCGGATTCAAAATAGCGGCTCCATAGCCTGATCTTGTTTGTAGATCTTGGTTGAAACAACAGATTACAGCCGCCATCTGTTGAGTAAGTTTTGTATATTCGGGAATATATAGGCTATATAACATTATAATATATTTACATATATATATATAGCCTATATTTATATATATATTTACTGCGTTTAATTAGCTAAAGACGTACTGTACAGTACCGTACGTCGATAGCAGCGTAACTTCGAATTCATTAAAACAAAACCAGTTAATTACTTTCATTTATAAATTATTTTTTATATGTCAAAGAAATAAGTTTTTTTAATGTCATTCTGTTTAATAGAATGTCCATTATATAAATTTGGATTAAGAATTATGTTTTAGTCAAATCTACGATAGCGAAAATGAATCTCACTACGTCCTATACGAGTCGAACTGGGTTACTGCACTTGTTATAAACGTTGAAACGAAATAATGGTATTGCGAGTTTAAATCTGTACAACTGCTCTCCAGTTATGCTCAAATCACGAATTCCTTGCTACATTTAATCGAGAAAACAAAACGAATTCGATAGTTATTGAATAAATGACAATTTTCCTTCTGTCAATAGTAGAGCTGGTTATTGGCTGCTTACATCGCGATAACCGCCTACTCTTTCTCTAAGCCAATAAACGTGCAACAAATCATTTAACGAACTAGCCGTTTGGTTGCACTTGGAAACTTCGTTACGGGGAGCTGTTTTATTGGATTATAATTGTCGATCGAGTAATAATTTGTTGGGTCGCCATTTGATAATATTTAATAATATTAAAAAGAAATTTCTAATGCAAAATACTTGCCCTTCCAGTTCCAATGCCACGAAATGACTCGAAGCATTTTTATTCATTAATTAAAGATTTGGATTTTACGTTGTTGAGAGTTAAAAATATTTGATAAATTTAATCGAACTCTTAAGTTAAATTTTACTTAATTGATTTTTTTTGTTATTTAACAGTTGTGTATTGAAAACAGCTTTTTAAAATTTAACATGATTGAAAAATTCCATTTGATATAAAAAAGAATATGTAGATGTTTATCTCGTGTTATCAAAGATGAATTAAAACGAATGCTTTATCAGGCAAAATAAGCATTCTTTTTAGGCCTACTTATATTTGTTGCGTATTTATAACAATCGATAAATATTAATATATCCTACTACAATTATTTATTTATTTAACAGATTTTAAATTATTATGTAAATTAAAGTACAGTACATAAACTCTAGTCCTATACGGCAGGGGTGGCCAACTTTTGTATAAGTAAGAACTACTTTTTGTCTTAAAAATGCGTCGCGATCGTAGGCATAGTCTAACTCGTTGTCGTAGGCATAGTCTAACTGGCGAGGGGAGGTGTGAAATACATACTATGTTAAGATAGGTAAGAAACGCCACAATTTAATTTAAAACACGAAGAAAAGGTACTTACATTTTAAACAGAAGAAAAATTGAAACTCAACGTTGTCACTTTCGGAGACCACTATTTCATTTTTCCTCTCTCTAACGTGTCCCGACTTACTCTCTCTGTCCCTTTTCTTTCTTTCTTCTTCTTCGATGGTGTTTATATGGAGATTTTAGCTCAATGTAGGCTCTTTCTCCGAGTAGACTTGTGTATGTGTATGATCGCTAGGCGACCGATTAGCCGGCTGTATCGAACAGCCATACGTACGCGCGGGAAATAAATGCCTTCCGGGAGGACTTTTATGGGGAACTGGCCTCCTATTCAGTCGTTATAGGCAAGGAGAAAACCCGGAAAACTCCAAGCAGCCAGCCTGTCCGACCGTGGCGCGAACCCACGACGAACCTCCCAGTCTTTAGGGTCTGGTCACCACTACGATGAGCGGCAACGGAGACCACTCGCCCACTGCTCTCTGTCCCTTAAATTTGCGCACCCCTTAAATCACTCTCGAATCCATCTAATCCCTTAACTTTATTTAACATAATGCATCCCGCTGCAACAAAAAAAGTAAAGACGTAAAATATTACCCAAATAAATTAAGAAAAAATCCAGCAACGAGTTGCTTAACTTTTCTGGCTGTTAAAAAAATTATTTTTAAAATTAAAATCGTCTTTAATAATGTGTGTGGCGCCATCTGTTACGAAATTCTGTTATTAAAAACATTTTATATTATTAATTATTATAAAATGGCAAAAGCTTAATTTAGAGGGCGAAGAGGAATTTTACGTAAAAAATTGTAAACACTAATAAACAATACTTTTTTTCATTTTGAATAACTCGATTAGTTCTTGCAGCTGGAAGAAATACGTTTCTTTCGGATATTTTTTTTCTAATGACACACTAATTTCCTTCCTTTTGTATTCAGTGAGGTTCTAAAATTAATAAATATAATTAAGTTCACAATATATTTTAGAAAAAGTATGCATATCTCTCTTAAATCCGGTAGGCATCGCACCCAAACCATACTGGTGACAATCCCATTTCTATACTTTAGATTAAAATTAGTAGAACCTCTGGCTTTGATAACACAACGACCGACTAACCCTACTTCCACACGCAACAAATACAAGATATACGAATTTCGGAACCTTTCGCATAAATGTAAATGTAATAAAATAGTTTATAAAGCGAAAACATAGATGAAGAGTACTTTTAACAAGAATTTATAAAACTCGCTGTTTTATTCCTTAATTTTTACACAAAACGAATAAAGTGTCTTTCTTACACGATATTACAATAAGAATTTCATACAATTACACGTAACAAACTGCCAGATTAGCGTATCAACTGTGTTTTGTCCAGACAATTTGATTGCTATTTAAAAAATTATCTCAATTCCTTGATAAACCAGTCTCATAAAAAAGTAAATTATAAAATAATAAATTATTTTATAATTTAGTTTTAGTAGAAATTTTTTTAAAGTAACTGTCTTTAGCAATTCTGCACAATTCTTTCATTCCCATTTCTCCCGTATTTTTCACCAGATTATAAAAGGCCCCGTTTGTGTTTTTCAACAGCGCGTATGGATGGTCGAATTCTTGAATTCTTCCCGTATCTAAAACCTGCAGAATCACAATTTATTATTATAATAAATATTATATTTTAGTATTTATAGAAAAACTTACCATTATTCTATCCGACTCGATAACCGTATTCAGTCTATGAGCTATAGTTAATACTGTACAAGTGAGAAATTTCTCTCGTATGATTTTCTGTATTAACGAATCGGTCCTAAAAATATAAAATAATTGAGTCATAGTATCTTCTTATTGTATTATTGGAGGACCTGCAATTTTCGGGGGACATAAAGTGATCACTATTCATTGAATAATAATGGAAAACAAGGAATATTTATAGTTTCTAAGCGTAACAAATTTAAACGGTTTTTAAGTAAATACAGTAGTTAGTGAGAAAAACGTCATCCCGATATCACTACCGTCGACCCCCCTATAACACTGTCGATAATTCCGTTTTATATGAATTCCATGTTGTACGAGTCACTTAGATTTTACAAATACGTGAGCCGTTCACAGTCCGGCACAACTATTTGTAAAATCTAAGTGACTCGTACAACATGGAATTCATATAAAACGGATTTATCAACGGTGTTACAGGGGAGTCGATTGTATTTACGAATCCTTATCTTACTTCTCGTAACCAAATGTGTGGGGTTCTTAATGATGTCATCTATTACGTGTACAGCGGAATTTATAATATATATTGGAAATGGCACGTGTCTTCTTTCTATATGCATTTATATAAATTGTCTAAACTATTAAAAATAAAATAAACTGAATTTTTAAATACAAACGATTATTAACTTACAAATTATCAATATTCGAGGTTGCTTCGTCCATTACAAGAATTTTGTTCTGACGAAGAATTGCCCTGGAGAGACATATCAATTGCTTTTGACCAACACTGAAATTGCGACCTCCTTCTGTTAAATTTGTATCCAATCCGCCGGGTAATTTATCAATAACTTCTTTTAACTGTACCTTTATATATATATATTATTGTATAAATATATTAAATTTTAGATTTACATAAAAAAATTATATAATAAATTGAAACCTACGTCTTCCATTACTTGCCACAACATCTCTTCCGAATATTCATTAAAAGGATCGATGTTTCTGCGTAGTGGACCGTTAAATAATACTGGATCCTAAAAATAATAATACGTGTACTGTTGTTTTAACACCAGAAGTTTTGAATTCGCCAGATTTTGCAGTGTTTATTTAAATCAGTGGTCCTAATACTTTGACAAAATTTAATACTGACTTGAGGAATTATGGAAATTTTTCTTCTTAGATCCCTAAGTCCAATATCTTTAGTTACAATTCCGTCGATGGTGATTTTTCCCGTGGGTTCTGTCATACGGAACAAGGACGCTGTTAAGGAACTTTTACCCGCTCCCGTTCGTCCAACAATTCCTATCTGGGATGAAAACAATCGTAAATTAAATGTTCCTTGTAAGCATTTGTGGAAAAACTGGAAACAAATATACTAATCACGCTACACCTCAAACACTGGTTCTGGAAAAGTGTTAAGGTGTAGTGTGATTAATATTGTTCTTTGTAAAGTATATACAAAAATTTATTTATGCTCAGTAACATGCAATTAATAAACATCTTACTTTTTCTCCCGGGTTAACGTGGAACGTTATGTTATTTAAAACCGTGTTTTTGTCCTTGGAATATTGCAAGGAAACGTCATCGAAATCGATTTCTCCTTTATCGGGCCACTCTGCGGGCAATTGTTTATCGGGAGGAGATTCGTACGCCGCTTCCGATTTTAATTTACTGTAATTCAATATGCGTGAAACGGAGTTCATCTAAAGACAATTTAATAAATAAAACAGTAAATTTGAAGTTTGTCACAGATAATATTTTCTATCTCCGAACTGTATACAATGTAAACAATAAATTATCAATATTACAGATTCGGAAAACGTTTTAGAGCTGCAAGATTTGAATACACCTGTTCTTTACGCTCCTTTGAATACAACTATGACACGTTTGAAGAGAAGAAAAACGCGTTAAAACTTGTAATCATTGGAAAATGCACCAATGACCTGATTTGTTTGATGTTTTCAGGATAAATCTTATTACATTCTAAAGATATAAGTCTAGTTTTAGGTTCATTATTTATAAATTCCATAGCATCACGATAAAACCTACCTGATAATCCAATTCGGAAGCTTGTCTAATCAGCCACGGATAACTCATTATTATCAATATCGCATAAGTTAATGCTAGTCCCACCATGCTTCCTGAATTGTCTATAAAAATGAAAAATAAGATCCAAGTAGATTTTAATAAAATTAAAAAATAAATATACGTGCATCTACCTGAGGTCATGACGACGTTCAATATAACAACAATAATTACGAGATTAAAGAAACAAATTAGATAACCCCAAACGGCAATCCAACCATTTAAGGCCACGTAAAGGAACCACGTGGCGGTGTGCTTATCTTGGTAATTGTTAAATGCATTTTTGAAGTTGTTTTCCACCTCGAAAGCTCTGATAGTTGTTACTCCGTAAAGCGATGCGCTCAGGTGAGAAAATACGGGGCTTCTCGCTGAGAAAACAATTTATTTACCAAATTTTTCCATCGATTTAATAGTACTACGCCAGAATAATAATTATATTATATACAAATATAACTACTATAATTTGTTAAAAATTAATATACTGACGTATTCAATATTGTTAACATACATAATTTGAAACTATATTTTCATATACGAGATGGGTGAAAAGTAACTAGGCATGAAAAAATCGATATAAGTTTCGTAACGATTAGGTAATCGTAACAAAGTATAATTACGTTAATTAACTCATTTACGTTTAAGTTTAAAACAATATGGAATGTCGATTTTCGCTTTAACTAGCTTTTCACCGATAAGAAATACCCACGGTAAATCCTTACCAATACATAAACCGTTACATAAGTGGTGTTTTTATTTAGAAATGAATAATAATAATAAGAAAGACTTACATTTTCCTTCCAATTGTTTTAAGCTTTTTAATACTCGGTTGTGGATAGTCCATATAAAATAAAATATAACCGATATGACCGAAGAAAATATTAGTAGATAAGGACTGATGATAGCTTGAACGACGATCATGCTCAGAAGATTGGCAGCTTTCTGAAATACATGCATTAATTAAAACAGAAAATTGCTATATATAATAAAAATATTTTCGCAGAAATGTCTAAATCATTTAAGTATAAATAAGAAAGATTTTATTTTCTACAAACGACTTTTACCACAGATATAAGTGCATGAAATGTACTGCTTATTCGGAAGTGTATCGTCTTACAAATAAGCACGATGGGAAGAAACACTTATTAGAATAAACTGATTTTTAAAACATTCAATTAAAACAGTAGTCTTCGCATTCATCTTTTCTTCCACAATACAGTACCACAATGTCAGGTAACGTAGACAAACTTTATCCAGCTGTTTCCTGCCTCAATGTGCTAAATTATTTAAAAGGATCATCCGAGATTGGTATACAACGGCACGTATTGAGACAATAAAAACCTCCAGGAAAAGAAGCTAAGTTCTCTTCCAAAAAAGAATGGGTGCGAAAGATAAATACTTTTTGCTGTCTTCGGTTAGATAACATTTGTAAGCGAATAATCGCACAGGTTTTACTGTTTCTAACAAATTTTAAATATTGATTCTTTAAGTTATATACCGGGTAATCGGAAACAAAGTACTTCTAGGCAACGTTGTTTACAGATTTAGAAGTCCAAATGCAACAAATCGGATACGGTAACGTTTCAAAACATGTAAAACAAATTCCCATAATAATATTTTACCAAAACTCACCACTGTGGCACTTTTGGCGTAGAAAAATACAGTATAACAACTCGAAAACAACTATTCTTATTAAATAATTTAAATATTATGCAAAATCGTAACATATAAGAATTTGTTAAAACTAATCTAAACAATATGTTATTACATACGGTATATTTAAGATAATATAATATAATAGGTTTACCTTAATATTTATCTTAAAAATTATATATTCATCATTAAGGATTAGAGTATACCGAACTTACTCGTGTTACATCTTGAAACACAAACGATAACATTTCGTCCACGCTCATAATATCCTTCGAAAATCGGTTCAATATCTTTCCTATAATATTTGATTTTCAGATATTAAAAAAATGAAATAGTAAACCAAATATAAAATTAATTCTTCTATTACATAATAAATATCACTTATTTGTTTATAAGCTCAACATTCAAAGTAATTTATGTAATTATTCAAATGTTGGCAGAATGGGTGCCTTTTATCCTTTCCAGCAAGCGATATAAAATCTCTGTTGCGATTTAATTTTTCACATAATTTTACGAACGAACAATTAAAACAATAAATAATTTAATTAACATACCAATGGGATTCGTATCCAAGAAAGATATTGGAACACGGATGATGCAACGGAACATATTCTTATGAAGATTGATGGATGCGGCGATGGACATTTCGTAGAATAACGAAACTGAAATAACTGTAAAGACGAAGGATGCGAGGATCAGAGCGCAATAAACGTACACGTTAATTTGACGACTTTCCAGGATATATTCGGCTTTAGAATCATTAAAATTTCTTGTTAAATTTTCGTAATAATCTGTTTCGTCTTTTATCCTGAAAATAATGTCTCTATCAACATTTCGAATCACCAAATCACACGACATATAAACGCTCAAAGTCAAACTTGTACGTATCGATAGATCTCACTAGTATATAATTCGCTATATACTAAAGACAAAGAATTATATATTGGTCTACTATGTAAAATTCTTATTATTTGAGGCACATCAAATTAACGCCAATTTCGGAAGTAAAGAAAAAGACGGCGGTAAATCGAATTTTGACTTATAAGAAATAAATATTTCAATTATCCGCTGTTTTTCCATTATTCCCATAGATATTATTTTAAAACATTTCGTAGAATATGCTCGTACGTGTAATAAATATTAAAATTTTCTCATTCTGCATCTAATTATTCACTTTCGATTGAAAATATTATCAAAATAATTCTGTAATATTGAAATATCAAATATACTACTAATTGTAAGAATATCAAGAATGTTTTGAACATCCCACATAAAAATGTTTCAATTCCATAATTACGTGGTTCTCCCCACCAGCTTAAACCACTTGTTCCTAGTATAGACCATTTGTAATAAAAATTTGTGACGATTCAACTTCCTCGAGGGACCAAATGAGCCAGCAAAGGGCCCTTTGCTTTGCTCATTTGTTCAAAAATTTAATAATAAATTAAGTAAAAAATATGAATAGTGTTTAAAACAATACCATTTACTCAGCCAAAAATCGCTGCCTTGTAAAACAACCTGCGATACAACCAGCATAAAGATCATCGTCATTTTGAAGAAGAATCCCGCTCCCGCATTCACGTAAGCCTTATACAAATATAATCCAAATCGTTTTTCTTTTATTTCTTTTGATGTTTTTTCATTTTCTTTTACCTAAGACAAAGTTGATAATAAGTATATAATTTTGTAAAATGCAATTTCATAACTTCCCCAGAATTTAAAAAACCTAGAAGATTAGAAAATTGCATTAGCAACAAATTGAAAAGACCACTGTTTTTTGTATACAGAAAATAATTACTTTAAATTTATATTAAATCTGCAATTTTGAAAGCTTCCTTTAATTATTGACTTTAAATTATGACTCTTAGGAATTATTCATGACAATAGCCTGGGATATTTAAAATCACTTAATTAGTACGTGTAAATAGTTTTAAATACAGTAAAACCTCGATTTAATGGACTTATTCGGGCTAAGGGATGTCCTGTAAAGCCAAAAGTCGTGTTTTCATTAAAAAATTATTTCTAGCTTCTTTTTTTTTCTTTAAAAAAATATATTTTAATGCGAATTTTAGTCAGGGTTCGGACCTGTCCAAAGCCTCACACAATTATAAATAAATATTCGTTTTTAGCTGATTATTAATGATTCTGGCTTATTCTCGGTTAATGAATTTCGTGTAAGTTTTTACATGCTCAAATATCATGAAAACTACATATATTATATATCTGGAAACAGTATTTTGATGTATTCTTCTTCTTTAATGCTGCCGAATGGCGTTTGCGACTTCATTTTGATATTGTTCTCTGTCTATCACTGTGTGTAGAACTTGTGCTGTTGTCATGTGAAACCAGGTGTTGATGTTATCTAGCCAGGCCGATTTTGGTCTACCTGGACGTTTCTTGCCTTCAATCCTGCCCTCCAGGATGAGTGGCAGTAGATGGTATTTTTGGTAGTTCCTAGCAACGTGGCCTGAGTATTTGCATTTCCTGCTGATGATGGTTTTGATCAGGTCCCGGTCCGTGTGCATGTACTGCAAGACCTGTGCATTGGTTATCTTGTCCGTCCACGGAATTTTCNACTCCGTTTAATTTTAATAATTAGCGTAAATCGATACATTTTTTTCATGCTAAAAAGCATGAAAAAATGTATCGATTTACGCTAATTATTAACGTTGCTTTATAAATTTGTAACCATGAGAAAATTTCACCAAAAATATATATTAAGCTTTTCATCACTCACAGCGTCATCAACAGCAGCAGCCTTTTCAACGCTACAAACACTTAATTCTTTGTGGTCAAAAGTTTTACTGGAAAATTCCTTCTCGTTTTCGATGGAGCTTTCGTCTTTTGCTGAAATTCCCATATTTATTCCCGAGTTTATAATTTTATTATAATCGCCTATCGCTTGACATTTTCCCTAAAATTAATTAAAGAAAATATATAAATTCGTGAAAATACCCGAATAGATTCAAACCGATAAGTCTTTGTAGCTTCCGCAAAAAGATAAAAATTCACAAACGTTTTCGGAATTCATCCTATTCCAGCTTCAGGCTCAAAAAGTTCGTTTCGAATTGAAATGCACCAAATAGAATTTAAATTTGAACAGATCAGCTCAGGCCATACTGTCACAGATTGTGGTTATAATACAGGTTAATACTGTACAGTCCATAATCTGCGCACTATGTCTCTCATGCTGAAGAGATGTTTCGTACCATACCCGCCTTACTTTGAATAGCTGTATCTCTTCAATGTTTGAATTTTTATACGTTTTGCTGGAAGATGAAAACGTTTAGTAATATATATATATTTTTCCAGTGATAGGGCAATAGAAATTACGTTTCGTTACCCAAATAGATTTAATACAAAATTTTTAAGCGTTAACGGTAAAAAGTTTGATTATTCAATGCTTCAAATTAATCAAGTTCGACAGTAATTAAAAAAGTTAAAAAATTATTTTCCGTAAAATTAAGTAAAATTTTCTTACCTCTTTCAGTACTAAAATTTTATTTACAAATTTTAAGAAATGAACATGATGGGTAACAAGAATGCAAATCTTTTCGGATAAATATTCCATTATACACCTGTAAGTAATTAGTTATATTTAAATGAGTGTTTAGTTACTTCTTAGTAAGAAACTTCAATTTACTTTTCGAATATGTGACTCGCTACTGGAGTATCCACAGCACTCAGCGGATCGTCGAGAATGTATATATCTGCATCCAGATACAATGCTCTGAAAACATGTATAACATATCATGAAAATACTTATTAAAATTAAGAAATTATGTTTTTATTCCTAGTAGATTCCTATCTTTCCAGGCTACTTCGATATAATAATAGTCCATATCTAATAAATTACTGAATATCTGAGTAGGCGACTTGACTTACCTGGCTAGATTGATTCTAGCTTTTTGGCCACCGCTCATTATCACTCCTTTTTCGCCCACGCGTGTTAGATCTCTTTTGGAGAATAAATTAATATCCTGCAATAAATTAGATCACAATTATATTATATTCGTATAAAAATAAAATTTTAGATAAAATGCTTGAAATTTTTGAAATGGCTCCAACTTCGAACTACGAAGTTAAATATTTGAAACGACAGAAAAATGAAAATTGAACTTGTGTAGAGAAGACTTTTACCTTTTCGAGTGCCGTTATATGCAGTATTTTTCTGTATTTTTCTTCGTGAAAGGTCTCGCCGAACAATATATTTTCTCTAATTGTTCCGTAGAATAACCATGCTTCTTGAGACGCATACGCAATTTTCCCCTTTACTGATAATTCTCCGGAAGAAATAGGAATTTCTCTTAAGATTGACATCAACAAAGATGTCTAATAAAACAGAATAAATCATTAATTCCATGTGTTCAAACGTAAATTCAATTCTATTGCTATATTAAATTATAATACCACTATTAAAACGAAAGAACTCTATATCCACATTCACACACACAATGTTGTATGATGTCATCACTTTTTTCAACAAACCAAAAACTTTACTGTATTAACAAGTAATGTTAATAAAGCTTCTGGTGGAGTCACTTTTTGTATTTATATAAAGCACGCTATTTCTCTTGGCATACAGCTTCACCGTGTTTTGGACACAGCGATTAAAATTTGCTGCCATTTTCCCGATAATGGTTTGTACAAATTATCTTCTAAACTGGACAGTAATGGTCTGGTCGAATCCCCCGATCAAGTTCTCAGGAGGTATTGGATTTGGTTCGGATCAGGATTCTGCGCGAACCAATTTATCAGTTGCACATTATTGATATCAGCACAATGTCGACCGGGAAACGTGGCAGCTTGCAATATCATTTAGAAACTAACAAACACCAATACCAAAAGTTGCCAGAATTTTGGGAGCATCTGATCGTTCAGAATGATTTGATATTGATGTTTATTCTGCTTGATCACAACCAGTGATCCCAAGCCGTACCAATAAAAACTGTTGTATAGCTTACGAGGCATGCATTTTGTCACGTGTACAGTACGTACCATAATGAAGTCTTACCTTTCCAGATCCAACAGAACCAACAACAGCTAACAATTCTCCCGGCTTTACATTTAATGATATTCCTTTCAACGTTGGATCCCCATTCTGTAAAACATATATACAGAAAATTAATTTTTATGTTTAAATTTATGCTAATTGTTTTAATATTTATGTTTTTGAAACAAAAAAAAAAACAACGAAATAACTAGCACAGTTCTAATCAAGCGAGGCAAAAAGCCAAGTTCTTTGTTACTATCAACGTGACCACGTTTGATTATATATAACAAGCAGTTACCATACCAATACAATTATAAATTATAGTGAGGGTAATTAAATTATTTAATTGCTATAAAATGCATTACTAAGAAATAACCATTAATAAGTTTTAAATAAATGATTTTAGAATAGTTTTGCTCGATAAAATAGATAATAGTAATGAAATAGATGAAATTACATATAAATTACAAATATTGTTATTTGTACGCGGCTGATTAACTGGCTAGTCACATTTTCGGGGTTTACCTGTCTAAAACCTAAATAGGCACCAGTTTCCATAAATAATCCTAGCGAAAATAATCCCCTTGTTGGATATAACACGCGTGTTGTTTTGCCTTCTTCTATCGAAACCAAGTGAAACTAAAAGAACCNCGTAATTATAGGGGGTCGACTGTATATACGATTCCCTTAATAGATCTTAATCATGTTAATGTTTTTAATTAATTCTCACCTTTCCGTATATAACGGTAGATAACGCTATCTTTATCTTCATGCCTAATACTTCCGATAAAATAAAATGTGACAGTCCTGTAAAGGCAAACATCATTGATAGAACACAAAATCCTGTAGCTGATAAATATCCAGAGAGATGGTTCTCTTGCGATCTATGATCAAAATAATTTACTAATAATCCTAATAAGTAGGCTTGAATTGGAGTTAAAATAGTTTCCTAAAAATGAAAAAAGTAATTTATTACCTATGTAAATTAATATTTTACATTAAAATTATGAGATGTAAAATATTGTGAAATACAAAACTATTTTAATCAATGAGATACCTGAATAATTGGAAGTAGACTTAATAGTAAATATTTCCATCCTATAAATCTTAATAGAGCATTCCGTAAATTTGGATTTTTCTTTACTAATTCTTTGTCCCACTCTCTGAAAAAATTCAGATGATTTAGGTACCTCAGATATTTTTCTAAAGTATTATTTAGGCTTTGATTTGGGAAATGCAAAACTTCCTCCAACCGAGTCAGGAAGAAGTTCCGTGCCGAAACTTTTATAAAATTGAATTTACAAATGCGAAACAAAACGTATTAAATTTATCAGAAATTTTAATTTTAACCAGTAACCTGATAGACAGTAATTAAACTGAACTGATAATTACATAAAGTAAAACGCGCCGCACGTCAGCAAACAGAATTTGCATCTCGAGAGTCATCGTAGCGCCATTATCAACAGCCTCTATAAGCAAGTCTAAACACGCTTTTCTGACTGCGTTTTAACAATAATCAACCAATTTTATAATTTATTATGATGCCAGAGGAATTTTAAAACTGCAAATCTCTATCGCTTCCTATTATTTACCGTGCTATATGGTAAATGCAATGTTTATTGTGCATCAACATACTACACATTTTACAGTATATAAAAGAACTGTTCTTTAACAATCATATTAATCATCTGATGTACAAAATATAATATTTTGAGCATATTGGATTGTCCTTATAATTTTTCCCATTTAACATAATGGAAATAAACTCCGGGTTAACGTTTTTGGGCAGAACGTTTGATTTTTTGGAACGGATTACTGACGTTAGAGAGTTAGTAGTTACCACATTAAATGAAAACTTACTTTTGTAAAATATTCCCAAGATATTCTGAAGAGTGATATCTGGAAGTTTCATACAAATCATCTTCTTGCAGCCATTTTTTCTTCCCTTTTATTAACAACGGAAAAAGCCAACTGAAAGACATCGATTATTTATTAATAAAGTATGCGGTTACTATTACGAAAATCGTTAATAGCAGTATCATAGCTTTATAGTTGTAGTGTAACTCGAACTAAGAACAATGAATGTAGCAGTTGTTGATACGGGGTAACTCGGGGTAACTTAGAGAAAAATCGTTGGGTGTGCCCCGATTTTTCTCTATGTTGATAACCCTGAGGCAATAATGGCTCCTTTACACGAAAAGAAACATTTCAAGGAGAATCATACCCACCGGACAAGTTGGAATCTATATAAGAGCTAATTGGAATAATAAGGCTTAAACCAAGGCCCTTTAAACACATTTGGTTAAAATGTATTTATGATGGGATTTTAAGATTTTTTAAATAAGGAAATATAGATCCTCTCCTGGACAGAGCAGTTACGTAATGGAAGCCTTTGACTTTTCGGACTATTTTTTAAAATAATTTTTAAATAATAAAAATACAAGTTTTTAAAAAATNACGTGTACAGTACGTACCATAATGAAGTCTTACCTTTCCAGATCCAACAGAACCAACAACAGCTAACAATTCTCCCGGCTTTACATTTAATGATATTCCTTTCAACGTTGGATCCCCATTCTGTAAAACATATATACAGAAAATTAATTTTTATGTTTAAATTTATGCTAATTGTTTTAATATTTATGTTTTTGAAACAAAAAAAAAAACAACGAAATAACTAGCACAGTTCTAATCAAGCGAGGCAAAAAGCCAAGTTCTTTGTTACTATCAACGTGACCACGTTTGATTATATATAACAAGCAGTTACCATACCAATACAATTATAAATTATAGTGAGGGTAATTAAATTATTTAATTGCTATAAAATGCATTACTAAGAAATAACCATTAATAAGTTTTAAATAAATGATTTTAGAATAGTTTTGCTCGATAAAATAGATAATAGTAATGAAATAGATGAAATTACATATAAATTACAAATATTGTTATTTGTACGCGGCTGATTAACTGGCTAGTCACATTTTCGGGGTTTACCTGTCTAAAACCTAAATAGGCACCAGTTTCCATAAATAATCCTAGCGAAAATAATCCCCTTGTTGGATATAACACGCGTGTTGTTTTGCCTTCTTCTATCGAAACCAAGTGAAACTAAAAGAACCTTCATTGCTATTACATAGATTTTTTACCATTATAAAGTATTTAAAAAATTGCTTCAGTTCGGATGTAAATTAAGTTTTTCACTTTCTAAGGGAAATAAGCAGACGTTATACGACAAATGCGTTTGATTTGTCAGTTTGCCATTATTCACTATCCATACAACGTATACAAAGTTTCTTGATTACAACGCCATATCCAACCACAGTATATCAATATCAAACATTCGTGAATCTTTCTTTATAAGTATTTAAGTATACTCAATATGTAACTAACGTAGAATACCACACAAAATATGCTGTCGACTAACAGAATCGCATAAACTCGCTTAAAATTAGGTAAATAAAAATAAATACTTCTTACTTTATTCCATGCAGCAGTAATATTCTTCATCCATATCCCATTACTAATTAGCTTCGGTTTTTCCATTTCAATTGTAATTGCGCCATTATCTTTCTCTTGTAGTAGTAAAAATTCCTGAAACAAATATAATTAACTTAAAATCAAAGGTTTTATATGATTACGTTTAGTTATAACCATATTTAAAACTCATAATGAAACTAAGAGGGGAGCCAGTACTGAATGAATAGTAATTACGATCTGAATCAAAACATGTAGAATGTATTTTAAAATTTTCATTAAAATGATTAATCACTGAAATTTCCTAGTTTTATATTTAACAAGTAAAATGACAAGAACATTTTTGGGATGAGACTACGTCTCGGAGACTCGGGGCTCGACTGCGCACCGTTTTCAAAGGAAAAGAGAAAAATGAGCACTAACCAATGAGGAAAAGCCGACACCGGTACTCGGGGTCCTGGCGTAGATTAATATATTAAATAATAAATGGTTTTTAGTAAGTCCGCTGCTCGTTTAAACTCAACGGTTTGTGCAATATCCGCTATTGATCTAGATTCGACCAACCCTGTCCCGACACGAGTCGGCGATGACGTTTTACCGAATTATACGAGTCTCTTGTAGCGTGTTTATACGAATACAGTCGCAATTTTTTCGCCGTCATATACGAATCCGAATTATATGAACCCGTTTAATGGGGGTCTACTGTAATTATTTCACACGTGTTGAAAGCTTTTGAACACAATTGCTAGCGATGATAGCCAGAAGTCATCCTGTCACGACGTTGTGAGGAATGTATCGTAGTTCTAGATGAACATATTCCATAGTGAGATGTCTCATTGCCCGGGTATTGGTAAGCACTTTCCATTTTCCATCTGTCCAACTACTGTATCTTTTTCACTAGACTTATTTTTATAACATTGATTTGTAAAATCCTCTACTGTGTTAGACATCGAATAAAACAGTTCTTAACATATTTGTCTACATTCATGCGCAGTTCTCTCTATTCGTGTGCAAATGTTTCTCGTTCTTAAGCTTTGAACACGTTAAGTACATAATAAAAGATTAAAAGCGATACTCACTTGCAATCTCTTCAGAGAAATAAAAATTTCTGCAAATTGAGTGACCGCCATGGAAAAGGTAGAAAAAATGCTTCTGAAGATACAAACTGATAGAATCATATTGACGAATACCATTTGGGAGGTCAACTGGCCTCCGGTGAAGAAAAACGTCAAGAAAGTAATACAGGAGAACAATTTCGAAGAAGAGTATGCCAATGCAAATGATATCCCGCGAATGTATAACGAAGCTTTGACGTTTCTTACTTCTTTCCTAAAACCATGAAAAAAAGTTTTCAGTAAGCTTAAATCTTCGTAAACGTCTACTGAAGACACGTTTAAAAAATAATGAATTCAAAGACAACTTACTTTCTGGTATTTTCAATTAATGAAGCATATGGCTTTTCCCAAGTAAACATTTTAATTAATCTCATACCAGCAATCATCTCGTTTAATAGATTCAACCTTTCATCTCCCAGTTTAACCGTTTTTAATCTATCCTCAAAAAAAATTTGAAAATATTTTTCTATAAATTTATTTTCATTATATGAAGTAAATACATATATACATCTAAATAACATATACAAAAGTGGATGTATTTAATAGTGAGAAAATTTTTTTTGCTGTTTCTACATTATTTAAATTAATAGCGCAAAACTTAGGTTACAGTATACAGTTTAACTATTATTTATAGTAGACTAGTGTTTATCATAAAAATTGAACTTTCTGGGTGAATTTATAATTGTTAAATTCTCTGTCTTACGAACTATCCATTTATTAACATGGAACATACCGTTTCTTACTATAAAATTAGAAAAATTAGTTACCTTAGTTTCGAGTACAACTTTCCTAGTAAAAACTGTATGGAAACGTAAACAAACACTACTGATATTCCAGGTAGAATTGTCCACTTGAAATACTGCCACAATATAGCTACCGTAACAATGACTATGAGAGGATTGGCAATGACGTATGCCATGGAAAACAAATTCTGCATTGAGAAAATTATACGTACAAATTTTTAATGACAATTATTATATTTCAATATATACTTAGATTCTTTAAATACTATGGCACACACACTTTTTGGCTCTGAAAAACAATATTTATTGTTTCTAAAACAATAAATATTGGTTCTCAGAGACATACTGTAAGGTTTATGTGTCTGTGTCTTAATACTTCTATCAGAGTAGTATAAACATTAACTTCGTAGTCATTAAACATTAACGAAACCAAGAATTATGTATTGTACAGTAATTAAATAACTAAACACAAATTTAGAATCGGATAAAATTTTTGTTTACAAAATGTATTTTAACTAGCCTCTACACTCAAGAAGATTCAATCGACTCTGCCGCCCGTCTAATCATCATCCTACTCGACAAGACCAGATCCTACCAGCCAGATGCCAATTTCATCTTCCTACGGAACGAATCCACCTCTCCAACCTGCAAGTGTACGACTTTCTCAAAAGATCTACAACTTCAGGTATTTGTCAGCTCACGATCGCTTGTAAATTTTCTAGCGGTGAGGACCCGCTACGAAATGTCTAATTACTTGTTATTATAATTATCCTATGCTATATATGTATATAATCTTATATATAGATAAACGGGTATTAATTTTCTTAAATTGCTGTGTAATAACGTCTCATTATCCTTCCAAGAGTGACGTATTTTCGTACACGGGTCATCTTGTAGAAAATGGCGTCGATCTTCCCAGCCCTCGAAAGGAAAATTAAAGATACCATTAGAAAGTCCAGTAATTTTCAATTATGCTACGATATATAATTTAATAAAAAAGACCTTAGAGGGATTTTGTTGAATTATGATAAGTGTTTATTTAAAAGAGTTTTTCAAGTTTAAAAAACAGTATGACACTAGATTTAGGTTAAAAGTTGTCTGCCGTCGTCTGTTACGAGAAAATAATATAAAAGTTATTTTTAATACTAATTATTATCAAACTTAATTTTAAGAGCAGTGGCTTAATTTTAAGGGTAGTGGCGCGTTTTCAAAAATATTGTAAATGCCAATATCCAGTAAATTTCCTTTAAGTCCCGCCCTTCTAGAGAAATGACACACGACATCTAGCTCCCCACTCCTCGACCTTTAACCACCAAAATTTAATAGCATCGATACTCCTTATATATACAAGATAACTTGCCGTATTTCATTTCTTACTGTTTACTCCATTCATAAACGAAATAGATGCCCTCTGACACATACACACGCTCAGATGCATACATAATACGTACAGCACATACTACGGCATTTTATTCCAGTATTCTTGATTTTTTGGATTCGGGAGATCTCAAGAAACGGAGATTCGCAACAAATCCGGAGAGTCAGATTGCACGATTCCAATATTTTCCTTTAATTATGGATACATAACAACTCGGGAAATAAAATTAAGTTTTTAGAACTTCTAAAAGGTTGTATTCTTTTTCGTTTTCCAATAGAACAAACCGATAAATCAGCTCGCCATTTTGTTTCCATGCCAATTAACAAATTATTTGTGTTGCCGCGAAATTGTTAAAATATAAAATGTTGTTATTACGAACAGATCTATAAAAGATCTGAAACGTAAAGTCTGGTGTTTATATCTTTTGTTATAATTAAATAAATTATTCGTAAACAATAAAATCAAATTTTAATGATTCAAAAAGCAGAAATTTTTCATTTTAATTCACCGAAACGAAGCGTTATTTGTATTCAAAATTATTCATTGATACGAGTATTTTGAATGATGTCGTGACGATCTCGATTTAGTAACATTTGTGGGGCGAACATAGTCCCGCAAATGATCCACCACCAACGCCAACCAATCGTGGACTTTCCGGGACGAAAAACGAACACACGGGGCGAAATAGCCATGCCCAACTATCCCGCCAGAAAGCAGGCAAGCAAGCAAGGAAGCACATTTTTTAAAAGCGCAATTCGGACAGATCAACGAACGTTCACTCCTCATTTTTAGGCGCTTTAAGAGTCCGTTTGGTGCGACCTTCTTTTGGCACAAAGCACATCGAATGATTTTCGTACGAACGGAGGTTTTCTTGTTGGAATTTTCGGCGGCCTCTTCGCATCCCGTCCTGTGCTCACGTAGTCCGGATAGGAATCGTTTTCTCACACGAACGGAAGATGACGTAATTTGTGGCCATGATTTTATTTATTTCCTTGACTCGATCGTCTCTTTATAATTTTGCATACCGGGGATCGACACATCGTTCAGAGTTTCGTGATTTTTCTGGCACTCTCGATACGCGTCTTGCGTATCGAGAGTGCCAGAAAAATCACGCAAACTCTGAACGATGTGTCGATTCAGAGTTTGCGTATCGACACATCGTTACGCAGAGTTTGCGTAACGATGTGTCGATACGCAAACTCTGCGTATCGACAAGCCACGCGTCTTGCAATACAGATGGCCGCAAGTCAGGGAAACCGTGTCGATGTAAATATCCCGACATATAGGACATTCGACGTCAAACATATCTAATTCTTCTGCCATTTTTTGATGTGGCATTCCAACAATTAGTCAATTATTATTATTCTATAATACAAATTGTTTGGATTGTTTATTCGTTCAATTATTTCGTGCCCAATCATTTTATAATTTAATTTAGATTGTACTTATTAATTTCTTTGTAGAAAAGGGCTGGCAGAATTACAATTTAATAAAAAGTAAAATACACCTGGATACGAGTCCAATTTTGCTTGCCATGTCCAATCACCAGGAACAACTATTTCCATGGCAGAGACAACCTTTTCTTCAGAGCCTCTAAAGAAAGGTCGTCTCTGCAATGGAAATAGTTGTTCCTGGTGATTGGACTCGTATCCATTTGTGATGTATTTTACTTTTTATTAAATTATACTTATTAAATTTACATCCTTCGTATACAAGTAATGCATTATCGTGTCGAACTGGTCCTATTAAATATCATCTAGCTAACAAAATTTCGTACAAATCGCCTTTCTCCCTGACGGTGCAGACAAACAAATATAAAATTATATTTTTTCTATTACTTTCCCAGCTGTTACATATGACAGATGGAAAGAATAACCATCGTTCAAAAAAATGACCCCAAGATTTTTACAATTTTGGAATCGGAGGATCTTGAAACGTCAAAAAATGCAAAAAACTTCGAGAATTTCTTCTGTATGTATGGTTGTTAGTGTAAGTGGGACAGGATGATTGTTCACCCTGTTTGAAGCTTAACTCCCGTCCTTTTAGTCGAAAATTTCTGAAATTTTGCAGGGAGATAAAGAAAATCGTGTGTATCTCCAGTAGTGTCGGACTCAATGACGACTTTACTGGTTATTAGCATTTACATTTTTTTTTATAAAACCCATTCCTTCACTGAAAATTAAGCTGTTGGCCATTTTATAATAGTTAAAAATATAAAAAATTTTAAAATAAAATATGATAACAGATAGCGCCACCAAATGTTTCTGGGAAAGTTAGGTAACTCGCTGCTGGTTTTTCTTAAATTAAGTAAAAAATATTCACGATTATTTGAATTCTCTATATTTACGGATGTTTCGATTTATGTGTGAATAAAGAAAAGTCGTGTTTCCTACATAACAGAAACAAATGTGAGATAACTTCATAACTTCAATATTCATACAACGTGTTCTGTATAATTAATTAATTTTTAAGCAATTTAACGGAAAAAATGTTTTTTAATTTTAAATTAGATAACTGAAAAAATAAAATATTTCACTTATTTGCTTTTTGTAAAAGAAATTCAAACTTACGTAATAAAATTTGATGATATCGTTGGCAAGAAGACTAACCATTTGTCCAATATTGGATTTTGATAAAGACGAATTACTTAAGCGAATTGCCTAGAAATAAAATATTCAACACAAATAAATATTAATTGTTTTTGAATTAAATTTTCTTTACAGTACATAAAAATTATAAATTAATTATCAATATTTTATCTTATAAGACAAAATATATTTTTATAATACGCGCCAATAGTGGAATATAATAGGTGCCAATGTTCCCGTTTGTGTAGTGTACTTACTCACGTATCAAACGTGTTGAGAAATGTACAGTCGACCCCCCTATAAGATATAGATACGTTCCATTCTTTAGGAATCCGATTTCTTACGAATCCTTCCAATCACAACCCGACACGTGTGAAGTTTACGGACTACGGCTGTTTGAAAGATTTTCTTCCATAAAATTAATCGATTCTAGACTAATCCGACTGAACATTTCCAAAATACGTATACTTTTTTTGGAAATAATCCGTATAAACTACGCTATAAACAAAAAATTGTAGGATTACTTACCGAGTGTGCACCTTCGACATCGCCATTGCTTGAGCTTGTTTTCGTCGCGGAGCAGCGCACCAAACGGCGGGCGCGTTTTCTGATAAGTTATTTTTCTGCGAAAAATTCGTTGAGCTTTGGAAACATCATTAATAGAAATAACTTTTATGGCCGTTGAATAAGAAATGTTTTTTTCACAAGAAATGTATAAAATTACAGTACTGTATTAGACTTACG